AAGAATCAACATCCATGCCTTAAAGCAGTCAATTCTTATTCCAATCGAAATAAAGAAATATTACAATTTCCTTCCAAAATTTGATATAAATATGAGAGAAAACGATAATATTTAATTATTTCCAATCAAGAATAAATGGCATCTCATGCCTTAAAGCAGTCATTTATTACTCTAATCGAAATGAAGAGATATTACTATTTCATCCTAAAATTAAATATTAATCCGAGAGAAAACGATAATATCAATTATTTTCAACCGGGAATAAATGACCTCTCATACCTTAAAGCATATATTTATTACTTCAATCAAAATGAATAGTTATTACTATTTCATCCTAAAATTCAATATTAATCCGAATGTTATTATTTTGAAATCTCATTGAAAAGTACAAGCAAAAATAAAACAAATTAAAAGCATACATCAAGCAAGTACGATTAATTATTTATTTTACCAACATTTAATGAGAATACAGATGTCCAATTATTTAAATAAATCGAGACGAGACCTTAGATTCGATCTAACAGTCTTTTCTTGGTGAACTTAATTAAAAGAACATGATCTTTTTCTCAATCCCCAAATTTTAAAAAAACGGAATCAATTTAATTTGTGTCACTTAATGGGATAAACTTTTATTTTAAAACTATCGAAAGTAACTTTCTTATACGTTAAGACAGTCACTTTACGACAATCTTAAAATGAACGAATATTATCATTAGTCAAATTATTTTGATTCGAGTTAAGTTATGCTCATAAGGCTATCATGTGAATTAATTAAAACTAAAAACCTAAACTTATGCAATACATCACATAAATATTTTATTTTACACTACCAATATATATTTTATACATAAATCATATTTAAAGCACATATTATTCACATTACACAAATATAGGACTAAATAATAAAATAGAAAAATTTAAGTTCCACAACAGCAAGTCCAATAAATAACATAGCACATAATACAAGAATCAAACATTACAAGCACTAGCAATGTAATAAACCCATATATTTATGACCAAAATGAAAGAATTCAATATTACACGCTGGAAATCAAAACAAGCAAAAACACCTAGCTTAAAATGACCAAATTATAACACACTTAAATAAGGAAGGTGGAATCATAAACTTATGAAAGTTTACTAGGGAACTAAAATGCAAACTCGTGAACCCAAAGACCCCACCCGAGTATTTTACCCACACGCGAAACAGGTGCAACCCTAACACCCTAAACGACATCATTTTTTGGACCTATATATATATATAACATTATAACATTTTTTGGCTAACCTACCCTCATTTTAACCCCCTCAGCCGAATTTAAGAGAGAGAAAGAGTGAGAGAAACTCTCCTCATTGCATCGCTGGGGAAGATGGCCACCGTTCGGTGACACGGCCCAAAGAAGAAAAACTCACCCAAAAGCTTCTTCTCTTCTTCCTTAACCCGGATTCGAGGCTCGATCACTAAGAAAATCCTCCTAGAAGCCTAGATTTAAGGGAGAAGTTTCGAAAAACTACCTTCATCCACTACAAAAATCATCGCTCGATGGTGATGTGTTTTAAGTATGTGCTTGCCGACCACGGGATGGATCTTCTCATCGCACAAATCTTCGGTTTGAAGGCTAGAAGGTTAGTTTTGATGATGATTTTTTTAGGTTTTATTTCTCTCTATTTTTTCTTTTCTTTTTTTGAAGAACCGACCTACTGTTTTTTTTCTTTGATATTTTTTCCCAAAATCGAATCCCCTCTGTATTTTTCTTTTTTTTTCGAAAACCTGAATGCTCCTCTCTTCCCATCTCCTCTTTTTTTCTAACTGATCTCCTATTTTTATTGCCTCTTTGCGTGCTTGGGGAGGTTTTGCAGAGGCTATCATCATGGGTGAGGGTTGGTAGGTAAGGGAAATCATTCGTTTTTGTTGTTTTTTTTTTGTTTGTCTTTATTTCTCTGTTTCTTGCGTGTTTGGTGAATCTTGACAGAGAGATGATGACGTTGAAGGTCACGGGTTCGACCGGAATGACGACAGAAACGACAGTTGGTTCTCAATGTGAGAGTGGTAGCGACTGAAACCCCTAGGATTTCAAACCCTAGGTGCTTAGTTTAGTTAGGCTTGGGCCTTAACTTGTTGTTGGACATTGGTATTGGGCCAGTTGTAATGGGGTTTGTCTAGGTGACTTAGGTTGTAATTCGGGCCCATTTGGGTTTTGTTGTAACCTGAAAATAAAATAATAATAATAATAATAATATTAAAAACCCGGACAAAACGAAGTGGTAGTACTCGTTCTAAAGACGCTCAACCGTTTGACAATGAACGTTCAAATACCCTATATAATCTTTGATATTCGAACTTGAGACTTCTAGAAAACTCTACCCTATAAAATGGAAGTGAGTTAAAACCCGTTGAAGTGTCTTTATTTAAAATCAATTAATATAAAATTATTTTGCTTTAATTAAGATTTTAGTTCCAAATATTTAAAAGTACAATGACATTAAATATTTTAAACAATTTTAATACATTATTAGTGTAATAAATATAGAATTTTATTTAAAATTCCTTTTCTCTTGTGCATTGATGAAGTTCAATTAATTAATGTCTAGAGAAGGATAGGAGATGAGTTTGAAAATGAAGATGTTTTTTTGTTTTTTGTGTACTTTGGATAGAGGCAAGTGACGGGACCCTTCTCAACCACATTATTTTTCCTTGCAATTTGCATGGCTTGGTTAATAGGAGATGATCGTTAAGACCGTGTTTGGGGATTGAGGACCAAGTTAGAGCAATGGTATAACTTGCCTGTTTGATTATCAACTTGTCCGAATTATTAATTTTTAATTTTGTAAATCTGACCGATTCTACATGAATTTTTATTCAATGATTAGTAAACATAAAATATTAATAAACAAACCATTTTCAAGGTTACGGGAAAGATATTCAAACCTTCTTTAGACTAACGTAATATTTTATATTAAAATAAATGAATTTGAATTTTTAAAATTTTAAAGGTACAAACTTAAATTTATAAAATTTAGGAGCATGAAAATAAATTTTTAATAAAAAATACATAAAAAAATTTAAAATATATAATAATTTTAAATTTTCAAGAACGACTGCCCCACGTTGATCTATGATTGAGTTGAACCAAAAACAAGCTTGTGTAAAAAGGATACAAACTATTGATTACATGCCGTAGTTAAATTAATAATCACGATATCTTTAATTGTCAATTAAAATAAATTTTACACATAATATAACTTGAATCAAAATAAAAATTCATATCATGATGTGTAAGGATTAAGGCGACGTATGCAACCTCATGCAAAAGGTGTGCGTTGTTCAACACGAACTACTTCATGCAAATGGTGTGAGTATTGTGTTATGGTGAAGTATTTAAATGTATCAAGAAATATGATTTGGTCAGGTCTTTCAATTTTACGTCGCACATTGCCCCACATTCTACCCCAAGTAAGATGTCACTTACGTGCATATGACTCTATTTAAAAGTTACGTATTATATAAAGGATTATACAATAAAGGGTAAATTACATGTTTAATATCTAAACTATCAATTTTGACCCGTTATAATACTTAAATTTTTAATTTTTTTCAAAAGCATACTTAAAGTTTAGTTTTTGTTTCATTTTAATGTTCATCTTCAAAATTTAACGTTAATTTTTGGGGAAAAGTGAATGTTTAGATACTAAAACATACAAAAACTGATAGTTTTGATAACAAAAATAGGTACCTAAAGTATTTTTTTATCAAAATAGGTGCCTAGAGTATTCATTTTTTTCATCTAAATACCTAAAGTATTCTTTAATTAATACCACATGTCAACAATTTTAGAACTTAGATGAAAAAAATTAAATAATTTAAGTACTTATTTTGACATAAAATAATACTTTAGGTAACTGTTTTGACAAAAAAATATAATTTTAGTACTTATTTTGACTAAAAATACTTTGGATACTTAAATTAAAAAGATTCTTTAGGTAATTATTTGTGATATAAACCTAATATGAATATGCTATATAATAATTAATTATTCAAATTAAATGTTATAATAATTTATTTTAAAAGTAATTTTTATAATTTAATTTATTATATTCCTAATTAAAATTAAAATTTCTAATTTTTAAAAAAGGTATAACATTTATTATTCATTAGAAATATCAATATAAAGTCAATAATGGAAAAATATCACATATTTATATATTTTATCTTTATGATTAATGGATTTTTTTTAGAAAGCATAACCATAAACCTAAAATATAATTATGGCATTTTTCTATTATCATTTAGACAAAAACTAGCCACCTAGATTATATAAGAACCAAAGAAGAAAAAGGTTAAAAAACCTAACCCCAAAGGTCGAACAAAATAAAGATATAAACAAATATGACTGCATCCGCAAATGAACTACAAAGTGGGATGGAGCTACTGAAAGACCACTGATAAATCGTAAATTAGAGTCGAGCGACGTGAGAAAAAAATCCATGAACGCAAAACGCATATCCAAACCAATTCGAGGGTCCAAAGCAGGGAAGATAATCATGATAACAAATAAGAACCATTTTGATCAGTCGTGGTGATGTCAAATCCAACCCTAAGAAAAAAGATAAACGAAAACAACGGCAAAAAATCGTAAGCTACCAAAAGGCAGAGAAAACGTGCCACGAAGGTAGAGATAAACGTGTCATAAAGGCAGATAACATGTCACTCAGACATAATTATTCTTATTAAGAAATAAAAAAAACAAAAAAATAATCGACGGACGGCAACCAACATTAAAACTGGTGTCGTCGCCGGTTAAACAAAATTAAAGAAAAAAATTGGATTGATCAATAAAATTGATACAAATTGTAAAGAAGAATAAAAGTAAGAGAGAGAGGAGGAAAAAAGCGGCTAAATTTTTTTATTTATTATGATTAATGGATCACATAAGTCATACTTAAACTTGTTAGAATAACATAACAACCATTTAAACATAATTAAAAGACTAGCTAATATATTTAAGTAAAACGACACCGTTATATTACTAAATAGAACATTTCCCAGCTTATGCTACTACAGCTGAAGCTGCACTGGATACCTGTGAATGCAGTCTTCCCAGGGATTACTAGGTGAGGGCTTAACATTCACGAGGGCCAACCAAACTGCACTGTTACATTTGAAACCGCTTCCGAAAGCAATCTGCCAAACGCGGTCCCCTTTACGCATTCGGCCCTTCGCCTCTGTATAAGCCAGCTCGTACCAGATCGAACTCGATGATGTGTTACCGAACCGGTGGAGTGTCATACGAGAGGCCTCAACATGTACCGGGAGAAGCTGCAAATTCTTCTCGAGCTCATCGATCACAGCCCGCCCACCGGCGTGAATGCAGAAATGGTCGAATGCGAGCTTGAAATCCGGGATATAAGGCTTGATTTTGGCATTGAACAATCTCTTGGCAACCAATGTCACAAAGAATAAAAGTTGCTCACTTATAGGAAGAACAAGGGGACCTAGTGTAGTGATGTTAGTCTTAAGTGCATGACCAGCAATTGCCATCAACTCTTTAGACAAAGAAACCCCTGTTTTCCCATCATCATCTTGCTCCTGTTTAACACAATTAAACGCCTTATCATCGGCACCCAGATGTGTCCTCACAACATGAACGAGCTCGTACTTACTCCGCTTCCGGTCCCAGGAATTATTTGACAACAAAACGGCGGCACCACCGAGTCTAAACAAGCAATTCGATATGAGCATCGATTTCTTGGTCCCGGAATACCAATTGTACGTCATGTTCTCGGTACTGAAAACAACGGCGTAGCTATTCCGATGAACTCGCAACATATCCTTAGCGAGATCAACGGCTATAACACCGGCACTGCATCCCATGCCGCCAAGATTAAAACTCTTGATATTACTCCTCATCTTATACTTATGGATAATCATGGCTGACCATGAAGGGGTTGGGTTGTGTATACTGCAATTAACGACAAGGATCCCGACGTCTCTGGGCTTAACATTGGTGTTGGCGAAGAGTTTGTCCAGAGCACCGAACATCACCATTTCTGCTTCTTTTCTTGCATCAGCGATCAAGGGTGGTCTTGGGGGAATAGAACGCATTGTTTCGGGGGCGCAGGTTTCCTCTCCCAGCCCTGATCTTTCCATAATCTTGCCTAGGAACTCCAAAGACGAGTCATCGAAACCACTCTCCGCCTTGCAATATTCCATGAAATAATCGTGCTTGATCTTGAGATGTGAAGGCGGCAGATAACAAGAGAAATCCACCAAGTAAACGCATCTTTTCCGGGACATGAAGTAAACGGTGGACAGAACCACAAGGAGGGAACACAAGAGGGTGACTGTGAAGAGGTTGCACTGGAGCTGGGCCCACACTGCATGGATGTCATCAAGGCTTAACCTGCATGCTTCCACCACGATAACACACATCAAAGGCACCAAACAAAGCGTCGGAAGATGGCTTATTAGATAATGGTAACCCAGTTTCACATACTTCAGTTTCACACTTCGTGAGAAATCCGACAATCTCCTACGCTGCTGGACCTCAACTCCATTGTTTGTACTTGTACTTGTCATGATAATGAATAATTCAAGTTGGATTTTTTTTGAAATATCTAAAAGATTGATGTAATGAGTTGGGTTTTGGTTGTGAAGGAAAGGCGGGTATTTATAATGAATTGGATTCAGAGTACATGAGGAAGAATGGTAGGGTTTAGCTGATGCAACTAGAGCTGGTAGAGAATTAGTGCAGTTAGCATAGCGTAGAGGTAGGAGTTGGGCGTTGGGCGTTGGGCGTTGGGACTAATGCCTTGTACGTGCATTCTTCTCCTTGTTTTAGTCTGGCAAACCTTCTTTGACTGCTGTTTTCTCATACATTTAATGGAGGGAATAGAAGCTGGGAAAATGCTGAAAAGCACGGCCTTACGTAAAAGGATTTTATTACTAAATATAATGTGCACTTATGGAGTTTCATTAATGGCAGGGGAACTAGAAAAAGGGTAGGCGATGGGTTTGAGAATGAAGAACATGATTTTCATTTTATTATAACCTAAATTGCTTTTATTTTAACCAAAGTCTCAACATGTGCTTTAAATAAATAATTATATATATATATATACATAAGTGTGTTTACATCAACTAATATAAGATTTTTTAACTTAATTATAATTTTAAATTTGAATATTAAAAAAGCTTCAATGTTATATATTTTATGAAAAAACTTTGTTGCATTTACGATCATGCTATGTTAGTGTATTAGATATAATATTTTAAAATGAAGATGGCTTTTATTTTCCCATGTATCTTGGATAGAGTCGAGTGACGGACCCAAATTCTCAATAACATTATTTTTCATGCAATTTGCATGGTTTGGTTGAGAGGAAATGAATTTTAAGGCCGTGTTTGGGGAACGAGGAAAGTTAGAGTTATGGTATAAGAAATACTTGCCTGTTTTAGATTCCGAATTATTAATTTTTAAATTTGTCAAATCCAACTTGTAAGGGGAAGCCAAGACTTTTTAAGTGACTGGAATGAACTTATAAATTTTTGAAAGAGTATAATATATTTTAAATGATTTGTTAAGGGGGTTAAAGGATAATCTTACTTAAAAAATTTAACACATTACCTCATTAAATCAATATTTATTGTCAATTTATGGTAGGTCGAGGTCAATGGCTATTACCAATCCATAAGTTAAAATTGACAGCGTAATGTTATTCGATATATGGATCAATTAATTAAATAAAAATTTATTATAAGAATAATTCTTTTAATAAAAAATTGTATTTAAAATACTAAATTCTGAATCCTTCAATTTTATTTGATGTTGTGCATCATCAAAATACACTAAAAATATTATTATCAATTTAGGGCAGGTTATTAATTATGACTATTATAGATCCATAGGTCAAAATTGACGACGAACATAATCTGTCAAAATATATATTGGATTTGAAATATTAACATCATTGTATTGAATAAATTAATTTCATAAATAAAATACTTCTTACGTCATAACGTAACTATTTAAATTCATATAATAATATCATGTTAATAATTAAATACAAATAAACACATTATACCCATAACAAATGTTATATGGCACATAAATATGACAAAGGTATGTTAATAATTTAATACAAAAATGTATATTATACCAGTAACAAATGTTAACTATTAGATAATTGAAATTTTTATTTAGAATTAATGTTTAATTTAAATATAAATAAAATAGTTATTCAATTAAATGTTAAAAAATATTGAATGAAATAAACTTATTAAAAGAAGAATGGCGGTCAAACCAGCCCCCCCCCCCCCCACCCAACGATTTTCAATACCCGACAGGTTGTAATACGAACCTAGAGAATTTTCTGAAAATAAAAGAGAAAAATGGTGGTTTAATCTGAAAGCCGCGGAACGGAGAGTGATTGGGAGAGAGATGGACCCGGAGCAAACATTTATGAGGGTTCAAGGGAGATTTTCTCAGATATTAACTCCAAGAGTGAGGGTAGCTTTGGAGTATATCTATCTCTTCATTGCCATTACGTCCTTCTGTATTCTCGTTACTATGCATGCCAATTATGTTCAACAGGTATTTCAAACACTTTACCCGCGATTTCTTTAATTTTTCCTGGGCATTGCTTTATTGGATTTGGAAGAGTTTCGTCGATTTAGTTTCAGCTAAATTTTCTGGGTATATCAAGTTTGGCACTGTATTAGATTCAATTGATGCTTATTGTTCATAATCCTATTCGTTACGTGGTTTTATTATTATTGTCAAAGTTGAACCCGATGAACTAACTGAATTTTATAATCAATGTTTGAGAAAACGGTTCACTTACTGCTGACAGTTTGATCAACTGATTTTAGTTGTACAATTGATGATCGCAATGAATTAAAACGCCCTTTGGAATATGTTTTTTATGATACTTGAAATAGTTTGAGATGGTTCATTGTTTGTGACAATATCATCAGCAGGATTGATAATAGCCTTTGCAAACTGATGATTATTTTTGTAGGAAACTAGGAATTGAACTTATATGCCAGTGATAGGGGTTGGTTCGATTTGATATGAGTAGGTTTTAGGTTTTCTCGCCTTTTTGCTCAGCCTTATAAGTAGGAGAGGGATGGCCAGCATGTGAAGAATTTGTCCTTTTTCTTTAGAAGTTTTATCTTGACATATAAGGAAAACATGAACGAATTGTAACACTTGTTTGCATATGAAGCCTGAATGTTCGAGTGAGCTCTCTGGAATTGATTTAAATGAAGTACAACTTATTCAAATTAAAGTAAGAAATCAGCTTTTATTTTGTATAATTTGTAAATGGTAGATAAAGTTTCAAGAGACGAGATCTATTTGATATAAAGTATTGCACCTTAGACCTCAAATTTGTCCTTTGTTGTAGATAACAAGTGCTGGATTGTGGTCAAGAAATGAGTTTGAATCCGTTGTTGTAAATAACCCTGATTTGAAAATCGTAACTGAAACTGTAGAAGTTGCAAGTGTTGATGATGAAGGGTTAATGTTATTGGATGCCAAGTTTTGGTTGAACTGGTTTGATTCTGGTGCTAGGAAGGGAAAATCAGCATTGAAGTTCTGGAATATTGATGGTGAACTTATTGAGCAGCATGCAGAAAGCTCTACCGATGGTGAAATATCTAAGTCAAATATTGGTGATGTTGTTTCTAAAAGAGAGAAGGAGACACGTAATGGTTTCTCTTTATCAGCAAAACAGAAATTTAAAGCAGCTGTTGTTCACTTTGGCAAAAAGTGGTCCAGACGTTTATCTTTCCTTTGGAGACATGCACTTCAGATCTTTGGAAGTTTTCTAAGTTGTTGGTGAGTGAAAAAGGAAGCATGCATGTTCTTTTTTCATGGCTTAACTTTCTCTTTGCTGAGTTTTGAGCTTCTCACGTGCAGAATATGACAGGTTTACATCTAAATCTTGATGTTCCTAAATGGTTGCATCTACTACACTTCGACAAGCTTAACTCATATGCAGGTAGATAACATCATATCATCCTCTCATCTTTGTTCTCTTGGTCAAATTGCAATTATTTTAACTTCAGAGATAATCATGAATCCTTAGGTTTCATAAATATTTGTGCTATTGGTTTCAGTGCACTGGCTTGAGAAAAGAAGTAAAGCATTTGAACCGACTTATCTATACTCTTTGGAAAAGGTATTTTCTCTCTATCTGAATTTTCTCATGTTTTGTTGAATCGTTGATGCATTCAATGATATATTGTGTACGGATAACAAATATCCATCTTTTCAAGTTTAGTATCCTACCTTTAAATATAAAAAGTGCTACTGCTGCAGGGTTACTTCTTGCTGCCTGAAGCAGATAAGTCTCAGCATAACATACGTATGGTTAATATTAGCATATCAGCTCGACATTGCTGTTTTGGGAATAGGTAATATGTGCTGAAATTTACTGTTTGCAACTCCCATTATCATTTTTACGTAGATTGTTATATTTTAATCTTCGTGTGGGTGCTGCAAGTAAACAGATAAGAAAGCCATATGTTGATGCCATCTTATTTGCAGGTGGCAGCAACTTCTCATCAATAGATTTGTTGGGTATGAGACTATTATGATGAATAGTTTATTGCATCAGCCTGGTTAAGGTAATGCTTTGTATATGACTACAGCATCAAACTTTTCTTCGATAGCTTTCTGAGTTTTACACTGTAACTACGCATCTATCATACAATATTTGGTACAGTTTGTTTGACGTTTCGCATATTTCATTTTAAGGTTGTTTTATCTTTTCATGCTTAGCTTTCACTTTATTTTCCGCTTAACATCTTGAAATGATAATTTTCTTTATATTCTCGATAATATTTAATAGTCATGCCTGTAACATTATGTACTTAACCCTAGTGCTGATAGTCCTCAGTATGAGATTATAAGCTGATTTGATGCACATCCTTCTGATCCTGATGGTGGCTATTCTTTGTACTGAAGTTTTTCAGTCTCCTTGTAGCTGTTTTTTGGGTATCTATATGTCATGTTACGTGCTAAATTTAGCTTAGCAAGATGATTATGGGCTTTATGCATTAATTGGGGTGTTACATGTTTGCTGCTCTTTTTGCATGTTGATTTTGGGGCTATTTTATCCATCTTTGTTCTTTACGCATGTTTTGAAACTGTATTGCAGGCTATCTTTATAATTTTCAGACAAAGGAATTCTATAATCTTAGTTATGCACAAGAATTGTCTGATGGTTCTGCAAGACTCGGAGGTTTGTAGTTTAATTTCTTTTCACACGTTAAGGCATTTTATTAAACTAGCCATATAATGCTACAACAACATATGTTATTCGGACTTGGGTGTGAATGTTTGATATGTGTACGAGTCCGACAAGGATATGGTTAAGTTTTTCTATACCCATGTAAGATACTAGTTTCTGACACGTGTACTTCAAGAAATATGAAGATTTGAAGCAACATAGACAATATCAATTGTTTATGTAACATTTTGCTATTAGGACATCCCTTGGCCTTGACTAAAATGTTGCTGACCATGTCCTAGGATGTGGTTTTAAGCCTTCACACTCTTGCACTAGAACATGATAATATATAATTGTCATGTTTCTATAATCTGCTGTCACAATTGAATGGAATTTTCTTTGGAGGGAGTTAATATTTTAAATGGTTTCAATGCAGACTATCTCGTCACCAAGTGTGGTGTGCTCATGATGTCCTTATTCGTATTTTTCACAACAAACATGTCAGTATCATTTACATTGAGGGAAACTCAGACTCGCATGCTTAAGTTCACAGGTCCATTAACTTCCATTTTCCTGGCAGGGCATATGACATTGTGCAAGCCATGCAAGTTTGTGCAGCCATAAGATTGCTTTCTTTCCAATTTGTTGAACAAGTTCATGATTAAAAAAAGGATACCAAGTTGTCACCCTTAGAGTTTTGAAATCGTGTAGGATTGATTTTCACTTTTGTTTAGGCTCTCTATGTTTTTATTTTTTTGCCTATATGAATCTGTGGCTAGGTTTAGGTGTCGGTGCTTTGACATTGTTAAAATGCTCCTTCAGTCTTCGAATATGAATTGGATCTCTTTTTCTCAAATTATTGCAGTGCAGCTTCAACACCATGCTCGACATAGGCTTCCGACATTTCAGTTGATATTTGTGCACGTAATTGAATCGCTTGTATTAGTACTGGTAGGCATAAATAGTATTTCAACATATCTCACAATAAGTACTCTCCAGAGCCTTTTTATTGATTTAAAATATCTCCTGGCTTTTCATTTAAACTTCCAAGCATTTGCCACTGGCGTTAAAGGATGGTGCTGTTGTCTTGCAGATTATGATCGGCATCCTATTTTTTCTGTTTGAGTTCTACGATGATCAACTATTGGCTTTCATGGTTCTAATTCTTGTCTGGTTATGCGAGCTATTTATACTGATCAGGTCCCTCTCCCCCCTCTCACTCTGTCTGTCTCTCTCAATGTTACTTGGATTGAGGTGTAAATGTTGTATACGTTTATGTGTTTGACATGACTATATTCCATTTTGTTTTCCTATTTTTTCATGTATTTAGAGGGTTCCTACTTCCTAGAGAATCATATCCTACCCATGTTGAAATTGCGTTGGACACGAGTACATAGCTCTCAACTGTATGTTGTAATCATCTCACTTAAATTAGATCTTCAATCTGGCTTCTTTTGCTTTTTAATTGGGTGTGGGCTAATATGCACGACATATCCAACGAGTTTACTTTTCTTTTCAACCTATTTAATATGATTATTTCTGTTTGCAGTGTCCGGACACCAATATCAATGAAGTTCTTTCCTCGCTTTTTTTCGCTCTACTTTCTGGTTTTTCACATTTACTTTTTCTCCTATGCATACGGTATGGTCCGATACTGTAATACTACAATTTGGGTTGCTGGAATTTGTTTATCTTATCTGAAATCTATATTTTAATTTCTCCAGGCTTTTCATATTTGGCTCTCTCTACAGCCGCGCATTCATGCAGCACCTTATTCTGTACTTCTGGAATCGTTTCGAGCTAACAATCATTGAAATCATTGAATGAGCTGGCAATCTTCATTTATATATTATGGTTTGCATATAAATTTTTCTTATGCATTTATAATTTATAACATAAGTAAAGATGAGCAAAGAAAAATATAATGGCCTGAATCCATATTATTCGTTGGGTACGAATGTCTCCAACCGGTATGTTTCAGAAACGAGTGTGTTCAAAATTTTCAAGATTCAAGATGTTTGGTGGGTCCTTGGTTATGTCTGGATGTATGTCGGAATAACATAGTTCCTATTTATATTTTATTAAAATAAAAATTGCATTTCTAGAGCTTATAGACATGTTGCCCTTTTAGGTACCAGCAGTTTAAAGGTTTATGCAAAACCGGCGCTCTCAGCTTCAGCAGCATCCAGACTAACATATCACCTCCTCGGCCATACTTGCGTCTACTCTACACATCAGACGATTGAACACCCGAAGTCCTGGCCTAGCTAATACAGATCCTTCCTCTGGGCTAGAGTCGAGAACCGGATCTGACCAAGCAGTGCAGGCAAGTGGAGCCGGAGAAGCTGCTGGCCCTCAAGGACACTCAGGAAATGACTACGCGAGCCGGACTGACAACCCTGTTCAGATTCCTGGACAACCTGAGCTACCACAAGCCGAAGCTGGTTCTAATCCTGAGACTAGGGGTGTAAACGAGCCGAGTCGAGTTCGAGTATTGCTGAGCTCGACTCGACTCGAAAACCCTGAAATGAAGCTCGACTTGACTCGAAAACTCTGAAATAGAGCTCGATTCGAAAACTCGAGAGCTTAAAATTTTTAAGCTCGACTCCAACTCGAAATCCTGAACTGAAGCTCGTGAGCAGCTCGAAAAGACTCGAAATGAAAAAAAAAAATCTTAAACTTAACAAGATTGAATCCTCAAACTCAAACTCGAACCTGAACCTTAAATACATGAAAGTTTTATTGTATTTTTAAAAAAAAATCAACACATAAATATTAATATTATTAATAATTTATTTTTTTAAAAATAAAATCTTAATATATTATATTTTCGAGCTGCTCACGAGCTTTTTGAGTCAAGTAGCAAGTAGTTTGTTTTGGCTCGTTAAGAATTCGAGTCGAGCTCGAGTTCGAGTCGAGTCTATTCGATCCGAGTATTTATCGAGCCTTGACCGAGTCGATCTCGAGTAACTCACTATCTGTCTTGTCTCATTTACAGTCCTACCTGGGGCTATGAGTTCATTCAATTCAATGTTATTATGGATATTGGGAGGTGTTTCATCTGAGGGTCTCAGTTCATTTTTTCCTTGTTCCTAGATGTTAGAGAACAAGGGCCGGTTTACACTGATTCCGCTAGGCATGAAGATCGTGCACCGCAGAACATCCAATAGTCCTGCGCATACTTGGTAGCACTCTCAAAAGTAATGGAGACGATAGGTTTTAGTATTAGATGTTCTAATGTTTCGAGTCATCTGTACGAGAGATGAGCATATGCATGCATTCATACAAATGGTACGTAAATCAGATGTCTTTAGAATAGTTGCTATATCTTGTAATCACCTTAGATTAATTAAAAAACACTTAGAATTTTTAAAGAAATTTAACTCTTCAAAGTATTATAATAATGTTCATTGATATTAAATTTATTTTTGATTCCTTGTTCGAATTTCAACATTTACAATTCCTCAACTCGGGGAAAACTAGACATTTGAACATTTCACTTTGAAGTGTACTGCTTTGTTTCGATTACAGCCAAAACATTCCAATGCATAATACGAGATTAAGTTTGATTTCCTGAAGATGCCTATCAAGAACAACCTTCCAATATACTACATGCTTCTGACCGTTGTTCATCGGTTAGATTCGTCGGAAACTTGATGACGAATGTGATTTGGAGATCACCTCGATTGCCTCCTTTAGCAATAGGCATCCCTTGGCCTTGAATCACCTTTTCGTATCCAGGATATATGATGTCACTAACATGCATGCTCATCGTATCCCCTCCAAGCAAAGGGACAAGCAGTTGGCAACCTGTTAAGGCCTTCACCAATGGGATCTCGACTACTATCTCCAAGTCATCACCGGTTCGTTTGAACAAGTGATGCCTCTTCTCTTGTATTGAGAAGGTGATGTCTGCCGGAAGGTAGCCCGGTTTTTCGTCGCCTTTGCCTTCGAAGGTAAGCTTTGTTCCTTTTGTCCATCCTGGCTTTATGTTTATTGTCAGAGTGTCCTCTTGTTTCACAATTACTCTGTGGTATCGAGTTTGAGAATTATGAATGCTACAAATACTTGGAAAAATGATGGTGGTGTATAAATGAAAGGTGATTGAGTTCCATACCCTTCATAGGAGATGACATCTTTGACGATTTTGATCTTTTTCACCGCTCCAAAGCAAAGCTCTTCCAAGGTGCATTCGAGTGTTTTCTCGATCGGCTGAGGTTTTCTACGAGCAAGAGGAGTGGTACTCCTCCGACTTGTACTTCTCAAAAATAAAGGTTTTTCTATTTCCGATGTGCTTTTTCGACTCGTACTTCTTGAAAGAGAGAAAAATCGACTGACGCTAGAGCTTCTCTTTGTTTGTTTTTTCTGATCTTGTTGTAGTTGTGACGTCTCGTCTTTGGTTTGGCTCTTTCGACTGAAGGTTCTCAAAAGCGAGGATTTCAAAGGGTTGCTCGACGATCGGCTCGGGGTCTTGGACAAGTAGGTTGGTCCAGGCGTAGGTGTGTGACTCCTCCTACTCGAACTCCTCAGAAGGCAAGAAAATTCGGTATCATCCGCACGTAGACTATCTTGTTTCTCTGTTTTTGAAGGTTTCTCGCCTTTTTTCAATTTATTTTCCATCACCTTCCTACTGGATGTCTGAAATTAGAAGAAAAGAAAATCCAACATCAACACACATACATGCACATATACATTGGGGGAGGGGTTTGCATGGGAATTTCTACACGCACAAACCTTGTCCAAATCACCATCCTTTTGTTTTTTCTTTGGAGAAAGTTTATGATCAGAGCACCATTTCTTGACGAGAGATCTGTACGCCTTCCATGACATGTTAATAAGTCCCGCCCCCGAACGATGACACTCACCATCACGATCACGATCGTGTCGATGATGAGAATTCGAGTGATCTCCCATGAGAGAGATGTTATACGATATCGGGAAGTAATACCAACGTATTACAACAAAGAGATCCAATTTGTGGTAAGGGATAGAAAAGGAAGGAACAAAGAGAGAATGGTTTGTGAAAGGCGCAACACACAGCAATTTGATTGGAGCTTTTATTAGCAATAAGAACTAAGAAAAGGTCCGTTGTCTGTTCTTGTCCTTTTTTAATACAAAAGGGGTTCTTTTTAACTATAATACAACTACGTATTGTTGTTAAAAGTCTGGTTGAATTTACAATCAACTCCAATACCAACCTCATTGGTTGTTACAAACATGTTCTTTTCATAAATAAAATTTCAAAATTCGAACAAATTATTTTTGTATTATATAAGGACTAATAATATAATTTAACTTATATTTTTTTATAGGTGGAAGGAAAATGGGTAAATGATGATCAAACTAAGATGCTAATGTCATTCATCTTTGATTTATAATTAAAACTAATAATTGCAAATGGCATTAGGTAATTAATCAAAAGTAGAGCTGATAATTTGATAGGGTGGATTTTAAAAAAAAAAAAAGATTGGTCATATTTTGATTTAATATGATTTGAGATTATAAAATATTTTGTATATATATTTAGAGAGGGTTATTGTAACATTTTTTTCTCTATATTTTTCCAGCTAATCATTTTTTTTATATTTATCTCAAGTCAAAATAGATTGAATAAAATTAAAATTTAATTCGTCAAAAATCTGACCCGTTTCACGATCCATTGCTCCATGGGTTCAGTATCGGACCCTTTGATCTTAAATATCCGTAAGTTTTAAGAAGAAAAATTAGAGACCTGGTTTCATGTAAGCAAAACGCAAATAAAGACTGTCTCTCCCAAATCTACAACAAGATCAAAACAAGAAAAAGAAAAGGGGGAGAACTCAGCAGCATTCATTTCGAATCTGCCTCGGGAACCTTTCAGATCCGAGCACCGTCCGATGGTCGCAATGTCCTCCTCCTCCGCCGTCCGATCCTTCACTGTTTTCGCCGCCGTTTACTTCTTCCTCTCTCTCGCTTTCGCTGCCGAGTCAGATCACAAGGTTAATCTTTAGATTTCGTGTTTTCTTGGTGTAATTCTTTCTCGATTTCGAAATTAGATCTTTGCGCATTTTTCAATGTACTCAAATCACGTTTCTTTTGAATGAGAACTTAGATAATATTCTTTTTTTCTTATTTTTCTTTGTAATGCGTTTGATGTTTAGATTTCATTGATGTTGCATATTGTTTCTTTCTTGCAGTATCAACCAAATGATCCAATTACTTTATGGGTAAATAAAGTTGGTCCGTACAACAATCCTCAAGAAACGTATAACTATTACAGCCTTCCATTTTGTCAACCGGGGTTGAATCCTGCTCACAAATGGGGTGGCCTTGGTGAGGTCCTTGGTGGAAATGAACTGATTGATAGCCAAATTGATATCAAATTCCAAAGTAAGCTTTCTTTCTTTTTTCTTGTTTGAGTCAATTTTGATTACTGTAACTTTTTTATTAAAATCTAATTTTCCACTTTTTTATTTCTTCAAAAGAGGATGTGGACAAAGGTGTCATTTGTCAACTGGAACTTGATGAAGCAAAGGTCAAACAGTTCAAGGATGCAATTGAGAACAGCTATTGGTTTGAATTCTTCGTAGGTATGTTTTGCTTCTCATTATTTTACATGCACGGTAGGTCTAAAACGGTATTGATACTTGATAGAACAGTTGAGTACTTAAAATTGCTGGATCTTAAAGCATCTGAAGCATGGATCTCTCGATAGAATAGTAGGTGTTTTCTCTGTTTGGCAATTTGGACATGTGGTGGCCAACAAGAAATCCACTCCATATTGAATAAAATGTTATATGCATTTTTGGGGTTACAAGGAAATTTATGGACTGAATATATGCTTAGTGGATAAGTTACGGCTGCATTACATTCATTGACTCATCGCTGCCATTATCCATTAAACTAGAGAGCAATGATCCCCTACCAAGTCTGCATTCTTGAAATCTTAAGGAGCATACCAAGTCTACATTCTTGTTTGGACACTTGATTACGGAAAGTTGCATAATACTAGCTAGAAATACATTAGGAATCATGCAAGTAGATGCAGAGAGTGTGGATATGTGGGTCCTTTCTCTTGGTATTGTATCTCTGTTCACAGGCTTTAAGGTTTACTTTGACTAATATGGCTATATTTTGTTGAGCACTTACTCTTTATCATCCTTGCCTTCTTGTCGATGCAATGTCTTGTGCTCTTTGCGATGCTGAAAGGTCAGATGATCTGCCTTTATGGGGTATGTGATTAATCTATTTCCTCTTAATTTTATCTGGTCTACTAGTCCTTATATACTTTGTTACTGAAGACTGAAGAGCTTATCTTTGAACTTTTTAGGCTTTGTTGGTGAGCAGCACCCTGATAGGAACAGTGAAAATGGCAAGCAGGTCCTCTACACACATAAGAATGTTGTTATTAAATACAATAAGGATCAGGTTTGTTGTCTATGGCTTATCTATGGCTTATGTTCCATGTTGTGGAACCTTCTGTTGTCATTGACTGTTCTCTCTTGAAGATTATTCATGTCAATCTCACACAAGAGGGTCCAAAACCACTGGAGGCAGGGAGAATTTTGGACATGACATATTCTATCAAATGGCTTCCTACTAATGTCACTTTCGCTCGTCGCTTTGATGTTTACTTAGACTATCCTTTCTTTGAACACCAAGTGAGTAGCGTTATTGGTTCTCATTTCCCCTTTATGGGAATCCTTTTTTAATCTACTGCAACAAAATAGTTCATTTATTTGCACAGCTCTTGCGATAGGTTGTTTTTCTTTCTTTTAATTTCCCAAGAGCTTTACATACATGTTGCATTATGCAGATCCATTGGTTCTCTGTTTTCAATTCATTCATGATGGTTATCTTTCTCACTGGTTTGGTGTCAATGATCTTAATGCGAACCCTGAGAAACGACTATGCAAAATATGCTCGGGAAGATGATGATTTGGAAACATTGGTGATATTACCTGCCCCTTTCTTTTTGGCTTTTCATTAAGGAAATTTCTTTTTCCTGAAAATTCGTGTTCTCCTTGCTATTCCCCTATGTTCTCAGGAAAGGGATGTGAGTGAAGAGTGTGGTTGGAAACTTGTCCATGGTGATGTATTTAGGCCTCCAAGCAATTTGGCTTTGCTTTCTGCTGTTGTTGGCACAGGCGCTCAGTTAGCATTGCTTGTTCTCCTTGTCATCTTATTGGCAATTGTGGGAACTTTGTATGTCGGGTATGTTAAGAAGATTTTATGAAATTCAAATTTTGTGGGAGTTGTCGAAATTTATTTATTGCTGCCTATCTTAGACACCACTTTTATGATAATTATCTTCTTGTTTTCCTTCCCATCGTTTTTAATTCATAATGACGAATCACTTTATTAGCCGGATTCGGTATTTCATCTTTCAGCATTTTGATTGCTAATAATCTCATATCCTGATTATTTTTGTTCAGGAGAGGAGCAATTGTCACCACTTTTATACTGTGTTACGCGTTTACATCATTCATTTCTGGTTATGTGAGTGGTGGAATGTATTCACGAAATGGGGGTATATGCTTTATCCCTTCCCATCGGGATTGCATTTAGCACTTTCCTTAGGGACCTAAAAATTTGGGTTCTTTTGTGTTTTCCAGGTAAAAGTTGGATAAAGTCAATGATCTCTACGGCATCTCTATTTCCATTATTGTGCTTTGGGATTGGATTCATCCTGAACACAGTTGCTATATTTTATGGATCTCTAGCTGCTATTCCTTTTGGTACAATGGTGGTGGTCTTCGTAATTTGGGCTTTCATTTCATTCCCCCTGGCTCTTCTTGGTACAGTTGTTGGAAGAAACTGGAGTGGTGCTCCAAATAATCCATGCCGTGTGAAGACCATTCCTCGCCCAATCCCGGAGAAGAAATGGTATCTCACACCCTCTGTGGTCTCTCTGATGGGAGGACTTCTGCCGTTTGGAAGCATATTCATTGAAATGTATTTTGTCTTCACATCATTCTGGAATTACAAGGTGATTTTCTTTTCCTTGGATTTAATTGCTTGACGATGAGCATCTTTGGAGATTGAATCGCATTTGCAATTCTATAAACGAAATCTATGGAGTCATAAATTATTTGGATGCATGTTTGATAACATACATAAAAAACCCAAATGATTATGTACTATTTAAAAAGAAAATACAGACGGTCTCATTTTCTTGTAAGGAACAATAATTTAGGGTTTTGTTTTGTCTGTATTCCAGTAATTTCATGCAATATGCTTGTATTTTGCAGGTTTATTATGTCTATGGTTTTATGCTGCTTGTCTTCCTGATTCTCATCATTGTAACCATTTGTGTGACAATTGTCGGGACTTATTTCTTGCTAAATGCCGAGAACTATCACTGGCAGTGGACGTCATTCTTCTCTGCTGCCTCAACCGCTGTTTATGTGTATTTGTATTCGGTATACTACTATTCTGTGAAAACCAAGATGTCAGGTTTCTTCCAGACGAGCTTCTACTTCGGATACACTTTGATGTTTTGTCTTGGTTTGGGAATTCTCTGCGGTAAGTTATGAAATTTATAAATAATCTATCGTAACTGTAATAAATAAGATTATCCAGAGCTTTTTCATGTGCTTATTCCAAATAAGCATTCTCTGTCTTGCCTTTTTCCAGAAAAACCCCGTTACATTTCTCGTTGCTCTGCTTATTGCTGTTTATGCAAAAGATAGAACGGAGTTGTTAAATATCATCTCTCTCTGTGTGTGGTTTTTGATTACTTCCTTTTTTGATACGCAGGAGCTGTTGGTTTTCTTGGTTCGAATTTGTTCGTAAGGAGGATCTACAGAAACATCAAGTGTGACTAGAACCTAAGTAGAACCGTCAGCGCTCAGGATTTTGAGGCAATAAACATCGAGAGGAAGCTTTGGTTGGTTATAGGGACCCTGCAAAACCTACTGAAGAAATAACAGGGTTTACTGTAGGGATGTATTCTCGGTTCCCACGATTTTTGTTCCACCTTTCTTTTTTTTTCTTTTTTTCGCCCAGATTGTAATGGGATGCCCCGATTTCAGAATTCAGATAATTGTTTTATAATTCAAATAGGTAGCTAAAAAGTATTAAACTCGTGTCATTTTGTTATATACTATCGTCCTTGATCCATTTGCATAGACGGGGAATGGTTATGAATCGTGCAAGATTCATGAAAACAAAGAAAACAAAGGTAATGGTGACTGGTGAGGGGCGCGCGAGACAGCAAGTGAATCTGTCGTGGGCGCTCGACAAAGTTGTTTTTCATACAAAAGAAAATTAAACAATTAAACGTTGGAATCCTTGTCTTGCCGAAACTATATATTCGTGCTCAAATCCTCACTTCGCTTCTCAACATTCTTCATCAACTAGACACCGAACACTCAGTGAAATTAGGTGAAAATCAAGACAAAATCCCAGCAATGGAAATCTTTGTGAAAGTGCTAACAATCGCAGACATTGAAAGAAGATTATCCCTGTCAAAAATGGTTGTTCGCAGGCATTACCTCTTCAAAGGCTGCCATGGACTAGTGTTGCAGGTTAAAGACGAGGGCGGACTGTTGTGGAACTTTCGCTTCATGATGGGATCCGGGTCGTCCCCGAAACTGGTAATGGATTCAGATTGGATCAAATTTGTACGAAGTAAAGATCTGCATGAAGGTGATATGGTGGTTCTTCACCAGGAGGAAGATATGATTACAGGGACAGGATACAAAATCCAAGTGAAGAAGTTTTCAATTTTGTAAAACGAAAGCATTTCAGTGAGTTGGTTGTACGTACAAGTGGAGATTGAGTCATGTAATCATTTAAACACATTGCCAATCTTGACGTAATATTATTTTGATGGAGGCTTCAAATTTCAAGGCTATAGATTTGTACCAAGTGAAAATGCAATTAATAATCTTATCTTCTAAACATAAAAAATGACCAACATTTAGCTCTTTTCTTCTTCTCACGTGACGTAAGGCTTAGCTTTAGAAACCCGGCGACGAACAATTCTGTCGCGCGCTCAAACACCATGCAAAACGTACGTCCACCTCATTGCTTCTCTAACTTTCTTTTTCCCTATCTATTTTTTAATTAAAAAAAATAAAGTTAACATATGGGAAAGAAGACCCTTACTCGAGAAGATACACTCCTTTCCCTGAAATATGATATAAACTTAGAAAGTTGGAAGAATTCCCAGTCGAAATTACTTGCAGACTGCAGTCAAACTTTCTCACGCTTTCCAGGAAAAATCCATGAAGCTAAAACTATATTATATAACACATGTATATATATGTGTGTGCGTTGAGGGTGCAATACAAGTTGGCAACTTAAGGAGCATATGGAACTGATATTTTCAAAATTACTAACACAAACAGATATCGAGAGAAGATTATCAGTGCCGACACGTATTCTGTATTTGATTCCCTTCGCCGACGGAGAAGCCGGCTGTCGGTATGCCGACTTGCGAGTTACGGATGTCGGCGGGAACGTGTGGACTTTCCGATGCATATGGCAAGATGGGATGTACGCGAAGCCTGTTTTCTCTAAAGGGTGGCTTGAATTCGTGTACGCCAAGCACCTTAAAATCTATGATAAAGTAGTTTTGTATGTAGAGAAAGATGTTGATGAAGCTGTTGGTACTTATAGAACTGAAGTGAGAAGGAATGTTTTGCGGTTGATGGGCCAGGATATTTGGATTGAGGTTGAGCATTTACACCTTTATGGTTTGGCTTAGATTTTATGCAAATGTATGGGTTTTTTTTTAACTTTGTCCTTCAGATTATGTTTGGATCAACTAGAAAAGTTCGAGTTAAAAAAATAAGAGTTTGTAAAACTTATTATCGAACTCCTCGGGCCAAGGGGTAGAGTCAGGTGGCATTATATTAATGAGACTGCTGGTAACATTGATTGTGAACTCCCTTGATCTGAGCACACATACATCTCCTTCCCCTGCTCGAATGCTTTGGCTGCATTCATTGCCAAAATCTATACCAATGAGGCAAAGCTTTTACAACAAAAGGAATGCAAATGCTTGAATAGTTTCGTTAAATAATCACCGAAACTGGTTGAAAAGAACCCAAAGAGGTTCTTTGAGGAAGTTAGTTTAGATGGAGATCCAGATGAGTTGAAGGTTAACATCTTGTCCCCAAAGTCGGAATCTGAATGTATATCAAAGTGACTGCAAACTATAATTTCATCAGGAACTGGAAGCCTTGTCCAGCTTCTATTTAATCCAAGAAGAACAAAACTATCATCGGAATTGAAATCTGTATGCGATAGAGCAGATCCAAAGAAAATAGAGAGTGGAATTGAGGATGATTCGAGCATTCGCAAGGCTTCTGCTGGGTAATACTACTAAATACCGTCATTTCATTTAGCTTAGCTCAGAAAATTTCTGCATACCCGGAGTCAACTGTTGATAACTGGTACATTTTTCATTATTTTAGATTTCATCTTTGCATGCTTTGAAATACTAGAAATAGGTTTTCCCTAACACTGTTCAAACCTATGCATAGTGTCAAGACTAAAATGGAAACAAGGATGTAACTAGATTTCATCTAGTGGCAAGGAAGTTCGACTGGCCTAAGGATTCGGTTATGTGGAAGCTGTTTGCAGCTTAACTGCATTCTCTTCTTAGATTTGAGCAACCATAGCTAAGGTGATTTATCTAAGCCATGTAGCTGCCATTAAGAGTGCTTTCTACTCAGATTCACATGAAGCACTTCCCCAACCATCTATCCACTCCAATATGTGTTAGGTAGTCCTCGTATCGCCTGTTTCAAACCCCCAAATCTACACTTATCGTATTAGTTCCATGCAAATAGTTGTACTTCCCTAGCCTTACTTTAAACTTATGATGCTATGAATAATACCCTTTGTGATAAGGTACGAAAAAAGAGTGATCCATGTAATAAAACACAACATTCCAAAGAAGAACCATTGGACAATGTTGATTGAGGAAACTAACTGTCCGTGTTCAATGTGTATAGAAAAGAAACCATACTCACATGATACCCAAAAGGTGGTTTAGCAACATCATCTAGCCCCATGGGAGAAGTCGATCAAGCTTTCATCCAAGCCGGCGAGCACCGACCCAAACTCGATACCATCGAAACCCAGGGAATCCCAATCCCACTCATCGATCTCTCAACTATAGACCTCAAGCTACTTGTTTCAGAGATTGCAGACGCCTGCAAGAACTGGGTTTTTTTTCAAGTCATCAATCATGGTGTGCCTTTGGAATTATTCACAAAGATAAACACAGCAGCTAAAACCTTCTTCCATCTAACCATAGAGCAAAAAACAAAGGTTAAACGAGATGCAGTGAATTCATACGGTTACCACGAAAGCGAGCACACCAAGAATGTTAGAGACTGGAAAGAGGTGTTTGATTTCTTGATCAAAGACCCATCTTTTCTACCTGCTTCGCCTGACCCTGAGGATCAAGAAATCAGGACGTTGAGTAACCAGTGGCCTCAGAACCTTCCCCAGTTTAGGTAAATAATCTTCCCTTGGGGATCTTTTTTCATGCCTGGAAATGATAGAGAAGGTGCTAGTGTTTTTTTTTTTTGCCTTTGATATGTTTGATAAATTAGCTGACAGAGATGAACAAATCTATGACTCCCTTCAAGAATTAATTTTTTGGCTTAAAGATGACCATGTTTTACAAATTAGCAAATCTTATTAATTTCTTTAACAATTTGATTTGGTGATTGTCATGTCAAAGTTTGGTGTTAGGCTCGATTAACTTGACGTATTTATCTACTAAAAACTGAGCTAGATTTGAATTTCTCATATTTGATTTCAAAATTAATTATATATGTTCAAGCTTGAATTCTAGATGAGATTTTTCAATAGGAGAAGAAAGACCGATTAGACTCGTAAACTACTTAGCTGGATTTGAAAAATGATGGAGTCAAATATGAGGTTTTTTTCAAGTTAAATCGGAACAACTTACATGCACAAGTGCCTTGGTTATGCCTTATATTAATTTGGCACCTGGTTTATTGTTGGATGGGGAGGTATGCCAAGAGTATGCTCGAGAACTGGAAAAACTAGCTTAAAAGCTATTGGAACTCCTGGCATTAAGCTTAGGCTTACCATCTAACAGTTTCAATAGCTACTTTGAGGATCATACATCAATGATAAGATTTAATCACTATCCTCCATGCCCTTGCCCCGAGTTAGCACTCGGCGTCGGTCAACACAAGGATGCCGGTGCCTTAACCATCATCGTTCAAGATGATGTCGGAGGACTACAAGTAAAGAGAAAATCGTACGGCGTTTGGGTTCCTGTTAAATCGACACCAAATGCCTTTTTCGTCAATGTTGGTTATACAGTTCAGGTAACTTAAGATTAATCTTGGTCCATCGGAGCTGGACTCAGACAAACGGTTTTTATTCAGGTCAGGTTAGTATGATGTTATCCACGATTCGGTTTTGCATGTTTGGAGCAATGAAGCGTACAAGAGTGTGGAGCATAGGGTGGTGGTGAACTCAGAAAGGGAAAGGTATTCGATTCCGGTCTTCTTCTTCCCTTCTCACTACGCGATGGCCATTGGAGGAGCTTGTGAATGAGCAAACCCCCCCCCCCCCCAAATACAGAGAATACAACTTCGGCGAGTTCTTTGTTGCTAGAAGTCGGGGTGATTATAAGAAGCTAAAGGTTGAAGACATTCAGATTCATGATTTCAAAATCATATAATTAATGAGTATTGAAATCCTACCCAACGTTGTCACGATTCGATCCAGTCTGTTAGACCCTATCATGGGATTGTTTGATGATACTCTGATTTTTAATGCTCACACTATCTTTAACTATTTGATCCATATTAATTAGTCATAATTTTATGATATACTTACGTTCACAAGGATATCCAATATTCAGTCCATAATATTTTAATATAATTCAATTACATTTTATTTAATCTATACAAAATTTATATGTCATAATAACAAAGTTTCTAGAACAAATTATGCCAGCAAACCCCTCTAATGTTACCTACCACAAATTATTTTGAATTAAGAGGTGTTTATTTTCGATTGTCTTCGATTACCTACCGCCAACCGACCAATATATTGTTTTCTTAAGAAAGTTGTCTTCTTCAGTGTCTATAAAGCTTATTTTCAAACTATCCAACCACTACATTCGAAAGGTTTCACCATGGGAGAGATTGATGAAGCTTTTGTGCAGGGACCTGACTACAGGCCGAAACTTAGTACAATCAAAGTCGATGAGATCCCAGTAATCGACCTGTCGGCATCCGGAACCCAAAAACTCGCTGTAAAGATCGGGAAGGCGTGCCAAAAATGGGGTTTTTTCCAAGTGATCAATCATGGGGTGCCTTTGGAATTACGCAACAGGGTGGAGAAAGTGGCCAAAGCGTTCTTTCACCTTCCCATAGAGGAGAAAAGGAAAGCTAAGCGAGATGAACTGAACTTTACGGGTTACCATGACGAAGAACATACTAAGAACATCAGAGACTGGAAAGAGGTTTTCGATATGTTGATACAAGACCCCACGATTCTCCCAGCATCGTCTGACCCGGATGATGAAGAAATTATGACCTACACTAATAAGTGGCCTGAGAATCCCCCTGAGTTTAGGTAAATAAAGGCTTTAAATTTTGGCTCGCAATATGCTTGCTTAAACGACTGAAAATAATTTTTACATGAACATTTTCCTTTAATTAAGCTCTGTTAAGATTTTGGTCATATATATGATACGCAGTTGTTTAACTAATTCGGGTTTTGGCACTTGATTGATGCCATATGTTTTGTGTATATAGAGATACATGCCTGGAGTATTGCAGAGAGGTGGAGAAGTTGGCTTTCAGATTGCTGGAACTCATTTCTATAAGCTTAGGTTTGGCGGCTAATCGGTTGGGTGAATTGTTTAAACACCAGACTGGTATGTTGAGACTGAATTACTATCCACCTTGCCCTTCTCCTGAGCTAGCACTTGGCGTTGGTCGACATAGGGATGGTGGTGCCTTAACTGTGCTTGCTCAGGATGATGTTGGCGGCTTACAAATTAGGAGGCAATCAGATGGGGAGTGGATTCCTATCAAACCAATCCCAAATGCCTACATCATTAATATTGCTGATACTCTTCAGGTAACCTTGCTTTTTTGGTACAAATAGCCGGGATCGAATGAACAAGGTTTTGTTCGTGTTCGTTTGTTTATTTTTAAAGGTGTTGATGCTCAGGCTCGTCTGTTTATTATCTTGTTTGTTTGTTTGTTTATTGTAAAAGGGGATGGGATTTTGCAGGTCTGGAGTAACGATCTTTACGTGAGTGCAGAGCATAGAGTGGTGGTGAATTCTCAAAGGGAAAGATTTTCGATTCCATTCTTCTTCTTCCCCTCCCACTATGTCGCAGTGAAACCTCTAGAGGAGCTAGTGAATGACAAAAATCCGGCAAAGTATAAGGAATATAACTGGGGAAAGTATTATGTTAATCGAACCGGAAGCAACTACAAGAAACTTGATGCCGAAAATGTTCAAATCGATCATTTCAAGGCTCCCAAATCTGGGTAATTGTTGCAGTAACATCTTGATTCTAAACTATTACCTGTTCTAAGTTTCAGCTTTATATTGTCATGATATAATAAATAGAGTTTGTATCATCATATGGAAAATGTACTTTTAATCTGCTTCAGCATTATGATTCTGTAAGTATGAAGTTGATTAAGAAAGCTGTTTTCATGTAACTTCTCGAGTTAAAGTTCAAGCTCGAAAATCGAGCATTGATTATAGGATGTTCTTTTTTGTTATCCGCCGACCACTAACTTTTATAGGCAACAAAACAGAACATAATGCCATTTCAAAAATAACATAAACAATTGAGTTTTGAAAACCAACCCTAGAGTAACACATTGGCACGACCGGAATCACATTGCATATATTATCTCGCCACTACTATCGATGTCTAGTTCGGAATCATTGTCAAGGTCCTCCATATCATCATCAAGGTCCAGGCAACCAGTCAAATAATGATCGAGATTATTTTTATTCGTTGCCGGGATAGTGGCATCGGAAATGATCGACATGATTTCATCAACACTTTGCATAGGTTGATCAGGTTCTTCGAACTGATCATTCATCGAGCTCTCATCAATGAGATCTGCTGTTAAGTTATTTAAAAACCACTCATGATTCTTAATTTCTATAATGGATATCCTCTGTTGATAACGAATTGAATCAAAATTATATACTTTGAATTTATGAATCAAGTACCATGGGGAATTGAGGTTGTAACTTTTACAAATCTATGTTGCCCGGACTCTTAATTTTTCTTTAAGTACTTGTGCCCGAGTAATAACATAGTTATGAGTAAGCCTTTGCTATTTCAAGTAATCATGAAGCATGATAGAGGCATAAGTATGAACTTAAGGTCTCAACAAAGAGAGAACTAACCTTTGTTGTGTCAGCCTCAAAGATCCTCGAGAGGAGATGACTGCACTCGGGGGATATATGGACATAGTCTGGGATCGAGTACTGGACATGTATAATTCGCTGCAAGAACCAACCGATTGCATTAGTCGAGATTTGAGGAAATTGCTACTGTTGGCATAAACCGAGGAATGGGCTTACATATATTGTTTTGTGGAAGTTCTTCGGATCATCATAACATATATGGTTACCCCACAAGACCAGACATATGCAAGCTGACATTTAGTTCAGCAATAAAATTTTGCATGTGACGAGTGTTGAATAAGGTATAGGTACAGGTTTAATGGGGACATTTGGACCTGCATACATATAGTTGAATATATGCCGGGATTTTAGTAGGGCAAATATGAAACAATCACCTTTCCGTCATTTCCTTTCTCGAGAAACACTTCAGGAGCTATATAAGCTGGAGTTCCAACAGTCGATTTCGGTTGCGAATGCAGCACCGAGGACTGGAAAAAGTATACCATGTCAACATAAACATAAAATGAAAATCAAAGACATGAAATGAAAAATGCAGAGGGGAAAAGGAAAGAAAGACGGGTCTGCCCGATGAAACGGGAGAATTTCATTTGTTACAAACACCAGATAAGAGTAAGTAAGCGACATTGAGATATGGATGTTTGAAGAAAATAAAGAGCTTTTACACCTTGGAATACCCGAAGTCGCAAATCTTCAAACGAGGAGCTGGACTGCAATCCTGTAATGTGCTCTCCAATTTCAAGTCCCGGTGGCATATTTGCTTCAGAGAGGAATTCTGAAAAAGGATTTAAACTTGTATTCTCTTTAAGATGAGTAAAGGAACAAAATTATAGTTGCTTACCATTGAATGACAATAACTCACTGCTGGTATAAGTTGTCGAGGAACAAATTTTAATCCTTGGTAATGCCAGCCAACCCTACTAATTTTACCTACCACAAATTATTTTGAATTAAGCAGTGTTTATTTTCGATTGTCTTCGATTACCTACAGCCAACCAACCAATATATTATTTTGTTAAGAAAATCGTCTTCTTCATTGTTTATAAAGCTTATTGTCAATCAAACCAATACATTCGAAAGGTTTCACCATGGGAGAGATTGATGAAGCTTTTGTGCAGGTACCTGACCACAGGCCGAAACTTAGTACAATCGAAGTCGATGAGATCCCAGTAATCGACCTGTCGGCATCGGAAACCGAAAAGCTGGCTATGGAGATCGGAAAGGCGTGCCAAAAATGGGGTTTTTTTCCAAGTGATCAATCATGGGGTGCCTTTGGAATTACGCAACAGGGTGGAGAAAGTGGCAAAAGCGTTCTTTCACCTTCCCATAGAGGAGAAAAGGAAAGTTAAGCGAGATGAACTGAACTTTACGTGTTACCATGACGAAGAACATACTAAGAACATCAGAGACTGGAAAGAGGTTTTCGATATGTTGATACAAGAACCCACGATTCTCCCAGCATCGCCTGATCCGGATGATGAGGAATTAGAAGCTACACTAACAAGTGGCCTGAGAATCCCCCTGAGTTTAGGTAAATAAAGGCTTTAAATTTTGGCTCGCAATATGCTTGCTTAAATGACTGAAAGAGTTCTTACATGAACATTTTCCTTTAATTAAGCTCTGTTAAGATTTTGGTCATATATATGTATATGCAGTTGTTTAACTAATTTGGGTTTTGGCACTTGATTGATGCAATATGTTTTGTGTATAGAGACATGCCTGGAGTATTGCAGAGTGGTGGAGAAATTGGCTTTCAGATTGCTGGAACTCATTTCTATAAGCTTAGGTTTGGCGGCTAATCGATTGGGTGAATTGTTTAAACACCAGACTGGTCCTCTGAGGCTGAATTACTATCCACCTTGCCCTTTTCCTGAGCTAGCACTTGGTGTTGGTCGACATAGTGATGGTGGTGCCTTAACTGTGCTTGTTCAGGATGATGTTGGCGGCTTACAAATTAGGAGTCAATCAGATGGGGAGTGGATTCCTATCAAACCAATCCTAAATGCCTACATCATTAACATTGGTGATAATCTTCAGGTAACCTTGCTTTTTTGGTTCAAATAGCTGGGGAACTGGTCTTGAACGAACAAGGTTTTGTTCGTGTTCGCTTGTTTATTTTTAAAGGTGTTGATGTTCGGGTTCGTTTGTTGTTTGTTTGTTTATTCTAAAAGGAGATGGGATTTTGCAGGTCTGGAGTAACGATCTTTACGTGAGTGCAGAGCATAGAGTGGTGGTCAATTCTCAAAGGGAAAGATTTTCGATTCCATTCTTCTTCTTCCCTTCCCACTATGTCACAATGAAGCCTCTAGAGGAGCTAGTGAATGACAAAATTCTTATGAAGTATAAAGAATATAACTGGGGAAAGTATTATGTTACTCAAAACGGAAGCAACTACAAGAAACTTGATGCCGAAAATGTTCAAATCGAGGATTTCAAGGATCCCGAATCTGTGTAATTGTTTCAGTAACATCTTGATTCTAGCTTTAAATTGTCATGATATAATAAATAGAGTTTGTATCATCATATGGAAAATGTACTTTTAATCTGCTTCAGCTATATGATTATGTAAGTATGAAGTTGAATAAGAAAGCTGTTTTCATGTAACTTCTCGAGTTAACGTTCAAGCTCGAAAATCGAGCATTGAATATAGGATGTGCTTTTTTGTTATCCGCAGGCCACTAACTATTATAGACGGCAAAACAGAACATAATGCCATTTCAAAAATAATATAAACACGAGTTTTGAAAGCCAGTGGCAACAAATGCTGGATCCTTCATCGGTTGACCACCCTAGATTAGCAAACTCGCATGACCAGAATCACATTGCATATATTATCTCGCCACTACTATCAATGTCTAGCTCGGAATCATTGTCAAGGTCCTCCATATCGTCATCAAGGTCCAGGCATCCAGTCAAATAATGATCGAGATTATTATTATTCTTTGCCGGGATAGTGGCTTCTGAATGATCTGCGTGATTTCATCAACACTTTGCATAGGTTGATCAGGTTCTTCGAACTGGTTATTCATCGAGTTCTCATCAATGAGATCTGCTGGTAAGTTCTTTAAAAACCACTCATGATTCTTAATTTCTTGAAGGGATATCCTCTGTTGATAATGAACTCGAATCAAAATTATATACTTTGAATTTATGAATCAAAATCTATGCTGCTCGGACTCTTAATTTTTCTTTAAGTACTTGTGTCCGAGTAATAACATGGTTATTAGTTAGCTTCTGCTATTTCAAGTAATCATGAAGCGTGATAGAGGTATGAGTATGAACTTAAGGCCTCAACAAAGAGAGAACTAACCTTTGTTGTGTCAGCCTCAAAGATCCTCGAGAGGAGATGACGGCATTCGGGGGATATATGAACATAATCTGGAATCGAGTACTGGACATGTATAATTCGCTGCAAGAACCAACCGATTGCATTAGTCGAGATTTGAGAAAATTGCCACTGTTGGCATAAACCGAGGAATGGGCTTACATGTATTGTTTTGTTGAAGTTCTTTGGGTCATCCTGGTCTTCAACGCTCCAACCAACATAACATATATGGTTACCCCACAAGACCAGACATCTGCAAGCTGACATTTAGTTCAGCAATAAAATTTCAGCATGTGACAAGTGTTGAATAAGGTATCGGTACATGTTTAATAGGGATATTTGGACCTGCATACATATATTTGAATATATGCCGGAGTTTTAGTAGGGCAAATATGAAACAATATTACCTTTCCGTCATATTCTTTCTTGAGAAACACTTCAGGAGCTATATAAGCTGGAGTTCCAACAGTTGATTTCGGTTGCGAATGCAGCACTGAGGTCTGGAAAAAGTATACCATGTCAACATAAACATAAAATGAAAATCAAAGACATAAGAAATGCAGAGGGGAAAAGGAAAGAAAGACGGTCTGCCCGATGAAACGGGAGAATTTCATGTCTTGCAAACACCAGATAAGAGTAAATAAGCGACATTGAGGATATGCACCAGATATGGATGGATACTTGAAGAAAATGAGGAGCATCTATACCTTGGAATACCCAAAGTCACAAATCTTCAAACGAGGAGCTGGACTGCCATCCAGTAATGAGTTATCCAATTTCAAGTCCCGGTGGCATATTTGCTTCAGAGAGGAATTCGGGGAAAAAGGACTAACCGAGTCAACTCGTATTCTCTTTCAGATAAGTAAAGGAACAAAACAATAGTTACTTACCATTGAATGACAGTAACTCACTCCTGATATAAGCTGTTGAAAGAAAAATGGTGTCTGCCAGAGGTGTAAGTTTGACAAGAAGAAGAGGAATGAATATAGACTAATCCGTAATCGATCAAAAACTACTCGAAAACATCACATAAAAGAACCTCATCCTCGCTGAACCGGCCAGCATTACATATCCGTTCAAATAGCTCTCCTCTCGCATCGTATTCCATCACGATAGCCAGATGTGTTGGTGTTAATACGACCTGTGTGACACCATATACTCACTAGTTCAAAAAAATCTTTCTCGAAGATGAGAAGAGATAATAAACATTAATGATCGAAACATCGACAGACCTCTTTGAACCGGATGATATTCGGATGCCTTAGGGACCTGTGGTTGATAATTTCCCTTTGCACATTTTCATCAATCTGTTGCATATAACAGCACATTGAGATGAAAAAAGGAACACGGAATTGAACTCATAAATTCTTCATAGACACATTAGTCAAGTCCAGAATTACACAGTATCATAAGAATTTGTAAACTCGGAAAATGAACAATTCGCATTCGATATTTCAGTAGAAAGAAGGCCATTGTGCAGGTATTGAAATTCCAACTCCAAATTTATGGGATGCCATCTTTTAACAATGTTATCCACCGATTCTCGAAAAATAACACTTCACAATGGCAATCCCTCAAACACAGCGAAGCACGATTAACACAGGAAGAAACAAAGAAGTTGATCATCAAAACTAGCAATGAACTGAAATGATAATCAAATTCCACAAGCTCAAATCAACTAAACCTTCAACAAATCAAAGTCCATTTCAAGCTCAACACCATCAGAAAAATTTAGGATTTTTAAAATAAAGAGTAAGAAAAGGGATTAAGGGACACTAACCCTGTCACCTCTCTCGATATACTTAACAGCAACAAGATCATCAGTATGCTTATCTCTCATCAACCTAGCCAACCCGAAATTCCCAGAACCAATATCTTTAACCAATTCATAAGGATCGGTATCATGTATAATAGGCAACTCCATCCCAGGCTGCATTGTTATCGCCGATCGAGCCATTAAACGCTCCACTCAAAAGCTTCTTCTTTTTTTATTTAAAAAAACTTCTAAAAAGCCAAAACCACTCGCATTATCATCTGATATAGCAGTTTCAGAGAAAATCCACTAAGATCAAGCTCGTCGGTGCTGGTTTACGAGGTAACGTGGCAGCAGAATGACCGTCCGATCATAACAGGTACTCCCTTTTGGTTGGTGAAAATATGGGTTATGGCCCGTGAAACGTTTACTCTCGCTTGATAATCTTTTGCAAGGATTTTGTTTCTAGGGGACGATAGATTTTATTGAGAGAAAAGAAACAGAGAAGAGAGTGTTTGGCTCATTTAGCTTTACAATATGAGTGTGTGCGAATATACATGTACAGGATCAATGAACCATGACGGAGGGCAGAATGGAGAGAAACTTTGGGCGAGCTTGTTTCAGCAATATTGTTTTCTTCTCCACGGTCCATTGCTGGAACACAACTTTCAACTGTTTCGTTCGCTAAAGTTGGTTTTAGCTAACTTAGTTTTTCCCATTGAATTTGTTAAAGTAAAGAGTTAAATCAGTTTGTTAGTAAATCATTGATTATTATCATGTTGGACACATTATAAAAATAAAAGATCAAATTATGTCATTAAACTGAAAGGTTTATATCTTGAATTTTAACTTAATAAACCAAATTTGTCAATGAATTCATGGGATAATGGGTGATGGCCCCAAAGAAATTCACAATTAATGTTATAAAGCCCAAAGCTTTATCAATGGAGGCCATTGAAAAACCAAATCTTTAGAACCCCAGAAGGGGTTGTGCATATACAGCAGCAATGCTAGTAGTAACCAAAGCTCAACACCTTTCCCCATCTCTTTCAGCTACCATCTTAACAGGTTTTCCTTCTTTAAACCCTATAAATCCCTCCAAAAACCATATGCGCGCTTACCCTTTATCTTCCCTCTCTTCCCACTGCCCTCTTTCCAGCATCCAACTCCGCTTTTCCCGCCCCTCAACCCACCGCTCCTGCTCGACGCTTTTGCCGCCCTCTTTTTCCCGCCACCGTTGCTTGGCTTCTCCCTTGTTCTCGACCGCTCAAGTTAGTCCCGTCGATGAAAAGGGAAGAGAAGAGGAAGAAGAGAAATGGGATTCGTCCAACAACGAAAACGAAGCGTTTGCTTTTGAAGACGGTGGTGGGATTTTCGCGGGGAACGACATGAAGCATTTGGCGTCGCCGGTGATCGAAGTTAAGGAGCTGGAAGAGTTGCCGGAGCAGTGGCGAAGGTCGAAGCTAGTTTGGCTTTGTAAAGAGTTGTCTGCCCATAAGGCGGGGACTTTGGTCAGGATTCTGAATGCGCAAAGGAAGTGGCTGAAACAAGAGGAAGCTACTTACTTAGCTGTTCACTGTATGAGAATTCGAGAAAACGAAACCGGGTTTAAGGTATTAAATTCCTTATTGATCCCGCTAAATTGTATATATGAACCGCTGATATGTGCTGTTTACTGCATTTCAGGTTTATATGTGGATGATGCAGCAACCTTGGTATTTTGCTCTTGCTACCAAGCTAGCCGACTACATGGGGAAGGAGGCAAAGTTCACAAAATGTAGAGAGATATTCGATGATATCATCAACTAAGGACGTGTGCCTAGTGAATCTACATTTCACATTCTGATCGTTGCGTATCTCATTGCACCTGTTCAAGGTTGCCTGGATGAAGCTTGTGGCATTTACAATCGGATGATTCAGCTAGGCGGCTACCAACCTCGTCTTAGCTTGCATAACTCGCTTTTCCGAGCTCTTTTAACTCAACCGCCGGGAGGTTCTTCCAGATATTATTTAAAACAGGCTGAGTTCATCTTTCACAATTTACAAACATGTGGGTTGGAGATACACAAGGATGTATATGTTGGCCTAATTTGGTTGCATAGCTATCAGGATACAGTAGATAAAGAGAGGATAAAATCGATGCAGAAAATGATGCGAGAATCGGGTATGGAAGAGGGAAGAGAAGTGCTCGTGTCCATCTTGAGAGCTTGTTCCAAGGAAGGGGATGTAAACGAAGCCGAAACAACTTGGATCAAACTACTCGATTACGATGGTGGCATCCCTTCTCAAGCTTTTGTTTATATAATGGAAGTTTATGCAAAAGTCGGAGAGATCACGAAATCTTTGGAGGTATTCAGGAAGATGCAGAAGCTTATGGGCTCTGCCAGTGTTGCGGCATACCACAAAGTTATAGAGGTTTTGTGTAAATCCGAGCAAATGGATGTTGCCGAGTCACTTATGAGAGAGTTCATCGAGAGTGGTAAGAAGCCTCTTATGCCATCTTACATCGAGCTAACAGATATGTACCTCAAGTTCAGCCTTCACGATAAGCTTGAGTCGACCTTCTTAGAGTGCCTAGAGAAATGCCGACCCAATCGGACCATTTTCAATATATACTTGAACTCATTGGTCGAAGTCAGTAATCTTGGCAGAGCAGAGGAAATTTTCAATCAAATGCCTGGTAATGCGACAATCGGTGTCAATGTTGAATCATGCAATACTATTTTATATGGATACCTCTCTTCCAGAGATAGGTTGAAGGCCGAAAAGATATATGATCTGATGTGCGAGAAGAAATACGAAATCGAATCTCCATTAATGGAAAAGCTGGAGCATGTCCTTACCTCGAGCCGGAAAGAGGTTATGAAACCTGTGAGCCTAAACCTAAGCAAAGAACAACGAGAGGCTTTAGTGGGGTTGCTTTTAGGTGGTCTACAGAGTTTCGGATGAAGAGAAAAAGAATCAACTGATACGGTTCGAGTTCAATCAAGATTCCGTTAGGCATTCTATTTTGAAGAGACATATTCATGATCAACTTCAGGAGTGGTTACATCCCTCGAGTAAGCTAATTGCCGGTGAGGATGCTATCCCGTGCAAATTCAGCACTATCTCACACTCGTAGTTCGGTTTCTATGCGAACCAGTTTTTCCCAAAGGGTCAACCAGTGATCCCAAAGTTAATTCACCGGTGGCTGTCTCCAATTGTACTTGCTTACTGGTATATGTACAGTGGCTACAGAACGGCATCCGGCGATATTCTTTTGAAGCTGAAAGGGTGCAGTGAAGGTGTAGAGAAAGTTGTGAAAACATTGAAAACAAAATCATTGAATTGCAGGGTGAAGAGGAAAGGGGGAGTGTTTTGGCTAGGATTTCTTGGAACCGATTCGGGGTGGTTTTGGAAACTGGTTGAACCTTACATATTAGATGACCTGAAAGATTTTATCCAGGCGGGCAGTGCTACCACTGACGATTCTGCTGTCGAATCTTGAGACTTCAACTTCGACAGTGCATCTGATTCTGAAGAAGACGAGTAACACATTCATCCGAGATCCACAATGCTGTTTTTAGGTTGCATTTACATTTATGTATAACTATCGACCAAGTAAATTAAATTAGTAGGGAATATACTATTCTTTTGCTATGCATTTTATGTCTGATATATGTATATATGTGTTTTCACTCAAGCTTTCATGTTGAATACGGTAATAACCTATATGCTTATACTTTATGTATATATGTGTTTTCACACAAGCTTTCATGTTGAATACGGTCATAACCTATATGCTTATGCTTTGTGCCCGAACATCACGTGTTCTCTAACGTCCCTTTGTTCAAGATTCACGTCGGTCAAATTCACTGAGTACGAAGTTATGATCCTCAAAATATATGAAAATTAGAATAAAAAATCAGTGTATTCAGTTCTTGAAAATTAATGAAAATCACAAAAATTTAACCACACAGAAAAGAGAATGAATCCCTTATAGTTCATAACTATGAGTTATAGTTATCAAGCCCCAAATCCCTTAGCGCATCAGTAGCAGCATCCTTGCAACCTTCGTGATTTTCTTTCGCCTTACGGATATACTTGTCAATACCGTTATTCAGCAGCAGGGTCCTGCACATGAAAGCATTGGTTTCCATAAGTCAAGTTTATTATTAAAAGCAACTTGTCAATACCACATTTGAATCAGAATTGTCTTATCCAAGCTTCGAATCCAACTTAAACAAAGTGCTGAAATAAAATAACTGTAAAGAACTCTGCATCTATTTACAAAACTTGCCTGTTTTCGGGGTTCCTCACAACAAGATTCCGCATCATGAAGCAGGAACTTCTCTGCATCTGCTGAGCAGCAGGAAACTTCTGCATGGCCTGGATAGAAAATTCCCCAGCTCCGGCTTCAATGGCACGAGTTGCATTGTCCGGTGATCTCAAGCAGAGTACAGAAATAATGGCCATGACCTAAAACAATGATATAAATGATTCATTATGATGTCAATCCTATAATGCTTCAATGGCATGCATATGATTATCACACCATCCACTATATACATGAGAGTATTCTATGGAACATTTGAATTGTTGTTTTCAAACACAATATAATAGTGTGACTATCATATGAATACTTCATGGACTACGTGTACTAATTCAGCAGAATATTAAATGGTTGTTACCCAGATAAGCAAGCATTTCACTGGTAAAAGATTTTTCGTCCCTTACCTCTTGCAGCACAGACGGGTCATCAGAAAATCTTGCTGACAATTTAATCAGCATGTCCATACCACCTTTCTCAACTATAGCACTCTTATTTGAGTCACTTCCTGCCAACTAGTCAAAGCAGAAAAAATATGCATTAGAGTATCAAGAAATGAAAGAAAAATTCGGATCATGTAACTTCACAAAGATACAAGTTAGTGATTGATGATATGTATCTTCAATATAAAGAATGCATGCTATTGAAGTATCACACATCACCCAAAATCAAAAACCCATTTCCGGACGGTAGTATTTTACAGCTCTTAAAGAAGGCCTCTTTGCATTCTCAGCTGTTAAAGCAAAATATTTCACACCAAGAGAGAAGATAATAAAAAGTGAAAAGATCTGAACTCAAACACGGGTTATATAATAAGGGAAACAACTCTCAACGGAGCATTTTGTATCTATACCTTGGATAACAAAGAACAGCAAGTTCTAGCTACAGTTTTGTTGCGTTGTTCACCACTATCATCAACACACTTCAGAAGCGCATCAATACCACCCGCATCAGCAATTGACTTACATATTTCATCCTACAGGAAAGGAAACACCTTGTGGTAAATTAGAAGGCAAAACTTCATCACACATAAATGATTAGCATCTTAAGCCTCTAGCAATGGAAACTGTTATTATATTAATCTACATCAAGTAATCTCTAATACCTCAAACAATTTTAACAACTTACATTCACAGCAATAGCTTTTAGTGCTATGCAAGCTGAAACAAGCCCAGGTGAACTAAACTCTCCATGAAGAGATTCCACAAGAGCTCTTGCAATTCCGATTTTTGCAAATCTTCGTGCATAACCATAAACCTGAAGCAAACAAATATCTCACAACCATTTTGAGGGACAATAATGGTACTACCTAAAAGATTTACTACACATATTTTACTTCCTTCGGAAGCAACAACACGATTATCATCAGATGTTAACAGAACACGAATAGCATCATATAAGATTGGAACACTTCCCTGAATTTGTCCACTCAAAACTTGAAGAATCAGCCCATCGATTCCCAACTCCATAAATGATTGTTTAACAACTTCATTACCAGTCGCCGCCACAGCAACAACAGAGAAACCTGAATTCAAGATATCTATATCTTGAATCCCATAACTAAGAATACTAACCACAGTCTTCGGCCCACCATTTGCCCTACTATTCTCAGTACTTTGAACATCTAAAAATACAACAACATAACCAAATAACTCCAACACAAAAACCATCACTAAATCTTAAATAAATATACATGAATGGATTGAATTGTCTCATACCAGTGAGCAATGATGCCATGGTCTTTAAGCAAGAAACTAGAGACTGCCTTGATTAAGTTGGAATCTTACTACAGATCGAACAAACTAATGCAATACCACCATTTTTAGCAATGATTGCAGCATTTCCCGAATCTTCTTTATTAGCACAACACAATTCACTTAGGTTATTAAGTAATTCCGCGATTTGGACTAAATCTTGAGCGTCGAATAGATGCTTTGAGTCGGAATTTAGTTGATTTAGTTTATGCAAACATTGTATCGCCGGATGGTCCATGACGCCGCCACCTTCCCCAGGCACACACTTCACGATCCCTATTATGAATTCATAGTTCCAAAAGTCAACATAGAGAAAGGGGGAATAAAAATGAAGAAAACGAAAGAGAGCGAAAAGATAGGAGAGAGACCAGAGAGATCGACGCCTTGATGGGAGAGTGTTTGGATGGCGTCTTCTAGGGCTTCGGCGGGGTCCATCCCGAGATCGTCGATGTTCTCTTTCACAAACTCATCGAAGGCCTCTTGTGAGATTGCACGGACGTTCTTCGTTGGAGCCATCTTTTGGCTTATAAGCAGATTTTTTGGTATCCGCCGCTGATCGGAGGAATGACGGACCGGTGTCTAAGAAGAAGATTTGGGGCAGCTGACTACTACTCTTTTTCTGAATTCCGAAATCTGAGGGATTTTAAATTGTTAAAATGTTTTCATTGGAGTTGGTTAAGATATTTGCTCCGAAGCCCGCTTCTTATCATAACAAGAAAAGGTAGATCGGTGTTCTTCCTTAGCTAAAATAGATAGTTGATCTATTAAATTATTTATAAAATATTTATTAGTACATTTTATTAATTTTATCAACAAATTTCATTTCCAATTCCTATTTTCTTTAAATGATATAGAAAAATAAAATAAGATTAATTTTAGAAACCAAAATAAAAGAGCTAAAAAGTCGCTTAACCTGATATTGCAAGCAAATACAGAAAAGCAAAATAAAACATTAAACAAGAAGTTAATAATAGAACTTGTATCGGCCATTGGCCACCAACACGATACTACTCGATCAGACACTCCAAATTCTTCTGATAACTATATACAACCTAATATTAGTTTCTTCAAACACACAATCAGTCCATTTACAACTGCTTTCAGTCACCGTGATATATAGACATATCAATGTGAGAACACTAGGGGAAGGAATTAGAACCATCAACCCGCATTGAAGTTCATTCCTCTAAAAGTTCCATAGCTGCTAGGCGCCTCACACGTTGCATAAGTCGTCTTCTTCGATAGATTCCTATCAGACGCAGGATGAGTACTAGAGCAATTGCCGAACAATCAAACACCCTACTGATTCCTAACCCCCCTGCAAAACATGAAAAAAGGAAAACACTAGCATATACATACCGCGATGCATTAGCTCTCCAACACCAAAATCATCCATAAAATATCGATTACCAGGACACTTATCATGACCCTCATTGAATCGACCCTGTCACTGATAAGTTTTTTTCTCAATTAAAAGAAAGTGTGTATATACATACCTGTAGGAATAAAATCAAATGGTGTAGCTCTGTAGATGATACTCAGCAACATCTGCAAACATGAGGGGCAGTTGTAAGAGTTTAGCCAAGAACAATAGGGAAGCCAGTTTTTAAATGAAATGAGCAACTCGTTGACCATAAATACACATCGGAAGGCAATGGTGCCTCATGGTTAATTCTGTCTGACACATTCACTGAAGGAAAAAAATTAAACTTAAATACCTAACTTCAATTAGTATCATATTTATTATCACCTCAACCATCATAACAACCTATTAGGTTCCAAGCTTCTCCTGATGAATGTATATTGTTATAAAACAGTCTCCTTTTCATCACCCCTTCCTAAAACTTAATGATAAATGCTCGACTAACCTACTTTCAAATGGAAGATGTACAGTTAATGTATGACACACCAAAAAGAAAATAGCAGATTATGCATGGACTGGACATTGAAGGTAGACAGGTAGTACAAAACTATCTAATTGGAAACAGTTAAAGATAGCATTAACTTAAAATAAAGAGAAGGACAAGCACATGCACATGCACACCAGCAGACACAATGTGCTTAAGCAGGGTAGTATTATTTGTATCATTTGTATAATCTTAACTGCAAAAACGCGTATCTCAGCAACATATGTATCATTTATATCAGGATCCATCAACCCTTGGAGCATTCGCTTCATGAGGAATGGCAACTCCCGCACTTTCTGCTAAGAAAAATAAGGAAGAAAATGTTTATGGCCCGCTCACAACAGACCAAAAGATTGTACATCACAGGTGTAAGATAAAAGGAACAAATAATCAAGAAGAAAGCACGTGTATGTAAGGGTGAACAACACTCTTCTGCAGTTCACCTTCAAGGCAATATCAAAGCCATTAAATTATACAGAAAAACATATGAAATATTAACAACACACAACAGTATTCTTAAAAGGATCACTGAATCAAAGCCAGTAATTTTAAAGTTGTATGTGTCAAAGGAAAGAAAAGACGAGCAAGAAAGAAACAAAAAAAACACTTGGCATCTAAGTTTACTAGCATGTAGAGTCTACAGGTGGATATAATTGCACAAATACCTGAATGAATCCACACGCGCCTCCAAGAAAGAGGAGGTTATACCTCTGTACACTTTTAAGAACCTCAGTAACTTCCTGGCTCTGTTGTTGTTGTTGCAATGATGCCCCTGGCATCAAATTAACAATCTTGCAAGCACACATGGGGCACTTGCATGGCTTAGATGCCGAGGAATAGTTCCAGAATTGCAAAATACAATTGCCTGCCAAAACCAAAAAGGAGGCAGGGAAAAAGAAACAACTTGATGATCACTGAAACTCAACCCTTTATTGCAAGAGCAGGCGATACTTTGGAGTTCTAACTGAACACATTTTTTTGGCAACCAAAGGCACTAGCAACACGGCAATAACTACAGTGAATGAATGAATTTCTTGTGAAGAAATGACAGCAATGACGAACGGAAAGGCACAGTGACTTGTAAACTGCAAATAGCATAAAGGCCAAACCCCCAAAATCACCCACCCATTACTCCGATGGAGAAGGGGAAAAAAGCTTAATTAACACTCAAGACTCTCAACAAGCTCTTTTGTATTAACAATGAAAAAGGATCCGTAATTTCAAGAAATTTTCTAATATCTCTTCAACGACAATCTCATTAAGTTACCAGCAAATAAAAAGTGGAAATATAGTAAAAGAAACAAACCCTTAAAAAATATTTATAGTTTATAAGGTGCTTCCATATTCTTTACCAATTACACTATAAACTCTAAAAGTAAAGGAAGAATAATGAAAAGAGGAAAAAAGATGCCTGCTTCCTTGTAGCAAGAATTATTTTCTTCAAGCAATATACCAAAAGAAACTATATGAAAAATGGTTTCCTGTGGATTTCTTGAATGCACGAACAAATTAACGTTAACCAGTAAAAACTTTAATTAGTTTGAAACGATTCAGTTAATCAAACCCTAAACTAAAGCTCAACAGAAAATTACAGAGGAAAACCCTATTTCTTTTCCTTTCTTAAAAATTTCTAACCAACCAAACAGCAAACAGAAGGAAACTTCAGATTTTGGTAACCAAATAAAATCGTAAAAGAAAAGGAAAGGAAGCTGAAAAAGAAGTACCGCAATACCAATGACCGCAATTAGTTCGACAAGGAACGGTGAAGGGACCGAAGCAAATAGGGCAGCAATCATCATCGGGAGGGATTTCACTCAATCTCCTATCCCCTCCAAATCCCTCCACTTTTTTCCCTCTCTCCTCCGTTCCCATTTTCCCCACCCACTGTTTCTCTTTTTCCCCCCTTTCAAACTGTATTAAAGAACGGGTTTTCCATCACTTTCTCGGGAAAAAATGCGCGCTGCAAATGTTTGTAGAACGTACTGAAATGTCAAATACCCTCCACTATATACATTGACGAGTTTTCGCGTAGTTTTTTCGGTGACGCTATAAAGCTAATAAACTTTTTCGGTAAATGTATATTTTGATACCTGAACTCGGGTATTAATGTGCAATTTGATACCTAAAACTTCATAGTCTAATTAGGTACTTGAAATTGATTTATTGATTCCAATCGGTATCTGAATTTTACATTTTAGTCTAAATCGATGTCTATAAATAATTTGTTTGAATCGGTTTAAATTTTAAAGTAAAGTTCAGATATATATAATTAGATAAAGTTCTATGCATCAATTTGAATCTTAATTTAGACGACTTTCATTAAAAATATATCACGATTTTTTATTTAAAATTACTATAAGATTTAATAATATATTATTTAGTACATGAAAAATAAAAAGTGAACATAAATCTTAATGAGTTATAGACGTATAATATATGGTGTAAACATGTGTACTTGGTATGTATCGTGTTGAGAGATTTTTATGTTGATTAAGGTTAGTTTAGTGATTTCATGTGTGAGAGGAAATATATATTTTAAGTCCTATCATATTAATTATATTTATTTTAAATTAAATTATAATATTTATGAATAATGTTTAAATTTGTTATGCTATTTCAATTAACATTAAATATTAGTTATTATTTTGAAATAATAACACTACATTAAATTTCAAACTCAACATTTCAAGGTTTTATTGTTTAAAAAATAACCAAGCAAGAGCATTAGCTCTAGTAGTCTAGTTTACTTATTTTCATTTTTCTCACGATTTGTATTCTATAATTTATCTAGCTATTATCTTGTTGCTACAAACACTATGCTTATACGTTTTCTTAATTAATTTAGTCGTACGAGATGGTATATTCACAAGTTTGGAATAGCTACACATTTTATAATTTGAAATTTGACCTAATCTATTGAAGTAAAATTTTTAAATATTAAAAACAGTAACGTTCTAAATGTTTATATTGTAAAATCGAATAAAATTTTTATTAATAAAATATTTTCATAATTATACGTTTAAAAAAAATAAATTTCAACTTAAATTGAAAATAAATCATATCTTATATTAATATAATAGAAATATCAAATCAATTAAAAACTTTATGCACAATATCAATACACTTATATTATTAATTTAATTATCAATCACTTAAATATTAATACTAATGATTTTTTTATATTACGAAATACTTTATACGTGGGTCAACAGGATTTAATTCTTTTAAAAAATAAATAATAATATAATTTGTAATATCTAAATATCATTTGCATAATTATTTGTTATAATGTTACCAAATATTATTTTTAATGTAATTTTTTTAAAAAAATATAATAACTGTAAAAACATCGCATCGATCGGTTGAGTCGGAAACCAACGAAACAAATCTCACCGTCCATGATGTCAACGGCTGCAGGCGCATCATCCTCTCTCTCAATCGTCCTTTTTTACTCTCCAGTCTACAGACTGTAAACCCTCAAAGAATAGCAAAACCAGAGACAAAAATTGTACGAGAGCTCCAAACGAAGCGCAGAAACAGGCAGCAGACATGGATTCTTCAAGCTCAAGCTTCTCATTGTCAAAGAGAAGGAAAACCGTTGATTCTAAAGAATCGCAAGAACTGGAGTTAACTTCACCTGACATTATTCTCGGAAATACTCGTTGCTTCCTTCAGAATTCGAGGAACAAGCCTATCACAGTCTACTTTATCGAAATCCGGTGGATTACTCCTATCCGGCGATATGTGCTCGAGCCTCAGCTCCGGCGAGGACTCCCCGGCTAGCAACGAGTCATGTGATATTGTCAAGTATAGCTTGAGATTCGTAGATCTAAAGGTTAGTTCCATACTTTGTTTCCCTGTTTGGTTGATGAGAAATGAAATGAAAGATTCGAACGCGGTTTTATTCCTCAAAACATCTCCGTTTGGCTTGATCTGTGATTGACTGATATCCTGAAAACTGTTCATGAAGCGCTTTTTTGCAGGCCAAGAGTTTAGAAACCGAAATATCAACGTGCATCAACGTCAACAAATTCTGGTGATTTTTCTTTGATCCCTTCACTAATTACTACATTTTTTTCTTTCAAATTCACATCCCTATATTTCAAGAAAACAAAAACAAAAAAGCGAATATTTTCCCTTCACCCTCCATTTTTAACCTCCTCTTCCATTTTTTCAGTGCAGAAACGATCCCAACAATCGAACTCGTTGGAGACTCAGAGGAAACCGCAACGCCACATAGAAAAACACCACCGTCACAAGTGAAGCTAAAGGAGTTCTTCGCCGCCGCTGAAAAGTACGAGCAAGTTCGATTTGCAGAAAAGCAAGAGTTTGCTTCTCTCCTCATTCCTAACTTTTTTTTAGTTCGTAGGATAAGTCGTGCCACCAAAATGGTGCATTTTAGCATTTGCAGAACCAGGAAAATCCCCAAATCTCTAACTAACTAACTAACTAACTTTTTATTTCGTAATATTCGCTCCGGCTTTTTTTTAGTTTTTAATTTTATAAAATTTTAAAAATTACAGGTACAATTTTGATATTGTCAAGGGTGTACCTCTGGACGGTCGATATGAGTGGACGCGGTTAAAGCCCTGAAACCCAGTGAGAGGGAGAGAGATATGACACCTGACAGACAGTTGACAACTGTCAAACGGCGGGGAATATTTAGTTGTTTTGTTATTCACTCAATTGTGCAGTTTTTATTTATTTATTCAAAATTAAACTAATTTTTATATATTATTGAGTAAATGAAATTCTGATTTTCTCTATCTATTTTGATTGGGATTTTGTTATATACATATTTAGTATCGATTTGGATTTTCGTTATTTAGTTGAAAGTTATTTTTTGTTTGAGTCTTATTTATAATGTTTCTAAATTGTTTTTGATTTATTAAAGTTTATTAAATTATATTTAAATAGTTCTTTTAACAATAATTCTTTTAAAATATAAAGAAAATTTAATAAAATTTTGCTCTCTAATTCCTAACCAATGACGGAGTCATTCTATAGGGTGGGAGAGGCTCTAGCCACCATCCCATCCAAATTCCCAAATTTCTTATTTTAATTTTAATATTTATAGTGAATTTTAAAGGGTTAATTACCCTATTCATACGTGAACTATACCCAATTTTTAATTTCATATATAATGTTTAAAAATTCTCGTTTTCATACATGATGTTTTATACCGTTGACGGATTCACTCATTTCCGTCACGGAAGATGACGTGAAACCCTTAACAAAATGTCATGTTGAACTTCAGAAATGGGTGACTGGAATGCCACATGCCACATGGCACCCATTTAAAGTGCCACGTCACCTTTCGTGATGGAAATGGGTGAACCCGTTAACGGTAGAAAACATCATGTATGAAATCGATAATTTTTTAAACATTATGTATGAAACAGAGAATTGGGTATAGTTTATGTATGAATGAGGTAATTAACCCAATTTTAAAAAAATAGTACAGTTATGAATCATTCTTCGTTTTCAAGTAAATTATATATTTAGATAAATAAGTAAATTACACTTTACCTTAAGTTGATACCCAGATTTTGTGTTTGCCGCTACTTACCACTCCTTAATACAAATGAACACACAACCTATAATGTATAGGAGTGAACATAAGATGAGACATGTCGTTTTTTTGTTTTTTATTTCGATTCTAAAGTTTATATGATCATGGTCTTTGATGATATTTTATTTGTTTTGCATTTAATTTAAGATAACAATTTGTTTGTTTCTATATCTTATAGAATTGCTATTCGAAAATGAGGCCATCTAAGAATAAGAATATCTCTTGAACTATCGATGCCACTTTTGTTCGTGTAAAATAATCATATTTAATATATTTATATATATATATATATATGATATTATAATAATTATATGAATCAAATTTGATTTTTTTCCATAAATTTAATTTTATCCTAATCTCAACTTTTCTTATTTATAAAATTTACTCCACTCGCTCAAACTCAATTTAAAGAAAATAACAACATACGGATGGAATTGAAATTCATTAAAACCGACTGTTACCTTTATTATGATAAGTTAAAATCAAATACACAAATAAATGACGACGTGAATGGGGTCTCTCGGAACGCACGATAGCAGGTCTGATGTGTGCTCCGTTTCTCTCCTTCGTTGCTAATCCTTCATGGGTTATTCATTCTTGGGTGGTTGTTGGCTTTCTCGGCGGTTTTTCATGGATTCGACGTCTTCGAAGCTCGATTGGAGGAAACTTTTTGTCGGAACGGAAGAGCAGTCCCTTGATTTTTTCCCCCTTAGTTCATTGATGGAATTCCCACTGTTAAACCGCCATTGGCGGTGATTGAGGAGGGAATAGTTGAATGGAATTTCGCGGTTGTGGGTCAATTTATTGGTGCTGCTCCCAATTTCGATTCAATGCAGCGGATTATCAACTCTCTTTGGGGGAAATCTTCTCCTGTAAAGGTTAGTCTTGCCGGTGTAAATCTTTACGTTTTTTCGTTTGGGAGTGCTTCTATTAGAGATTGGGTGCTTGAGAATGGACCATGTCATGTCCAGAATAAGCCTTTGGTTTTGAGGAAGTGGGAACCCTATTTGCATAAACTTGATTTCGATCTCTCTCATATGCCTGTGTGGGTTCAGCTCTATAATGTACCTTTGGAATTGTACTCTAGAAGTGGCCTTAGCTATATCTCTAGTGCCCTAGGCAATCCATTATACATGGATTCCATTACTGCTTCTAGGGGAAGATTAGAGTATGCAAAAGTTTGTATTGAAATTTCTGCGGGGTTTGTAATACCGAATGAGGTCCAGGTAATTCTTAAGGATGGATCAATGGTGAGGGTTGGTGTCTTTATCCCTTGGTTACCAAGGGCTTGCTCTATTTGTAAAACTTTTGGTCACCTGGCCAGCAGGTGTGTTGCTAGGCAGAATTCTGTGCCGAAGCAGGAGGTTCAAGTCTAGAAGAAAAAGGGCACTGCTATTTCTGCCCCTTGTGATAAGCAGAAGTTGGATCCAGGTTTTTTGCCTTCTGGATCCTCAGGTAATGCCATACATGCTGCTGATGTTGTCTGTCCTAGTCCTGAATTGGTTGTTAGTATGGCTGAGGAGACTTCTGTGTCAGCTTTGTAAGAGGTACATGTTCAGGAGGTTGGAAAATCTGGTACTATCATACAGGACTCTAGTAGGGTGATGTGTGATATTGCTGTAAATCTGGATGCTGTTGTTGTTGATTTTGTTTGTCTGCCTAGCTCTATCCTTGCTGAGGAAGTAGCTCATAAAGCTGCTGATGATTTTGATTGTTTGCCTAATTCTACCTTGGTTGAGGAAGTTGCTCATAAAGCTTTACTAGAGGATGTTGGTCCTGATTTTCCCACTCTGCAGGACTCTATGGTCCAGAAGAAAAAGGTTAGAGGTAGGAAAAAAGAGAATACTGGCTCTTCCAGTAAACCTGATGTGTTGGCTGGTGGAGGTGTTGTTGATGGACAAAGGAAGGTTAGGATAACTTCTATGGGGGTTATTGTCCTGCTCAATGAAATTAAATCTAAGAAGAGAGATTTGATGGATAAAGCCAAAGGTAGTGTGATTGCGGGGGTTGGGGTTGAAGTTGGCTCTGCTGTTAATTGATGTTGGTTTGTTTTTGGAATGTAATAGGGATTAATAACCCTCTTAAGCAACATAAGGTTCTGAGCAGATTAATTAACCTGGGAGCTAATGTTGTGTGTCTTTTAGAAACTAGAATTAGAAGAATCAATGCTGATAAGTTCTATTCTGCTTTTTCTGATGAATGGAATATGATAGATAACTATGCTTATTCTGAGGGTGGTAGAATATGGGTTATGTGGAGGAAACAATGGTCATTCTCTACCTTGAGGGCTAATGACCAGTCTCTAACTATTGTTGGAGTTGTTAATGGCCACATGACTTTAATCACTGCTGTTTATGGCAGTAACAGCAGGGTTGCCAGGAGAGGGCTTTGGGATCATCTAAAGGATTTGGATAGTGAGGTCGGTTCCTCTCCATGGGTGGTTGGAGGGGATTTTAATGTTACCATTCGAGCTGATGAGAGCTCTGATTTTGAGATTCTGGGTGTTCATAATTCCCCTGATATGGAGGATTTTCAAGGCTGTTTGGAGGACATAGACCTCTTGGATCACCCATTCTTAGGCCCTTCTTTCACCTGGTCTAATAGGCAGGATGATGGTTTCTTAACTCGTAAACTGGACAGAATTTTGGTCAACCATCCTTGGTTGTCTATTTACCCTGATTCGTTTGTAGAATTTAAGGCACAGGGTGTTTCTGATCATTGCCCTGGTATGATTTGGACTCAGAGGGGTGCCTTGACTAGAAGGCCTAAACCTTTCAAATTTTTCAACTGCTGGTCCACAAGTGCTAATTTTCTGGGTATTGTCAAAGAGTCTTGGACAGTGCAATGTGCTGGGAACCCTATGCAAAGGCTATTCCTAAAACTGAAAAGACTAAAGCCCAAATTGAAGAATCTCAACAAGGAGCAGTTTTCTGATATTTCAAACAAGGTACTTAGTAAAAGGGCTGACTTGGAAAGAATTCAATTGATCAACCTAAGTCATACTGATCAGAGGAACATTGAGGAGGAGAGGAGGATTCATGCTGAATTGGTTGATTTGGAGGTTATAGAATCTGAATTCTATAGAGAGAGGGCTAAGGTGCATTGGTTGAAAGAAGGTGACCTTAACACTAAGTTTTTTCATCAAATAGTTGAATTAAATAAAAAGAAAAATACTATCAAGGTTTTAGTAACTCAAAATGGACAGTTCCTGGACTCTTTTGATGACATGGCTGATGAGTTGGTGAGTTTCTTCACTAATCTCATTGGTACTGCAGATCCAATGGTTAAAAGCCCCCCTATGGAGTGTCTGAAGGAGTTGCTTAACTTCTCTTTGCCTGATGATGCTGAAGCTATGCTTACTAAGGAGGTGGATGACAAAGAAATTAAGGAAGCCTTATTCAGACAAGGCAATGGTAAAAGCCCGGGCCCTGATGGGTACTCTTATTGGTTTTTCAAGGCTGCCTGGGATGTGGTGGGTTGTGACTTCTTAGCTGTAATAAGATTCTTCTTTCTTTCCTCTTCATTGCTGCCTGCATTTAATGCAACAACTATAGTCTTAGTCCCTAAGGCCCTGAATGCTTGTATGGCTAAGGATTTCAGGCCCATTTCTTGTTGCACTGTAGTGTACAAAACTATCACTAGAATCATCACTACTAGATTGTCTCTTATTTTTCCTTGTATGATCTCTCCTAGTCAGACTGCTTTTGTAAAGGGTAGGAACATTGTTGATAATACCTTACTAGCTCAGGAAATAGTCAAAGGTTATTCTATGAAGAGTCTTTCTCCTATATGTGCCATTAAGATTGACTTGCAAAAGGCATTTGACTCTGTGGATTGGAATTTTCTGATGGTTATGCTTGAGGCTATTGGTTTACCTTTGAGATTCTGCTGTTAGATAAGGGCTTGTGTTACTTCATCTCAATTTTCAGTTTCCTTGAATGGTAGTCTTGTGGGCTTCTTTAAGGGGGCTAGGGGGTTAGGCAGGGAGACCCACTATCCCCTTATCTCTTTGTCATGGTTATGAATGTTCTCTCTTCTTTGTTGGATGCTTCTGCAAAAAAGGGAATTTTTAGATATCACCCTAAATGTAAGAGGGTTTCTCTTACACATCTGTGTTTTTTTGATGATCTCCAGCTAATTCAATCTGGCACTGGATTTAAAGTTGGGATGCTTCCTGTTAAGTATCTTGGGGTACCTCTGGTCACTAGAAAGCTTTCTTGTAAGGACTGCTCTTCTCTATTGACTAAGATTAAAGAGAAACTTGGCAAATGGTCTGATAGGAAGCTGAGATATGGGGGCAGGCTTCAGCTCATCAAATCTGTCCTATTTAGTGTCTTTAGCTACTGAAGTAGGCAGCTCATTTTGCCTAAAAGGGTCATAAGAGATGTGGAAAGATTGTGCATAAGATTCTTTTGGAAAGGCATTGATTCCTCAGCTAGAGGTGCCCGGGTCAGCTGGAACCAGATTTGCTCCCTGAAATCTGAGAGAGGCTTGGGGTTGAGAAGTCTGACTGACTGGAGTAAAGCTTGTTGCCTCCTACTTATCAAAAAAATATTGGCAGGTGATGGTTCTCTCTGGATTACTTGGTTAAATGCCTACTGTTTCAGAACTGTTGATTTCTGGAATGTTGAATACAAGGCTCACTTTAGCTGGATCATAGCTAGGTTGCTTAAGATGAGGAATGAAGCTGCGAGTTTATTCTGCTCCAACAGTAATTGGGATCAAATCAAAGCCAGTTGGATATGGGATAGGATTCGAAGTAGGGGTGAAAAGGTTTGCTGGCATCGCCTTGTATGGTTCCTTGGCCATGTTCCAAAATTTTCTCTGATTACATGGATGGCAATCTTGGATAGATTGCCTACAAAAAACAGATTAGCTAGATTTGGTATAGCTACAGATGGTGTTTGTGGTCTGTGTAGTTTTGGTTTGGAAACCCGTAATCATATATTCTCTGAGTGTACCTTTGCAAATGAAACTTGGTGTGCTATCTTGCTTCTGTGTGGCCTTAACCAGGCGCCTCTTGGATGGAATGATCTTCTGCAATGGTTGTTGCTGAATCTTAAAGGCAAATCCTTGCTGGTGTATATGCTCAAGTTGGCCTGGACTGGTTTTATCTACTGCATTTGGGAGGAGCGGAATCGTAGGCAGTTTCGAGGGGTGCATCGCTCGGTTGATACTGTTGTTAGTTGTGTTAAAGAATCTGTGAGAATTAAATTGTATAGGAGCCCCATGAATAGAATTGATACTGTAAATAGGCAATTGTGTATAGATTGGGTCTGATATAGTGGCTTGTTTTGTTTGTAGCAGCTTGGCTGCATTCTTTTGGATAAATGCAATTCTACTTATCCAAAAAAAAAAGAAATTCATTAAAACCCTATCCATAGTTATATGTTAGGGTGGCGAGAGAGATGAGCGAGGCATCAAGTGCTTGAAAGAATGAGACGGGCAGAGCAAGGGTAGGGTGGCAAAACAGAGGAAACACGTGCTCTACCTCGCATTTTCCTCTAATGCTTGATTGCCTTTTATCAGCATACTCCCGGCAAAAAAAAAAAAGAAAAAAAAGAAAACCCTATCCTTTAAGCATGCATAGCCATGCAAATAAATTAAGATAATGTACGTATTGATGTCTCTGTGTGCTAACGAATTTAATTGAGATAAATAAGGGTTGGAATAAGAAGAAGAAGCATATAGGTATGGAAGATATGTGTTGCAGTGGCCTGCCAATGTTGCATTTAAATTAAAACAAGAGGGAATTGCTTCGCTTTCCCTCAAAGCAGAAATCATTCTCACTTCAATTCTCCAAGAACATCGTTAATAATCCAAAATTCGGCATTCATAATAGAACATCGTTCCATTAACAAGAACGACGTTGTTCAACGTCTTGAAAGTAGAGTATATACATTCTAAGACGTTGAAGGAATTATTATTATTTTGTAACATATCAATTTTAAATATTAGAAACATCAATTAATAGTAAATAACTTAAAACTATCTATAAAACTACATTGTATTTTCATTGTGTTACTAAAAAAAATAGTCTAAGATGCGTTACACCACTGCCACATTCTCCTGCTGGTGTAAAATCAGGTAATCGTTCAGGTTTCAGTAGGGTCCTATCAGGTCAGGTCAAACCAGATACATGTCATATCAAGCTAATTTGATGGTTCGATTAAGATCATGTCGAATTCGAATCAAATCTGTTCGAGTCATTTTCAGGTTGATTTTATCATCAAATTCAGTTCAGGTTCGGATCGGGTTAATTTCAGTTTGGGTCGATACCATTTTAGGTCAAACGGTTCAGGTCTGAATCAGTTAAATTTCAAGTAAATTCATGTTCAGATAGACTTCAGGTCGAATCTCATTCAAATCATGTCACATCATTGACATACTAAATTCAATTTCAATCTTATCGGGTATGGATTGACTTCAGGTCGAGTCATTTTTTGGTTAATTATTTTTCGTCTTTCATGAACGATGAATTGAAATTTTTAATTGTATATGATTTGGAGTAAATTATAAAAAAATATAAATAATTGTGAGTCACTTTTAATGAAAATATAATTTTAAGGACTAAATTGAACAAACAAAAAATTAAATAAATTAAACGACACGCATGTATGAGGGACTAAATCAAAATATAAATAAGTATGGGTCAATTTCATATACAAATATAATTTTAAGGACAAAATTGAAGTAAATTACAAAAATATAAATATGGACAATTTGGAAAAATGAATGGTATGCATGACGATATATCCGAGTTAGTCTATGACCTGCAGAAAGCAGCAGTTAACTCGAACCAAAGTTTTTGGAGAGTTGCCCTTGGACCCAGTGACCACTTTTTTCTTGCCAAGTTCATTCTAAAGAGCCTGGGTCTTTAGAAGATGAACAAAGTGATCGACCGATCTCTCTACCTGTACAGCCGAGCATCAATGCTCATAGTGTCCTTGGCCAAATTCTCTTTGACGCTTGTGTTCCTAAGAATATTGATGGTTGGGATGTTAGATTTCCCGGTTCTGGTGACAGCCATTTTCATCTGTTCGGAGGCATTCGCCTTTCCTTGGTATCAAGTGCAGTCGTTGCTCGAGATTATAATGTTTCTGTTGAATCATTTCCATAGAGTGTTGGATCGGAAATGCTGTCAAGACATATCACAAACAAAACAAATCCATTACTCATGATAAATGAGTCGTAGTTTCTCCACTCGAGCATCGGAAACAAGTTCCGTGGACGTTTTTTTTCTTTTGAAGAAAATGGTGTTGGTTACCTGTTCTTCTGCTTGTGATATAATCGACTTGCAATAAGTGTACAGGTAGTGTATGAACCATATTTATTTTATTGTATATGAGAACGTATGTATAGGAGGACTGTATGTATGAGAAAAGGGTCATCAACTGTGCTTGAGTTTGGGGATTCTAAGATGTGAATGGTTAAGTAGCTCAGTGTTTGGTTTGGAAGCATATATATGTAAGGTTTTAAAAACAGAGCATATGAAGATAACCATAGGCTTAAGGCTGTTAGCAATGAGTGGTCGATGCTCAAGTGTGGGATACATGTCCTAAACAGTATGTTAGGTCCTTTGAAGTTCATATGGATTTTGGATTATGAGGCTGAGTGCCTATGTTACTAGGAATCGAGTGTTAGTCTCAGTAATGTTATATATCTAAAACTATATGTTGGAAGGCCGTATCCCCGCCATGGTTTTTTAATATGAATCCAAAATAGGTGCTGGACATCAATACTCCAAGTAAAGGGAAATTTAATGAATGTTTTGGCAGGTAGTCTCTGGTGAAAAGGAGAAAGCTCAATGGTGGGTTAATGTAGCTCAAACATTTCTTTCTTTTTGTCTTGGGAACAATTAGACATTGCTACCTTGTTTTATGATACTATTGTTTCCCTTTTAGTAATAAACGAAAGAGAGCTACATATGATGGATTGTATGAAAAAACTGACCTCAAATCCGCTGTTATGTGACTAGCATTGCAAATTCAAGCTAATCTATCATTCGAGTTCCCTAGCTTGATCAAATACATGCTTCCTCTCACGTTTCTGGAGGATTCTGGCTGGTATAAATCGTTTTTCGTCATCATTTTTTTTCATAATTAGACTTACTGGCTTACCGAGCGGAAGATGTTTATCTTTGGCAATGACAGGGTCTTCCGAAGCACTTCTGCTCGAATCATTTGCTGAATGAAGATCGAATCATGGTATTGGAAGATGAAGAAGGAGAAGAGTTTGAAGTTAAATATTTAGCGGAAAAGGTTGGACTTTGTGGTGAATGGAGAGGGTTCTCCATCGCTCATAAATTATTGGAAGGAGATATCTGTATTTTTCATTTAGTCAAACCCTCCAGATTTAAGGTAATTCTTTGCTTTTTCCGTGTTAATGAACACCGAGTTGTTGCATATATTTGGATGACCATACCCTTCTTTTTATGGTCCGAATATGTTTCGGTCGTGTGCCGGATGAAACTTTCTCTGCATTATTTAGGTTTATATTGCGAGAAAAAAAGGTTCAGATGAAGTTGATGTTGCTCTTGGCCTTCTAAAGTTAGAATCTTCCGCTCAACAAGTCGACCCAGGTGAGTTGTTTTCATCTTCGATAATGCACGAACATGTTACGAAAACATGGATTTTAAGATTATTATCAATTGCAAATTCAGAATCTAAAGGTATTCTTTTGATGATTGCAGGGAAAGAACACAAGATGTGCGAAAGCATGATATCTGTAGGGAACACATAAAATAGAAATGACCCTAAACCCCACAACAGTTCTAACCTTGAACTGACAGCGGATCAATTTGAAAACAAAAGGGTGGATCTCGGTTCTGAAGTGTCGGATGGAGTCAGGCTCTCGGAATCCATTGTTAGTTTTGAAGAAGTGAAGAGTTTCGAGGATTTTAACATTGTTGTTAATGGTTTAATCATAGATTCTGAGTTTTCCAAGCACCTGCAAATGAAGTACCATGAGCTTTGTAGTAATCAGGAGTCATCCCTTCACGAATATCCTCATTGAGGGACTTAACTGTAAACTGGTTGCCGGATTCATTGCCGAAACGATAAATATCGCCAATGCCATTAGAGCTGCCAAGATTACAATTTCCCACGACAGTTTTCTTACTTGGGACAAAACGTTGAAATCGTTTGAGGGGCTAGGCATGAAAGTTGGATTTCTACGTGCTCGGTTGGACCGATTGATGAACATCTTGATGAAGTCAAGGAGGTACAAAGAAGCTAAACTCGAACAAGCCAATGCAAACAAGAAGTATAAACTGGAAGCAAAGCTTGCGGAAGTAACCAAGACGCTCAGTAGACTTGACAGAGAGAGGATCATTTGAGCAAGAGAATGTTGATGACCTTGAGGCATTGTTTGAAGAAGCGGCTAATGCACCTTGGTGATGCTAGTGGCCACTCAAAAAGATTTTATGATGGAAAAGGCAGAAACTTTTGGAAGATATTTTGTGAAGAAGGTAAGTGTATATTCTGATGAATGCCCATGTTGTATAGGATTTTGAATTTCCGTTGAGAAAGGGAATTACATCAAGCAATTCAACTCTGTTGTATGTTCTTTAAAAACATGGAACTTGTAACCAAATAACAGTAGTATCTGGTTCGGTTCCGATTCATTTGTTTTGTTTTTCTATCTGTTGCTATCCTATACAACTTTCGGTTCCAAATAACATACAGCAGTGCATTTTTTCTCAGAATTTATCTGATACTGTAACAACCCGATTTTCAAAATAATATTTAATTGAAATTGGAGGATCAACATATCTCTTGAAGTAAATCAGATTGTAATGTTTTTATTTTGCAAGTTGACTTTATTTTGGTGACATGGACCTTATTTTAAAATATCGGATTTTATATTGATGAAATAACGGTTTCGGAAAATGTATTTAATAATCATAATGTGATCCACTAGACTTAGTCGAAACGCATAGGCCGGGTCTAGGGGGTTACATTTATTGGTATCAGAGCTTTTGGTTTTTAACCCTCGGACTGTGTATGAGTCCACATTGAAAATACGGTTTTGAAATATTTTACAAAACGAGTTACTAAGGCCATGTCACAAAGTTATTAAGATTTTAACTATGTTTGAGACTCCAAGTGCTTATCTAACCCTAAGTTTTATCTTCTGTAGTAAACTTGAGATCCATCAAAATGAGTGCTAGACGTGGTCGTCGAACTAGCCGTGGACGAGGTCGAGTGGTTAGATTCGCAGATCCGATCGATGAGATACGGGTAGATCCCCCACCTCCGATAGGTGATCATGCTCCTACGACCCCAACGGATCTGCCTCCTGTCGTTGGTATTGGCATGACTACACCGATAATAAGAGCGACCGATATTGAGTCAGAGTCTACCGGAGTGGCTTTGGATGAGAATTTGGTAGACAATTTCTACAGTTAATACAGGGAGCAGTCAGAGCTACTGGTGTTGTATCTGAGGTTCCTATTTCGCAGACTTTGATTGCCAATGGAGTTAGAACTTTTGGGGGACAGATAGGTGAAGCTCCTACTGAAGCTGAGGATTGGCTCCAGGATACAGAGAGACGCATGGATCAGTTGGGTTTGGACTCAACTAAGAGATATCAGGGTGATGTGGCGATGTTAGATGGCAATGCCTACACTTGGTGGGAGTCAGTGACCAGTAGTATTCCTACCGATCGTTTGACCTGGAATTTCTTTAAGGATCGCTTTCGGAGCCGTTTTCTGGGAGAGCGCTACTTAGCTCAGAGACGACAACAGTTTCAAGACCTGGTTCAGGGAGACATGACTGTTTCTGAATATGAGATCGAGTTCCTGAAGTTGCTGAAGTATGGATTCAGTATGGTACCTACGGAGAGAGATCGATGTCGTAAATTTGCCATTGGACTCAGATACGAGCTGCGTAGGCAAGTTGTAACCCATCAGAATGAGATATTTGATGTGCTGATGGGCAGAGCCAAAGATGCGGAAGAGGTGGAGGTTTTAGCTTCTGGTAGAGAGCGTGTTGATCAAGATCGATCTAAGAAATTTTCAGGCCCGATGGAGTCATCAGCACAGTCCGAGAAGAGGACTCGTACTTCAGCCCCTCAGAGAAGCAATACACGTTTCAGGCCTGCAGCATCCTCACCTTTAGCTGTCAGTCGATGCGGTTCCTCGTCGTATTATAATGGGGCCTTTTGTGAGTATTGTGGTAAACAGCACTCAGGAGAGTGTCGTAAGAAGATGGGTCTTTGCTATCAATGTGGATCTAGTGGTCATTATCGGAGGGATTGTCCTCAGTTAGTTTCGTTTGAGCAGACCACTACCCAAACTCCTGTGCGTTCGCAGACTACAGTACAGACCCCAATTAGAGATCGTAGTCAAGGAAAGACTCGAGGATCAGCGTCCAGGACAGACAGTAGAGCCCGACCTCAGCAAAATAGAGGGCCAATAGCTTTTGAGGCTAGACAGCCAGTTTTAGTTTATGCAACTAGACGTCGTGATGACAGAGATGAGCCTGAGGTTATTGCAGGTACATTTACTATTTATTCTACCCCATACTTTGCATTATTGGACAATGGCTCCACTCACTCCTATATATCAAGCTCAGTATCTCGAAACCTTCAGATTCCGATCGAGAACACTGAAAATACTGTTACAGTTACCAGTCCAGTAGGACAAGCGGTATTAGTGAATAAAGTATACCGCCGTTGTCCTCTCGAGGTTCAGAGAGAAATTTTTCTCGCTGATCTTATGGAACTTCCTTTAGGGGAGTTCGATCTAATTCTTGAAATGGATTGGTTGAATAAACACAAGCGGGCTACTCTGAAGACTTCAGATGGTCGGACTGTTGTGTTAATTGGTGAACGACGTGGTTATCTCTCCAATATAGTTTCAGCGATGGAAATTGATCATATGATCCGGAAGGGATATGAGACCTTCATTGCTTGTATTTTGAACACCAAAGGTGCATTGTCCACGGTCGAGGAGATTCGTACAGTTAGCGAGTTTCCTGATGTTTTTCCGGAGGAGTTACCTGGGTTACCTCCTGATAGAGAGGTAGGGTTCGAGATTGAGACTTATCCGGGATCTTCACCTATTTCTATGGCACCTTATCGTATGGCTCCAAAGGAACTTAAGGAGTTGAAAGTCCAATTGCAAGAATTATTCGATCGAGGATTTATCCGACATAGTACTTCACCATGGGGAGCTCCAGTTCTATTCGTGAAAAAGAAGGATGGGTCGCTAAGATTATGTATTGACTATCGGAAATTGTACAAGATGACGGTCAAGAATAAATACCCATTACCCAGGATTGATGACTTATTTGATCAATTGCGAGGAGCTACTGTATTCTCTAAGATTGATCTTCGTTCGGGGTATTATCAATTGAAAGTTAAAGGATCTGATGTTGCAAAAACGGCCATTCGCACTAGATATGGTCATTATGAATTTTTAGTGATGCCTTTTGGTTTGACGAACGCTCCTGCAGCTTTCATGGATTTGATGAATCGGGTGTTCCGACCATATTTGGATCAATTTATGGTGGTCTTCATTGATGATATTCTGATCTATTCTCGTACTGAGGCTGAGCATGACGAGTATTTGAAGATCGTTCTGCGGACTTTGAGAGAGCATCGTCTATATGCCAAACTAAGCAAGTGTGAGTTTTGGCTTCAAGAAGTGTCATTTCTGGGGCATATTATTTCTGCGCGAGGTGTTCAGGTTGATCCCAGCAAGATAGAGGCTATTATGAATTGGAAACGACCTAAGAACGTATCTGAAATCCGTAGTTTCTTGGGCTTGGCTGGTTATTATCGACATTTTGTTGAGGGCTTCTCGATCATTGCTTCTCCTTTGACAAAGTTGTTAAGGAAGAATATGCTGTTTGACTGGGGCGAGGCACAACAGGAGAGATTTGAGAAATTAAAGGCGGTTTTGACTCAAGCACCGGTGTTGATTCAACCAGAGTCCGGGAAGGATTTTACAGTGTATAGTGATGCTTCACATTCAGGACTTGGTTGTGTTTTAATGCAGGAAAGTAAGGTGGTGGCTTATGCATCCCGTCAGCTACGGCCGCATGAGAGTAACTATCCTACTCACGATTTAGAGTTGGCAGCAGTAATTTTTGCCTTGAAGATTTGGAGACACTATCTTTATGGAGAGAAGTGTTACATTTTCACAGATCATAAGAGCTTAAAGTATCTTCTGACCCAGAAGGAACTTAATTTGAGACAGCGTCGCTGGTTAGAGCTTCTAAAGGATTATGATTGCGTGATTGATTACCACCCTGGTAAAGCTAACATTATAGCAGATGCTTTGAGTCGAAAGACGGTATCGGAGTTGAGGTCTTTAATGGCCAAGATGAATTTATATGACGATGGCACTTTGTTAGCAGAATTGCAAGTTAAGCCGACCTTGGTTGATGAGATCAAAGCTAAGCAGCCCCTTGATAGCTCCTTGCTTTCCATCTTTGAGCAAGTAGAGCAGGGGACAAACTCAGATTACGCAATTGATCAGGATGAAGTTTTATGCTTTAAAGGTAGATATTGTGTGCCTGATGATGCTGAGTTGAGGCAGACTATCCTTACTGAGGCTCATAGTAGTCCATATGCTATGCACCCCGGAGGAGATAAGATGTACCGGAATTTGAGAGAGATGTATTATTGGATTGGTATGAAGAAAGACATATCTGACTTTGTGGCTAGGTGTTTGACTTGTCAGCAAGTTAAGGCAGAACATCAACATCCATCAGGTTTGTTACAGCCTATCAAGATTCCTGAATGGAAATGGGAGCGTATTACTATGGATTTTGTTACTGGCTTGCCTATGACTCCTTCGAAAAAAGATTCAGTTTGGGTGATTGTTGACAGACTTACAAAGTCAGCTCACTTCATTCCTGTGCGAGTAAATTATACTTTGGATAAGCTGGCAAGATTGTATATTTCAGAGATTGTCAGATTGCATGGTGTTCCATTGTTTATTATTTCTGATCGAGATCCGAGATTTACTTCGAGATTTTGGAAGGCGTTACATACGGCTTTGGGAACAAGATTGGATTATAGTACATCCTTTCATCCACAAACTGATGGTCAATCTGAGAGAGTAATTCAGATTCTGGAGGATATGTTGCGGGGTTGCGTAATCGATTTTCATGGTAGTTGGGAGAACTTTTTGCCGTTGGCTGAATTTGCTTACAATAACAGTTATCAGACCAGCATTCGTATGGCACCCTATGAAGCGCTCTATGGGCGTAAATGTCGCACTCCGATCTGTTGGACTGAGTTGCGTGATAGGAAAACGTTGGGACTTGAGTTAGTGCGAGAGACGGAGGACACAGTCAGATTAATCCGTGACCGTCTGAAAGAGGCATTTGATAGGCAGAAATCTTATGCAGATCAAAGAAGGAAGGATATACAGTTTGAAGTGGGAGATCAGGTCTTTTTGAAAGTTTCACCCTGGAAGAAAGTATTGAGATTCGGGTGTAAGGGTAAATTGAGTCCAAGATTTATTTGACCATTTCGTATCTTGAAGAGGGTAGGACCTATTGCATATCAGCTTGAGTTGCCTTCTGAGCTAAGTCGTATTCATGATGTATTTCATGTATCAATGTTGAGGAGATACCGTCCAGATCCAGGTCACATTATTCAGGTTGAAGAAGTAGAGCTGAGACCTGATTTGTCATATGAAGAGGAGCCCATTCAGATCTTAGAGAGAGATGAACGAATTCTTCGGAATAGGCGAATTCCAATGGTCAAAGTTCAGTGGAGTAATCGAGGCCCCTCAGAAGCTACTTGGGAGACATTGGAGTCAATGGAGACTCAGTTTCCTCAACTATTCTCATAAGGTAAATTTCGATGACGAAATTTCTTGTAGAGGGGGAGAATTGTAACAACCCGATTTTCAAAATAATATTTAATTGAAATTGGAGGATCAACATATCTCTTGAAGTAAATCAGATTGTAATGTTTTTATTTTGCAAGTTGACTTTATTTTGGTGACATGGACCTTATTTTAAAATATCGGATTTTATATTGATGAAATAACGGTTTCGGAAAATGTCTTTAATAATCATAATGTGATCCACTAGACTTAGTTGAAATGCATAGGCCGGGTCTAGGGGGTTACAGATACAATACCAAAAAAAAAAAAACCCAACAACACAAGATGCCATCTTGTGGTTCTTTATTCAAACCAAGTAACCATTCTCTGTGAGCTTAATTCTCCCATCCTTGTACGAGTATATTTCCTATACGAGTCGAAAATAGTTTAACACTTTACCAGGAAGGGATGAACGATGATCTCGTCAGCTTCGATTCATAACTTAGCCATTTGATGTTCAAAGCTTGGATCAATGCAAATGACAACCTGGAGAAATTGATAGTAATGTAAAACACATTAGACGCCCAGTTCAGTTTGCTTGAATGCTTTCATTTTATCAAGAACTTGTGCTCACCTTGCCGGAACTTTTTCCTGAATGCAAATACTCAACAGCATCTGCAACTGAATCCAAACCTGAAAATCTTTTCGGGTCTAATACTATCTGTTACAATATTGAATAACAGCATGTTAAGAAGGGGAGAAAAAAAACTAACGCTTCGGTTTAGCATTGTTCTAAGTTGGAAGCTGCGGTTCGTCACAAACGAGATTCGTTTGTAGTTATATATCAAACATAAAATGGGGATATATGTATTACCTTAAGCTTTCCTGAAGAGTAAAGCTGAGATAGTCTAATTAGGTGCTCTTTGCATAAATAGCTATAGTGTGTCATGACAAAGCCCGCCTGAAAACAAAAGCATTTTTGGTACAAGCCACAAGATTTCCAATGCCAAGTGCAAAGAAGATAAAATAATATACGGTAGAATCGAAACCATAGAATCCGTGATCACAAATGTCCAGAAATGTGTTAAACACGAGTATCAAATATGGATTCTTGAAGAAAAGTGAAGAGCCACGACATACCACAGTTTGGCTTTTGGCCAAAAGCTTCTCAACAAGTCCAGGGTAATTTAATGGCATCCATCCATTCTTCCCTTGATACTGTAAATGAGAAGCGCAACATCAGAAGCTATAAAAGTTGCGAATATGAAGAATGACTAGTATCCTCGTACTTGCGTATATATATATAAAACAACCAACCTGAGAGATCATTCCTATCACAACGAGTCGTCCTCGGATAGCCAAAGCATTAAGGCATAAATCAAACATGTTCCCTCCAACACATTCATAGACAATGTCGACTCCTTTAGGAAACTCCTTGAGAGCCTGGAAGTCTACAAAGTCAGACATTCCTTCCATGAAACCGACCGAATGCAGAAATTATCACATGGCGGTATTACAAAGCCTTTTAACCTGACGGCACTCAAGATCATAGTTGTTCTCATTGTGGTGATATCAATCTCAGAAGATGGGGCATGGCATGTATGATGATAAAATAATGGCCACTGATTTATGTTACTCTAAATTGATTTATGTTACTCAAACTCAGTTGTGAGCGGTGGATACGAGTGTATTTCCGATATAGGTGTGCGAGAAAAAGAGGAACAATTGAAAATAAGAATTTCAGATACATACAGTTTTGACGTCTTCTGTTTTATAGTCTATGACTCGATCGACCCCCAATTCTTTCAAAAGCGTTGCCTTTTCTTTTCCTCCACAAGTCGCAACAACTTTATTTCCTTCTAGTTTTGCAAGCTGCAAATGACGTTCTGATTAAAAGGAGATAAAAGTATATAAAACAGACACATTCAGGGAGCAAAATCTTGTTGAAGCCATGAAACAAATACATACAATCATTAAATAGCCTTAAATATACCTTTGAAGATGCAAAACATGATAGCCGTATAAATTACTAAATATTTGAAGATGTTTTGGAAAATAAATTAAATACCATATAATTCAATAGGTACAATATTAAGATAACCATGGAATAGGAACTGAATCTTAGTAAGATTTATATATAACGAGCATGTTCAATATTTTTTTAAAGATATTGTGTTTTAATAGTTTATGATTATGTAAAAATTGACACTTATGTGTATTAATGCCACATTTTTGTTATTTTATTATTCTCATATTGTTTATTGTAATTATTGTTTTTTCATGTAATATTCTTATTCCAAGTTATTAACTCAGTTTAACACAAACCTGGACTGCAAATTGCCCAGTCCCTCCAGCAGCAGCTGTTACAAGGACAACTTGTCCAGATTTCATCTGTCCAACCTATAAGATGAAAAATAGAGATCGAAAATGATTCAGACACGCATACACAAGAAAGACTGAATAGATAGCTACAAAAAACAAAGGAAAATATTGCCATAAAAAAGCTGGTTAGCGAAAGAGTTGAGAATGCAAAAGTTTACATATCTAAATAAAGAAAAAAATTGCAACAAAATGTACCTTTTCCAAAGCGATTGATGCTGTTAATCCTGAAGTAAGCAAAGCAACAACCTCTGGATCAGGCCTTGGAATGGGAAGTATGTGCTTTGAAGAGACCTAGGCTTAGTTTCAATATCCAATGATTATTTAACAATATAAATATTGGAACAAAAGACTGAATTAGATGAAGAAACAATAACTTTACACATGTAATAAATAAACTTGATGTTATACCTTCATGAACTCAGCATAACATCCAAAACCCATGATTGCAGCAGGAGTTCCAACTTTCAGATTTCTTACAGAATCTCCGACAGCAGCAACTATTCCCACTGCCTGTAACGGCAAAATTTAACCGTAGCCAGAAGATATCAACTTAACTGAATTATATTATATTACCACATTTTCAGTAGGGATGACAATATAATGTGATTTCGGTAATTGCTGATACAAATCCATTTTCTCCAAATTCAGATACTATAATTCATAGTGAATTCGAAATGGATGTCGATATCCAAGCAAATGTCCGAATCGATGTCATCCCTGATGGTATTTAGTTTTAATATTTTATTTCTGCACCTCAAACCCAGCATCGGCTGGAAGAAGGGAGCTGATGTCTTTCTTGTTTCCTTGAAAATACCGGCCCGCGCTATAATTCACCTGTTTGCAACATGTTATTCAAGAATACACAAGTATTACATTGTATATAATTTATACGTCAAGGAAAGCATAAATTTTCTATAATTATACGAAGATTCTTATGGTCGGAATAGAAGATATCAAAAGTTGAGTGCAGAGAAGAATTTAATTAAAGAAAATGGAAAATCAAATGAATCATAAATGAAAAGTAATAAATATAAAAGAACTTACATCACCAGCGTTTACACCAGCATAAATGACCTTCAGAACAACTTGGTCTGATTCAAGAGGTAGTCGCAATGGTGCACTAATTACATGGGTTGCATCACGAAAATGGTGACTAAAGCTATGCACAACACTGAACAAGAGCAAAAAGGCACTGGTCAGTATCTTTGTTAAACCAATCAACTTCATTATTCAGATTCAGGGTGAGTATTATTGATTGGGGTATATCCGGTACGAGTATGCTTAATATTTTTTATTTTTTTAAAAATAATATCTTTGAAGTATCTTATTAATGTCAGGGATAGATAAAACTAATCGAGATATGAAATATGGATGCTAAACAAAGTAAAAAAGAAATATTGTAGCTTTCAGCAACCATACAAGAATTCAAGCTATGTTTATGATGGTGAACTGTATACTTTTAATACACCAAAACTCAAACAATTGTACATAAAATACTAAAAGATGAAACAGTTATGACATTTTACTTACAGTTTCTTGAAATTCTGAGGAAGCTGGGAACTTAAAGGAGCTTGGAACGAGATTTTGTTGCTCCTTGAGGAGTAACTCGCAGTGTATTTTGATTCTTCAGTTGGATTGGGCCAATACTCCAAGCCTTTGTGGTTTGAAACCCATAGGCAAGCACCAGCTTTGCTCTCATCAGTGATAAGCTCAAAAGCACCTAGAAATATGAAGAAGTGGATAGAAAGTTACCAGAAGTGATTTGACTTGCAAAATCTCTATTTTTTATTTAGGATTGTATTAAAATCTATATAAAATCAAATTATATAAATATATTGTACATCACAGATTAAAGACATCTTCTGAAGAAGAGGTTTTCAAGGGCCGAACCAAGTAAGACAAAATCAAATAGATCAAAGTTGCAAATTACTTTTTTTTCCTAAAGCCTGGCTCTTAAACAAATTTATTTTGAGATAATAGTTAGCAAAATCCTTGGCATATATACCTTTCACCACCATTTCCATTGGCACAAAGCCCCCCATTAGAGAAACAGATTTGGGGTCCAATTTTTCTCCCATCTCTGTTCGAACAACCTACATCCATGTTCAAAGGCAAATTATATAAGAGAAACATATGCTAATTAAGAACATCCAAATTCTTCAAAAATAACTAGAGATCTACATCAGGGCAAAGAACATTGGCACGTATTCCTTGGCGTTTGTAACCAGCCAGTGATCTAGTAAACATGACAACACCTCCTGGAAAACAAATATTTCAAACAATTTGTCAAATTACATAAATGCATTAACTGCTAGAATCACACTAACCTCTGCAAATAATCTGAGAGAACATGACATTTTTCGTTTAAACAAAAAGATGACAACTAAGGATGTAAACAAGACATTGTGTTCAGCTGAAAAAAAGTTCAAATTCAGTTTGATCATATTATCAATTCAAACTGAAGCTATTGAGCAAGTCAAATTTGCGTAGCTTTCGAGTCTGATGGAGCATCTTCTTTTTCTTTTTCATATTTAAATAGTGTTTAAAAATTTCAATAAAAAAACACAAATAACCAAATCCAGATTTTACTAGGAAAATGATAAATCGTAGCCCAACTATCTTTAACATTTTGATTTTATATCAAACAGAGCTAAAAACTTTAGAAATAAAACTCAACCGAAATTATGAATATTGAGTGAAAATCAATGAATACAGAGTATCATAGAGGCAATAATAACTGCAAACCTTTTGAGCTAGAGTAGATGGGGATCAAGTCGGATGGGATAAGGCCAGCAAAGGATCCTAAATTGATTATCACCCCTGACTTTTTCAGAGTTTTCATAGTTCTAATCTGTTGAAGAAAAAAAAACACTCTTAAACAATCAATCCTTTACAGAAAATTTGGACTTTCATAAAAGCAAAATTGCAGAAAAAAGTAAAGTGGAATCATTACTGCATGGCGAGTACAATCAATAAGTGCAACGAGGTTGATATTAATGGTGTGCCTCCATGTCTTAGTTCCATCAGTTTTATCCTTGTGAAATGGTACTGGGTTACTAATGCCGGCGCTGTTGATACAAATATCCAATCCTCCATATGTTGCCACGTGCTTTTCGAACAATGAAGTTACATCTCCTATTTACCAAAGTCGAAAGCCGAATAAGCCTATATTCAAATATACGGCGGATACAGAGATGCTTAGAAAATAAATCATTTAGCAGGTGCTAAAGGGATCAAATAGAATTTACTTGCATAATTCTCAAGTGAAAAATCGAGTGTATATTCATATATGTACATAATATGAATACTTCGGAGAAAATGATCGAACAGGTCATAAACAAAGATGAGATCGAATTTACTTGGATTAGTGACGTTGCATTTGACAAAAATAGCAGAAGGAAACTCCAAATTTTCATGGAATCTGGAATTCTCTTTCTGAACTAAAGAAACAGCCTCCTTTCCTTTCTCTTCAGAGAAATCTACGATCGTCACGAATACTCCTTTCTCCGCCAAAGCTAAGCTCAAAGCTTTACCTGCAACAAAAAAATTCAATTACAGTCGATCGAATAACTTCATACGATCTGCTTTTACAATCAATCACATCGAATCAAGTTTAATGATTCTATAATAAATACTAATACAAATGTGATACTGAAAAAAAGGATATTTTTTCCGAAAATTTTACCGATTCCGGCAGCTCCGCCGGTCACCAAAGCTGATAAACCAGGTTTGAGCTCCATCTCTTTTGCTTGGCAATCACTGTTGTTAGAGATATACTTTGTGAAAAAAAGACTAAAAATGAAGACCGAAAACCGCAGATCAGATCTTGAACTTCCACGAGAATTGCAAATTATTTAAAATAAAAATAAAACTATTTTGGAACTTCATTTTGTTCCCGTTCATGAACGTGATTTTGAATTTATATATATTTTTCTGCCTTCAATTGAATCGTAAGTCGTTGGAGTGGCAGTTAAGTAAGACCCGCCGCCGGGAAGTTACAGGGAGAGGATTTTCTTTTAAAAAAGATCACATCTACCTATTATAAGATGATTTTTTTAACTTAATTTGTTCTTTTATTATATCAACTGGTTTTTAATTGTAGAGAAAAGAATTGAAGGCGGGGTAAGAAAAATAAAAGGATGATGATTTTCATCTAAATCATCCCAGTGAATGGATCAAAGATATTTTTAAAATATAATATTTTTCTTTTAATTTTTAATTCTATCAAGCAATTAATAAAACAAAAATAATTATTTTCTCTCATTTTTAGTTATTCTAATCAAGCACATCGATTAAAATAAATAAAACCTTTTGAAACTAATTAATGCCGCTTGATTTTGTTTAATATCTAAACTATCCGTTTTTTATTTAAATTTTTAGTTTTTTTTTAAATCATACATAAATTTTAGTTTTTGTTTCATTTTAATATACCTAGTTAAAAATTTTATTTTTTACTTTATTTTAATATCTCATTCAAAATTTAATGTTAAATTTTAAAAAAATTAAAAGTTTAGGCATTAAAACGAATTAAAATCAATATTTTAGATATTAAACGCGTTAAATTTTTAATGACGAATACTAAAATAAAATTAACAAAATTTTAAGTATGATTTTAAAAAAATTAAAAATTTAAATATTAAAACAAATCAAAATTATTAGTTTAATTACTAAATACCTTAATATAAAATAATTCTCCCAACTAAATCCGAATAATGGAGATGGAAGGTACCCTGCACCATCCAAGTCAACCCAATAAAAATTGTTCCTACCAACAATTGCTTTGAAATTTCCAGGATGTGACCATTGACTTTTCTTTTATTTATTCTTTCTTATCCCATAATCATAATGTATCTAAACTTATGGAATACAACACCTGTGATATGTTCTTTTATTTGCTTGTTTCATCATATAATTATTGTGAGATGTTAAAATTTAATATTTATTTAATAAAGTAATCGAGAATTTTTTATAATATAGTCCTCTCCAATCTAATTATAGACATCATTTAACAAGAGAGATGTGAACTTGATTACGTTCCATAGCGGGGGACATTGTACCCAAATCGACTACATCCTGATTCGAAAATGGGATCGATGGGCTTGCATTGACTGTAAGGTGTTCCCTGAAGAGGCTTGTGCATCACAACACAATTTGTTGGTATTGGTGTTCCGCGTACGCCACGGGCGGAGCACTCATAGGAGGGCTAAACTTGGTAAACCTAGGATCCTTTAGAATAACTTACATGGAGCAACAACTAATGACTTTAGGAGCAAGGTTTTGTCTCATACATGTTTTGGTACTACAAACTCAAATAATACAGATATGTTATGGAAAAATATGGCAAATTCCATCAGAGAGGTGGGCAAAAATACCCTTGGGTTATCAACATGGAAGGTCAAAGAACATAAAGAATCGTGGTGGTGGAACGACGAAGTCCAAACAAAGGTGAAGACAAAGCAAACTTGCTTCAAGGAGCTTCTACAATGCAATGACGACGAAGAAAGATCGAGAGCTAGACAATGATACAAGGAGGCAAAGCGAGAAGCCAAGAAAATAGTGGCTAAAGCAAAGGATAAGGCATATGAGGAAATGTACAAAAGATTAGACACCAAGGAAGGACAAAACGACATCTTCAGGCTTGCAAAATCCAGGGAGAATAAGAAAAATGATCTAGGTAGCATTAGGTTTATTAAGGACAACAATGGTGTTCTTTTAGTGAAAGATCATGATATTAAGAGGGTTTGGGGTAGTTACTTCTTTGGCTTATATAATGCCGGTGCCTCTCCCTGTAGAGATAATATCGTTGATGGGTCAGTCGACCATCATACTACGACCAATGACTGCCCTACAAGTAGGATTGGGATTGAGGAAGTCAAAATGGCTCTTAGAAAGATGGAGAGGGACAAAGTTATCGGTCCAGATCAAATTCCTATCACTATGTGGTTGCCCCTAGGAGAAGAGGGAGTTAAGTGGTTGACCATCATCTTTAATATTATTTTAGAGACTGCCAAGATGCCAGAGGAGTGGAGAGAGTCTACGGTGATACCAATCTATAAGAATAAAGGAGATCTCCAATGTTGTGGTAACTACAGAAGGATTAAAATACTCAATCATACCATGAAGCTATGGGAAAGGGTGATAGATGCTAGGTTGAGACAGGTCACTAGGGTTTCGGAAAACCAATTTGGCTTTATGCCCGGCATGTCTACTACGGAGGCGATTCATCTACTTCGACGGCTTATGGAGAAATATAGGGAAAAAAATAAAGATCTTCACGTGGCGTTCATTGACCTTGAGAAGGCGTATGATAGCGTTCCCCGCGATACGATCTGGAAGACCTTGGAAACAAGACAGATCCCAACTGCTTATATACGAGCGATTCGTGATATGTATTGTAGATCTACTACATACGTCAGGACTACAATTGGCGACACCGAGGCATTCCCGGTGGAAATCGGACTCCACCAGGGGTCATCTCTTAGCCCTTACATCTTCTCCTTGATTATGGATGACATCTATTGTGCGACACCAGACGGTGTTCCATGGTGTATGCTTTTCGCTGACGACATTGTCCTAGTTGCTGAAACAAAAACTGAGTTGAATAGTAGACTGGCGACCTGGAAGACTGCTTTGGAAGAAAAAGGTCTAAGGATCAATATTGAAAAGACAGAGTATTTATGTTCAAACTTCAGTGGGAACCAAAACGATGAAGATGTAGAAGTATGCTTAGAAGGACACGTTCTCCCCTCAAAGGATTGTTTCAAGTACCTAGGGTCTATAATACATAAAGATGGAGGTGTAGATGTTGACGTTACACACCGTATAAAGGCGGGATGGCTAAAGTGAAGGGCTTCTACTGGAGTTTTGTATGACAAGAAGGTGCCTCTAAAACTTAAAGGAAACTTTTATAGAATGGCAATTAGACCAGCGCTGCTGTATGGATCAGAATGTTGGGCAATCAAGAATGATCATGTAAGGAGGATGGAGGCCGTATAAATGAGAATGCTTTGATGGGCATGTGGTAGGACTCTGTGGGACATGACACCAAACTCTGCAATTAGGATGTCCTTGTGGGTGGTGCCCGTATCCGAAAAATTGAGGGAGGGAAGACTAAGGTGGTTTAGGCATATCCTTAATGTAACACCCCCAACCCGTACCCGACCCGGGTATGAGTCAGAGATACTACATTGACTTTTAAAACACAACTCTTAACCAATAATAGCAAAATATTTGAACTTATATTAAGAAAATACGATAATATACATATTGTAATATAAGTTTACCAAAATATTCAGAGCATACACAACTTAACCCTTTAATTACATGCCAACTGCCATTTACATAACAAAATGACCTACTGATTAAGTTGCTTCTGATATGGTGGTTGCAGGAGTAATGCTGTCAAGCTGCTTCACCTGTCTCGTCTACTTTCTCGGATCCTACGTGTGAAACACTCACACGCTAAGTCATCGACTTAGTGAGGCAATGTAATAATAATAACAAGGCAATGTAATGAAAATGTCATAATGATATGAAATGAGATGAAAACTTATACTTAATCAAGGTAGTTTACATCACCATTATCCTTACCTGTAAGCATATTACTTTAACATTCATGAATTTGTATTAATGAGTTTATTGGCCCATGATATTATATTGAGAACCTAAGGTATCGGAGTATTGTGAGATTGTGCACTATGTTGTCACCACAGCTCGTATAAATGCACCGAAGTGCCGCGTAGAATTGCACCGTAGTGCCATATAATAATGTCCATAAGGACCACATAGAATTCCTTAAGAATCATATACATATGCTAGGGATCACATATGTGTCTCACCAGAGTTCACACATGTTCCAAAGAATATATATATATCCCGAATGACCGCGTAGAATTTTGTCCCGAAGGACCGCGTAGACCCTCTACCCTTGGCATGCCAACTATACCTATAGTTCTCATCTACATAACATGGGCTTTTACATTTCACGTAGTCTATATCGCGTAGACATGTAAATTCTTACCTTTTCACATAGCTCATAACTTTTCCTGCATATTCATGTCATATAATGCATTTTATATGAATTCATGTCATGTCTCATAATACAGAATATGATCATGTACCAAGATATAAAATCTAGACTTATCACAAGTCTAGAATTGAGTATATTTCTATAATTATGCTATGCATATGCACTCACTTATATTTCTTTGCCTTTTCCTCGATCGATCCTACTTGTAGATTGTTCCAGAACTCGTGTAGGCTCAGTATCTACATAAACATAATTTTCAAGAGGATTATCAGATGTCTATGTCTTGAAATTAATCTTTAATAGCCTACCAATTTAAGGAATTAATAGTTTAGTCTTTCTTTTTTTTATATGGGGGAATCGGTTCCCCCCTGGGGGTATCGATTCCCCTCTAGCATTCTGGAAATTCATATTCGTTGAGGGGGTATCGATTCCCCTAGCCCAGAAATCCTATTTTGAGCTCGAAAATCATCTCATTTCAGCTCAAACATTCATATTTCACTCCCTTTAATACTCTTAACTTTCATACACTTACTTAAACTAATTATTATCCATTCAATACCTCTAAAACTAAAAAAACTAATCATCCATATAGAATTTAAGAATCTTACTCAAATTCCAACTTGTTCTAATTTTAATTCTATCACCTCATACTTCTTAATTAGCTTGATGACAAGTCAAATCCAGCTTCTAATTCTTATTATGACCTTTAATCTAAGATTTCATTCAATGGCTCCCAACCTTTAATCTCCCTTAACTTACAATTCTTTGAGTTCAGGATCCTTGTTTCTCTCCATCATATTTCCTAAATCTTCATTAACCAAACACATGCTTAACTCATAAGAATTAATCCAAAAGAACACAACTCACCTTTGCTTGCAAGCTTCACGGTTGGAGAAGGAAGAGAAGAAGAGAAAAGTCTGGAATGTTTATGTCAAATGCCCACGCTATTTATAAAATCACCCTAAGGAATATTTAATTATTTCACTTACTAAATTACTCTTTTGCCCTCTTAATTCTCCTTCTTTATAATTCAATCCTACACCAAATAACTCAAATAGGTCATTGAACTCTTCCATCATTTTACTTAAATCACCAAATGTTGAAACTTTGCAAATTAATCACTAACCTGGCATGGAGGATGTTACAAATCTCCCTCACTTAAGAAAATTCGTCCTCGAATTTTCAATAAGAAAAGAGATGGGGATACTGATTCCTCATATCCTCCTCACGCTCTCATGTTGTTTCCTCTACTTTGTGATTCTTCCATAAAACTTTAACTAATGGAATAGTCTTATTCCTCAATTGCTTAACCTCATGAGCTAAAATTTGAATCGGTTCTTCCTCATAAGTCATATCCGGTTATACCTCAATCTCTTCTGGATTTACGATATGGGAGGGATCCGATCGATATCTTCGAAGCATTGAGACATGGAATACATTGTGAATCTTTTCCATTTCTGGTGGTAAAGTCAATTGGTATGCTACGGGTCCCACCCTTTTTATAATCTCATATGGTCTAATAAACCGGGGACTTAACTTTCCTTTCCGACCAAACCTCAACACATTCTTCCATGGAGATACCTTTAAAAACACTTTATCCCCAACTTCAAATTCAATCTCCTTTCTTTTAAGATCAGAATAGGACTTTTGCCGATCAGAGGCCATTTTGAGGTTATGCTGAATTTCTCGAACTTTCTGTTCTACATCTTGAATTAAATCCGGACCAAGAACACTTCGGTCTTTGAGTTCATACCAATTTAATGGAGTACGACATTTTCTTCCATATAATGCTTCATATGGGGCCATCTTTATACTAGACTGATAACTATTGTTGTAAGCGAACTCTGCCAGCGGTAAATACTTTTCCCATGATCCTTTAAATTCCATTACGCATGCTCTCAACATATCTTCCAATATCTGAATAGTTCTCTCTGATTGCCCATCAGTCTGAGGATGAAAAGCCGTACTAAAGTTTAAACGAGTCCCCAACGCTCCATGCAAAGATTTCCAGAATCTAGAAGTGAATCGAGGGTCTCGATCAGAGACTATAGAAACAGGTACTCCATGCAATCTAATAACTTCTCTAATATACAGCTCTGCATACTTTTCCATAGAGAAATCCGTTCTAACCGGAAGGAAATGCGCTGACTTAGTTAATCGATCAATAATTACCCATATTGATTCTCTTTTGTTCGGAGTCACGGGTAACCCCGAAACAAAATCCATCGTAACATTTTCCCATTTCCATTGAGGAATGAAAAGCGGTTACAATAATCCTGATGGAACTTGATGCTCGGCTTTGACTTGTTGACATATCAAACACTTAGACACAAATTCGGTGATGCTTCGTTTCATCCCTGACCACCAAAATCGATCCTTCAAATCCATATAAATCTTGGTTCCACCCGGGTGCATCGTTAACGGACTGCAATGAGCCTCTGATAAAATTTCTTTCTTCAAGTCGTCATTGTCGGGTATTACAATTCTTCCTTTACAATATAGATTTCCATTTGACTTAATCTCAAAGTCTTTAATCTCTTTATTCTTTACTTGTTCAATTCTTTTCAAACACATTTCATCTTTACTTTGCAATTCTCCTATTCGTTCCAACCATGCTGGTTTAAGGGTTAATTCTGCATAAAGACCACCGTCTCCTGATAAAGATAATCTTGCATCCATAGCTCGTAAAGCTGCAAACGTCTTTCTACTCAAAGCATCTGCTACCACATTAGCCTTTCCGGGATGATAGTCAATTATCACATCATAATCCTTTAAGAACTCTACCCATCTACGTTGCCTCAAATTCAATTCTTTTTGAGTCATCAGGTACTTCAGGCTCTTATGATCCGTATATAAGTAACAACGCTCCCCATAAAGATAATGACGCCAAATCCTGAGAGCGAATACTACAACAGCCATTTCTAAATCATGAGTGGGGTAATTCATTTCATGTGGTTTCAACTGTCTCGATGCATACGCTACCACCTTTCCTTCTTGCATTAATACACACCCCAACTCGTTATGGGATGCGTCACTGTATACTACAAAATTCTTGCCAGATTCCGGTTGAACCAATATCGGAGTTTCCGTCAGAATTCTCTTTAAAACTTCGAAACTTTCTTGACATTCAGAAGGCCAAACAAATGGTACATTCTTTCTCATTAGCTTTGTTAGAGGCAGCACAATCATCGAAAAATTCTTAACGAATCTTCGATAGTAACCAGCAAGTCCAAGAAAACTCCGAACTTCAGACACATTCTTAGGAACTTCCCAATCCATTATAGCTTTAACCTTCTGAGGGTCTACTCTAATCCCAACTGTCGAGATCACATGCCCCAAGAAAATTACTTCGTTTAGCCAAAATTCACATTTGGACAATTTAGCATAGAGATTTTTATCCCTGAGAATTTGCAAAACTAGCCTCAGATGTGTGTTGTGCTCTTCAATGAACTTCGAGTAAACCAGTATGTCATCAATAAAGACAACAACAAACTGGTCCAGATAGGGCTAAAAAATCCTGTTCATGAGATCCATGAAAGCAGCAGGTGCATTCGTTACTCCGAATGGCATTACGATGAATTCATAATGACCATATCTCGTTCTGAAAGCCGTCTTCGGAATATCTTTCTCCTGGATCTTCAATTGATAATAACTCGAACGTAGATCGATCTTCGAAAATACCGAAGCTCCTTTTAGTTGATCAAACAAGTCATCAATGCGCGGAGGGGGATACTTGTTCTTGATGGTCACCTTATTAAGCTGTTGATAATCAATACAGAGACGCATTGATCCATCCTTCTTCTTAACAAATAACACCGGAGCTCCCCAAGGTGACACACTTGGTCGAATAAATCCTTTTTCTAACAACTCTTGCAATTGATTCTTTAACTCTTGCAATTCTTTCGGAGCCATCCGATAAGGTGTCATTGCAATAGGAGCGGTTCCTGGCATTACTTCAATTTGAAATTCTACCTCTCTATCCGGAGGTAATCCTGGCAACTCAGCCGGGAAAACTTCATGGAATTCTTGAACAATTGGAATCTCCTTTAGCCCTTTTCTCTATAGCTCTTAAATCTATTACATTTGCAATAAATTCTTGACATCCCTGTAGCAATAGCTTCTTAGCTGACATTACTGACATTACATTTGCTAAGGGATTAAACTTTTCACTGCTCACACTTATCTCTGTTCCTCCTGGACTTTTCAGGGTTACCTTTTTCAATCTGCAATTAACATCTCCATAATAACGGAACAACCAATCCATTCCCAGAATCACTTCAAACTCGTCAAAGGGTAATTCCATCAGATTAGCAGGGAATTCAATTCCCTGAACCTTTATGGGACACCCCTTACAGACTTTATTCACCCGGGCACTATGGCCTAACAGAGTTGTTACTATAATCTCATTACTCGTAGCTTTTAAGGGAATCCTCAACTCCTTTACTAACTTACTTGTAATATAAGAATAATTAGAACCCGGATCAATCAGTACCAATACTAATTTATCATACAACTGAAAAGTACCTGCTATAATATCAGGGTCATCACGGTCTTCACTTGTCTTTAGATTGTACACCCGTGCGGTTGATCGAACTTCAGGTTGAGCAGAGAATTCAGACGGGTTCCTTCCTCTGCCTCTTCCTCGTCCTCTTTGTGAGGAAGAACCAACTCTTCCAGATGGTGCAGACTCACCAACAATCAATGGACAATCCCGGATAAAATGTCCGTCATCTCCGCATCGAAAACAAGTCCTAGCAGCCATCCGACAAGCCCCATAATGGTTTTTCCCACAGTGCTGACACTGTTTCACTTGACTCGGAGTAGATCTCCCAGCACCAGATTCCACTGACTGCGTCTGTCTAGGTCTTGCCTGACTTGCTCCCCTAGCAGACGATGCAACTGATTCTGATCTAGCTTGTGATCGAAATCCCGAGTCTCTTCCCCTTTTTGATGGTACCGAGCTAGAAGAAGCACCCGTTCTCTTTGATGTTTGAACTCTAAAATCCCCGAATCTCTCATTCTGAGCTCTTTCAAGAGCCTTGACGCGATTGATCACCTCTTGGAACGAGGACAAATTCAACACTATCAACATCTCTTTCAATCTAGGGCGTAAGCCCTCCACGAACCATTCGCAAGCATCTTTTTCAGTAGGCACAAGCTCAACTGCAAACCTGCTCAGCTTATTAAACTCACATTCGTACTCATATACAGAGCGACTCATCTGCTTCAAATTCATAAACTTCTGCTTCATTTGTCGAATAAACTGATCTCTAATATACTTGTTTTTAAATTCTTCTAAAAACAAAGACCAAGTCAACTGGTCGGTTGACATCCTCATGGTGACGTTCGTCCACCATATCCTCGCCTGACCCCTCAATAAAGATACAGCTCCATCTAATTTCTCCACTTCGGAACAGTGGAGACCATCTAACATGATTTTCAAATCATTCAACCAAAGATCCGCTGACACTGGACCTTCCTCAACTTCTCCCTTAAATTCGGGAGCTCCTAAACCTCTCAACTCTTTTACTACATTTATACTTTGAGTTAGTGGAGCAGAAGGTTGAAGACGCGTCAGAATAGCGTCTAACGTTCTGAAGAACGTATCTTGATCTTGCACAGGCACTCCTTGAGATGCTTGTTCTTCACCTTGCCTGGCCAGGGCAGGTGAATTACTGCTTTCAGCATGCCTATCTTCTCCCGCTTCACTTCGGGAGCTATTATGTCCGGACATCTAATAAGAATAAACACATTGTTCTATTAGCAAAACAGCATACTCATACTATACCAGATCAGAAGTTCTCACTATTTGTTGGCATGTATTCCATTTAAAGACTCTATAGACTCTGGTTCATGCCTAGAATCGGCTAAACCATAGCTCTGATGCCATTAAATGTAACACCCCCAACCCGTACCCGACCCGGGTATGAGTCAGAGATACTACATTGACTTTTAAAACACAACTCTTAACCAATAATAGCAAAATATTTGAACTTATATTAAGAAAATACGATAATATACATATTGTAATATAAGTTTACCAAAATATTCAGAGCATACACAACTTAACCCTTTAATTACATGCCAACTGCCATTTACATAATAAAATGACCTACTGATTAAGTTGCTTCTGATCTGGTGGTTGCAGGAGTAATGCTGTCAAGCTGCTTCACCTGTCTCGTCTACTTTCTCGGATCCTACGTGTGAAACACTCACACGCTAAGTCATCGACTTAGTGAGGCAATGTAATAATAATAACAAGGCAATGTAATGAAAATGTCATAATGATATGAAATGAGATGAAAGCTTATACTTAATCAAGGTAGTTTACATCACCATTATCCTTACCTGTAAGCATATTACTTTAACATTCATGAATTTGTATTAATGAGTTTATTGGCCCATGATATTATATTGAGAACCTAAGGTATCGGAGTATTGTGAGGTTGTGCACTATGTTGTCACCACAGCTCGTATAAATGCACCGAAGTGCCGCGTAGTATTGCACCGTAGTGCCATATAATAATGTCCATAAGGACCACATAGAATTCCTTAAGAATCATATACATATGCTAGGGATCACATATGTGTCTCACCAGAGTTCACACATGTTCCAAAGAATATATATATATCCCGAAGGACCGCGTAGAATTTTGTCCCGAAGGACCGCGTAGACCCTCTACCCTTGGCATGCCAACTATACCTATAGTTCTCATCTACATAACATGGGCTTTTACATTTCACGTAGTCTATATCGCGTAGACATGTAAATTCTTACCTTTTCACATAGCTCATAACTTTTCCTGCATATTCATGTCATATAATGCATTTTATATGAATTCATGTCATGTCTCATAATACAGAATATGATCATGTACCAAGATATAAAATCTAGACTTATCACAAGTCTAGAATTGAGTATATTTCTATAATTATGCTATGCTTATGCACTCACTTATATTTCTTTGCCTTTTCCTCGATCGATCCTACTTGTAGATTGTTCCAGAACTCGTGTAGGCTCAGTATCTACATAAACATAATTTTCAAGAGGATTATCAGATGTCTATGTCTTGAAATTAATCTTTAATAGCCTACCAATTTAAGGAATTAATAGTTTAGTCTTTCTTTTTTTTAAAAATGGGGGAATCGGTTCCCCCCTGGGGGTATCGATTCCCCTCTAGCATTCTGGAAATTCATATTCGTTGAGGGGGTATCGATTCCCCTAGCCCAGAAATCCTATTTTGAGCTCGAAAATCATCTCATTTCAGCTCAAACATTCATATTTCACTCCCTTTAATACTCTTAACTTTCATACACTTACTTAAACTAATTATTATCCATTCAATACCTCTAAAACTAAAAAAACTAATCATCCATATAGAATTTAAGAATCTTACTCAAATTCCAACTTGTTCTAATTTTAATTCTATCACCTCATACTTCTTAATTAGCTTGATGACAAGTCAAATCCAGCTTCTAATTCTTATTATGACCTTCAATCTAAGATTTCATTCAATGGCTCCCAACCTTTAATCTCCCTTAACTTACAATTCTTTGAGTTCTAGGATCCTTGTTTCTCTCCATCATATTTCCTAAATCTTCATTAACCAAACCCATGCTTAACTCATAAGAATTAATCCAAAAGAACACAACTCACCTTTGCTTGCAAGCTTCACGGTTGGAGAAGGAAGAGAAGAAGAGAAAAGTCTGGAATGTTTATCTCAAATGCCCACGTGATTTATAAAATCACCCTAAGGAATATTTAATTATTTCACTTACTAAATTACTCTTTTGCCCTCTTAATTCTCCTTCTTTATAATTCAATCCTACACCAAATAACTCAAATAGGTCATTGAACTCTTCCATCATTTTACTTAAATCAATAAATGTTGAAACTTTGCAAATTAATCACTAACCCGGCATGGAGGATGTTACACTTAAGCAACAACCGTCGGATGCGGTCAGGAGGGTAGAGGCGATTACAGTCGACGGTGCCAGAAGGAGATGACGACCAAGGAGGAAGTGGGTAGACTGCTTGAGATCTGATTTGAAGGATTTAGCCCTTACCGAGGACATGGTCTCTGATAGGAAATTATGGAGACTTAAGACCAGGGTAGTCGAGTAGTGTGGGTCACAGCCATAGTGTGTAGCATCTTTGTCTTCTTTTTAATGCCTTTGTAGTAATTTCCATTACTTCTACTTTTTATACGTTTCTGTCATTGGGTTATATGAAGGCTTAGAACTAGGGTAGCGGAGTAGTGTTGCCTTAGTTTAGGTTTTAACCCATTTGACTTTATTCCTTCTCGTAGCTTGCTATCGATGACTTCTGTGTATCATTCTCTTCATGTTTCCTCCTTCTAAATTTAACCGGGTCTTACGTTTCTGTCTATATGCAGAGATTTTTACGCAGGGATTTATTTGCAGGGATTACTTCCCATTACAGAAGCGCATATGAAGACTGCATATGAAGACTGTTCAACTATGTATGTATTTATTTATTTATTTATACATGCATTGTATTTTATCTTTATTTTTAATTTTCTGACTGCCGGAGGTCTTCCGCGGAAGCTGCTCTCAACCTGCCGTTGGGGGCAGCCTACTACCATACCTCCCCCTTACCCCCATTGCATATGGGAATAGGGTTTTGTTGTTGTTGTTGTTGTTTTTCTATTACGAGTAAAATATTAAGTCTATAACAAGATCTCAAACTGTTAACAAATGTTTGTACAAGTGATTAGAATTTAAATTTCAAGGGATTGAATCTAGAAATTTGAACTTATAAGGTCAAGTTCGAATCTTACCATCGTCAAGCAATATGTAAATTTCTATGAAAATCTCAATTGAATCTTAAGTATAAACGGAGAGATTTATAAAAAAAATTATTCTGTAATAAACACCAACTCATTTGATCTGGATTAATCAATCTGGATTAATCGATCAATGAATCAAATAATAATTAAAAAAATGGTATAAGAATAATTCAAGATGCAGATTAATGTTTGAATCTCATATCCAATGGAGGCATAAAGGAGTTTTTTAGTCAATCAACTATCATTCATATTATTTAAATGTAAACAGACTGAGTTTTACATTCATATCATTTAGATGCCAATAAATCGAGCTTTAATAATACACGTTACTATGTAATGTAGTGGGAAATATTATTTAGTTTTATAAAAAAGTTGAAATTGTTCATGATTGAATTTCCTCTGGTTAGAGTTGCATTGTTGATAAACAATATAAGGAAGGTACCTGAAATAAAAACATAATCAATTTAGTATAAACTTCGAATTAAACTAATCAGATTGTGTTGAAATAAAATAGTGCATACATTAGGTATTATCTGTGTACACCTTCCCTATGGACCTTTAGGCAACTATAGTGCCATTTGATATTCAATGCGGGTGACAAAATGGTGAAAAATCATAATATATATACACGGAACACAATCCGTAAAATTAATAAGTTTTACATTAATTTATAGCTATTAAATTTAAATAAATAAATGACTTAGATTTAATTAAAATTTATTACTCATAAATAAACATCTTTTAAGTCACAGTAAAATAGTATCTTCTTTTACCTTAAATCTAAAACCCCCAAATTATAAACCCTAAATACCACTCTCAAAACCCATAATTCTAAACCTCAAACTCAAATCCTAAACCCTACATCCTAAATCATATACCCTAAACACTAAACTTTAAACATTAATTCTAAATCTCAAACTCTAATTCCTAAACTCTAACTCTAATAAAAAAGTATATTATTTTATTGTGAATTTAAATATATTTATTTATGACTATAAATTTTAATTAAATCTAAATTATTTATTTATTTAAATGTAATGGCTATAAATTATTGTAAAACTTAATAGACCTTAACCCTATATATATATATATATATATATATATATATATATATATATATATATATATATATATATATATATATATATATATATTCCAGAAAGCATGGAGGACAAAGGCACGTTATAGGTGGAAGGGTTTATGAATCCAACTTTAATGATTTTATACCATTTTAAGTCATTGGTAGTTTTATAACTATTCCAATTAAATTTTAATCTCTCCAAAAATTTTGATTTAATTATTCTAGGACCATCTACTTTAAAAATTAATCAAAATAAGTCTTGATCCAAAATGTTATACCTTAATAACTTTTTATGGCCTTTCAAATTTAAAATTAGTAGAATTAAGTCCTAACTTCCTTAATTTTTAGAATTTACTTATTTTTTAGGATCATTTTCGTTTTAAAATTAAATAAATCTTTTTATAGTTCAATATTGACTCCGTCCCATAAAAAAGTGGCCAAAATGGATAGTATTTGATTTGTGTGTTGTTTTATATTAATATATTGGCGTTCAGTTTTTTTTTATTAATTTGTGATAAGTACAAGGTAGTATCTATTCAAAAATCTCAACCATTTGACAATTAACACTTACACCCCTTACATTCTTGGTACACGAACACGAGACCTCAAGAAATAACAATTCCTTTATCATTGAGGTCACTCGGTTCATGCTATATTGGCGTTAAGTTATCTATGTAGGATGAGTATATTTTGATATGAGAAGCAAATCGTATAGGATTTTACCAGGTAGGAATGAAGGATGAAGGCTAATATCATCGGCATTACTTCATAACTTAGCTATTTGATGTTCAAAGCTTGGATCCACACAAACGACAACCTATGGCATTTGATCGTAACATAAACACATTAGAGGCCTTAATTGACTTGCTTGAATGCTCTCATTTTTCAAAAGTTTACGCTCACCTTGCCGGTACTTTTACCCGAATGCAAATGCTCAACAGCATCTGCAACCGAATCCAAACCCGAAAATCTTTTTGGGTCTATTACAACCTGTTGGAATCGAATTACAGCATGTTAGGAAAATGAGAGAACTAAAGCTCCATATAGCATTGTTGCAGGTCAAAAGTTGTGTTTCACCGCACTAAGTGTTCGAGATATATGAATTACCTTAAGCTTTCCTGAAGAGTAAAGATGAAAGAGCCTAATAAGGTGTTCTTTCCAGAAATGGCTATACTGTACCAGGACAAAGCCAGCCTGAAAACAAAGGCCATTTTAAGTACAATCAGACCACAATATTCCGATTCCCAAATGCAGAGTGCAAAGAAGACAACAAAAACATATATGGTAAGAACCAAAACTACGGAATTCATGATCAATGGAAAACAAAGAAAGAAATTCGATTGACAATTCCCATAAATATGTTTGTAATGGGTTATAATAAGTTGGGAACGAACATCTGGTATGGATACTTTAAGAATGAAAAGTCACTACAACAAATTTTACCGACAACATACCACAGCTTGACTTTTGGCCAAAAGCTTCTCAACTAGTCCAGGGTAATTTAATGGAATCCATCCTTGCTTCCCTTGATACTGTAAATAAGAAGCACAACATCAGAAGCTATAACAGTTGCGAATTTGAAGAATGAGCAGCTAATTTAGGTTAATTAACAACTCACTTGCAACAATCTCATGTAAGATTGGGGACATAAATTTTGGTCATTCTCTAACAACCTATGTCACGCTAATCAGAAAAAATAAGAACAAGTAAAACAAACAAGATCGCATACAAGAACACTAACTTATCTCTTTCACCAAATATGTGACAGCGTAAACTTTTTTAGCCAAAACAAAATGAAATTCGAGTCACAAACTCTAACAACCCACAACTACCTATGTTACTTGTATAGTGCCAGATACGGGAACATATTCACTATGGGTATGTTTAAAAATTTTCATTTCTCTATACTTATGTCTATATATGAATGTTAAACACATATTTTTCTTCAAAAAGAATGAAGAGTTGATCAGTATCAACAACTACAGCAAAAGCATCGAGAAGCATACCGCAAATAGACAATGCTTCAAATACAAAAAAACTTGATCTTTTTCTTTAACAAATTTCTAATCCTAAAAATGACCCAAAAGAATCAAATCTGAGCTAAAAGAACATAAGATCAAACTCAATACAATCGTTAACAACTTAAAGTTATGGTAAACAAAACCAACCTGAGAGATCATTCCTATCGCAATGAGTCGTCCACGGATAGCCAAAGCATTAAGGCACAAGTCAAACATGTTCCCACCAACACATTCGTACACAATGTCGACTCCTTTTGGAAACTCCTTGAGAGCCTAGAAGACGACAAAGTCAGATGTTCCTTCCATGAAACCGACCAAATGCAGACATTAATCATCACATGGCAGCATTACAAAGCCTTTTAATCCAATGTCAATCAAGATCTTAGTTGTTCTAACTGTGGTGAGATCAATAACATGTATGATGATAGAATCATGGCAACTGAGATCTTTATTCATGGAAGAGGGTGTTGAGAGATTAATTTCAGATGTTAGGCTATTGATTATCATTAAGAGGATATATGTTGGAAAACCAGCCAAGTAGACTAAATTGACTACAATACTCTTAATTCAAAGTTCAAATTTCTGTTACCCAAATTTGGTCGTGAGTGTCAAATATATGTACGTGTCTACGATAAAAAATAAGAATTTCTATACATACAGTTTTGACATCTTCAGTTTTATAGTCTATGACTCGATCGACCCCCAATTCTTTCAAAAGCATTGCCTTTTCATTTCCTCCACAAGTCGCAACAACTTGATTTCCCGCCAGTTTTGCAAGCTGCAAATGTCATTTCTGATTAAAACATGGGGATAAAAGTATACAAAAAGATAAATTTAAGGGGCAAAATCTTGTTGAAGCAATGGAATAAATACATACAATCATGAAATAACATTAAATATATCTTTGAAGACGTAAAATATGATATGATGGTCATATAAAATATACTTCGACGATGTTTTAGAAAATAAATGAAATAGCATAATTCAATATGTATAAAACTAAGACAAGCACGGACTAAACTTATTACTTGGAGTCCAGATAAAAATCGGACATGAGTATGATGTATCTATCATGATTCATGAGTGGGTTCTATCTTTGATACAAAAGCTTTGATACGCTATATATATAATAATGTAATGTAGGTATTACAAATTATCAATTCAATTTAACACAAACCTGGACTGCAAATTGCCCAGTCCCTCCAGCAGCAGCAGTTACAAGGACAACCTTTCCGGATTTCATCTGACCAACCTATAAGATGAAAAAGAAGAGATCGAAAATGATTAAAAAAGAATATGGCCACAAAAAGTCAGTGAGTGACAAGGTTCGAGAGCTATGTTATCTGGATTTGGGTGTGTTTCATATCTTTTTCAAGTTTTTCCATAGATTGATTTTTGTAGAATCAAGTCCGGTTCCTAGGATATGAATTTGGAACCACAATAAAAAGGTACCTCTTCCAAAGCAATTGATGCTGTTAATCCTGAAGTAAGCAAAGTAACAACTTCTGGAACAGGTCTTGGAATGGGAAGTATGTGGTTTGAAGGAACCTATATTTAGTTTCAACATCGGATAGTTATTTAAATATTGGAAAAAATTGGACTAGATGAGGAAACAAGATATGTATAAACATAAAAAAATAGAATTGACTTTATACCTTCATGAATTCAGCATAACATCCAAAACCCATGATTGCAGCAGGAGTTCCAACTTTCAGATTTCTTACAGAATCTCCGATAGCGGCAATTATTCCCACTGCCTGTAACAGCAAAATTTAACCATAGCCAGAAGATATCATCTTAATTCAACTATATAATATTACCACATTTTCACTGGGGATGGCTACAGAGAGTGAGTTCAGATAGTTGCTAATACTGGTCCACTTTCTCAAATTCAAATATTATAACTATAATCTGTATGAATTTGGAATGGATGCAGATACTCGTAATGTTATTTATGTTACCAAAAATGTAAACATCCAGTGTCATCCTTAATTTCTGTACTTAGTTAATATTTTCTTTCTATACCTCAAATCCAGCATCAAATGGAAGAAGGGAGCCGAGGTCTTTCTTGTTTCCTTTAAAATACCGACCTGCGCTATAGTTCACCTGTGTGTAACATGTTATTCAAGAATACACACATAAGTACATTGTATATAATTTATACATCATCGAGAGCATAATTTTTCTATAATTATACAAGATTCTTACACTTGCAAATTGCTATAACAGGATATCAAAAGTTCAGTGCAGGGAAAATTTTAATTAAAGAAAATGGAAAATCAAATGCATCATACATGAAAAGTATAATAAAAAACTTACATCACCAGCGTTTACACCGGCATAAATGACTTTCAGAAGAACTTGGTCTGATTCAAGAAGGAGTTTCAATGGCGCACGTATTACATAGGTTGCATCACGAAAATGGTGACTCAAGGTATGCACAACACTGACGAAGAGCAGGAAGGCACTGGTCAGTAGCTTTATTAAACCAATCACATTCTATCTTTGATGACGGTTATTAACTATCTTAATCAGCTTTCGTACTTGGATTCAATGTGAGTATTGATATGGATACATGTGGATACAGAGTTTTATTAATATATTTTTTTCATATAACTTGAGTATCGTACCAATGTAACGGATACTTAAACTAACCAAGTTACAAAGTATGTCTACTACATAAAAACTTATAGATTCTTACCTGTTATCCTAAAATTGTAGTTTTCTGCAATCATGCAAGAACTCAATCTATGTTTATGATGGCGACTTCAAAATACTTTTTACCCACAAAAACTCCTCAAATAACTGTATTCGAAATACTAAAAGATGAAGCAATTTACTTACAGTTTCTTAAAATTCTGAGGAAGTTGGGAAGTTAAAGGAGCTTGGAACGAGATTTTGTTGTTCCGGGAACTTGAGGAGTAACGAACAGAGTATTTTGCTTCTTCAGTAAGAGAGGGCCAATACTGCAATCCTCTGCGGTTTGTAATCCATAGGCAAGAACCAGCTCTGCTTTCATCCGCGATCAGCTCGAAAGCACCTATAAATATACACAAGTGCATAGAAAAGTGACCAGCAGTGATTTGATGCAAAAATTAATAAATAATATTTAAATTAGTAACTAATTATAATTTATATAAATAAATTTGCAAAAATTTATGCAACAGCTTGAATTTGCAAAAAAAAATGTTTGCCTAGCACTGGTTCAGTTGAACTTGCTGAAGGTAACTGTGTGGATGTAAAAATAGAACTAGCTTGCTCTCGTCCTAGATGTTTACGTTTTTGCTTGTTTGGGCATATTGAATCTCAGTGTGGAAAAAAGATGTAGCAATGGGTTGCTAAAGAAGAAAGTGGGTGTGCGGGAAGAGTTGAAATTACTGAATACTGATCATCCATTCTCTGGATTTCATTTCACTTGGAGGTCAGAGGCTCCTTTTTATCTAGGAAGTTTTACAGGGTTTTGCTGAATTATTCTTGGTTTCAGAGTTTTCCTGATTCTTTGAATTTTTGCCTCCCGACTGTTCTGATCATTGTCCTAGCTACATTGTTTTAAAAGTTCCTCTATTTAGACCACCCGTTCATTCAAGTTTTTCAATTTTTGGATGAAGCATCCTGAGTTTTTTTTTAAGTTTGAAAAAAAAAACCTTGAAGAGAGAAGATTGCTGCTGGTTAACTTTATGTCTCGATTAGTGCTGAAGAATCATTTTTGAAGGAAAAGACTAGGATCCAATGGATAAAAGAGGGTGATCAAAATTCTTTTTTGGACAAGTTACTGCCTAGGCAAAGAGCTAATACTGTTCAGATGCTTAAAGATAACAAAGGGCATAAATTGGAGACTTATGAGTCTATTCAGCTGAGCTGGTGCATTTCTTTTCCTCTACACTAGGGGCTGTTGATTCGAATGTTTAGACTAAGCCTGAAAGCTCGTTTCACTATGTTATTATAATTAAATTTAAATATTTATTATAAGCTATGTTCTTTGAAATCAACCCTTTAATATATTTACTTTGAGATAATCAAGTCAATAACAAAATCCAAATATATTATATACCTTTCACCACCATTTCCATTGGAGCATAGCCTCCCATTAGAGAAATAAGTTTGGAATCCACCTTTTCTCCCATCTCTGTTCGAACAAACTACATTCAAGTTCAAAGTCAAATTTTATATAAGAAAAACAGTTTTCAGAAAGCTAATGCTAATTACGAACATCCAAGATTCTTCAAATCAACTAGAGATTTTACCTCAGGGCAAAGAACATTGACACGTATCCCTTGACGTTTGTAAGGAGTTAGTGATCTAGTAAACAGGACAGCACCTCCTGGAAAACAAATATTTTAAGCAAATCATCAAATTACATAAATGCGTTACTTGCAAGAATTATACATATAGATCCCTTTTGCTTAGATGTTTAAAAGAGCAACTCATTCTTAATATATCCACTTTCCCTTTTCTTGCAGTAATCTCAGCAAATAATATGAAAATATATGAATAGATGATGAACTCAAAAGTTCAGTTGGGTTGGCTTACAAAGCTATTTTTATGAACCGACATCTAACTAGTTTGGATTCAAATCCCATTATATCTAGTTTTTCTTTTATCTTCAAACTGAAATATTTTTTCCTAGAAAAATGGTTACAACTAATGATCTAAATAAGACACTATATTTGCAAATAATATGCGTTCGACTTTAAAGATAAATTCAACATATGGAGTCAAGCTCAAGCTATCGAATAAGACAAATTCCATTAACTTGCAAGTATAATCTATCATTTTTTATGTAAATAACATTTAAAAATCTTAATTCAAACTTAAGCTTAACACAAATCTTACAAGGTAAATGATCATTCCTAATCATACGGCAGTTAGAACTGATTGAAAGAAAGAATTTTTTAGTGGACATCAATGAATACAGTGTGACAGGCCAAAAAAAATGCAAACCTTTTGAGCCGGAGTAAATGGGGTCCATATACATTGGGTAAAGACAGAAGAGGATCCCATATTAATTATCACCCCTGGCTTTGCAGAGCTTGCATCGTTATCATTCCTAATCATACGGCAGTTAGAACTGATTGAAAGAAAGAATTTTTTAGTGGACATCAATGAATACAGTGTGACAGGCCAAAAAAAATGCAAACCTTTTGAGCCGGAGTAAATGGGGTCCATATACATTGGGTAAAGACCAGAAGAGGATCCCATATTAATTATCACCCCTGGCTTTTGCAGAGCTTGCATCGTTTTAATCTGTTAATTAAGTTCACAAACAGTCGGTCATTGCTGCAAATTAAGACCGACTCATCAAAACAAAATTGCAGAAAAAAATAGTCTAAGTGGAAGCATTACTGCAAGGCGAGTACAATCAATAACTGCAACGAGGTTGACATTAATGGTGCGCCTCCACGTCTTAGTCCCATCAGTTTGATCCTCCGTAAATAGTACTGGGCTACCGACGCCGGCGTTGTTGATACAAATATCCAATCCTCCATATGTCGCCACATGCTTCTCAAATGCTGAAGTTATTTCTCCTACTTGCGAAAACCGAAATCAAATAAGTACATATTCAAATACTTGTTAAATCTAAACATGACAAAAAAAATATCAACTCGAAATTACCTGGATTAGTAACGTCGCATTTGACAAAAATTGAAGAAGGAAACTGCAAGTTTTCATGGAATCTGGAATTCTCTTTCTCAACTAAAGATGCAACTTCCTTCCCTTTTTCTTCAGAGAAATCCACAACTGTCACAAATATCCCTTTCCCCGCCAAAGCTAAGCTCAAAGCTTTACCTGCAACAGAAAATTCAATATCAAATAAAAAAATCAATAGCCAAGCTTCCGGACTTCGAAAGTTACTTTCCAAAAAACAAATCAATAACAACTGATCAAATTACTTCATCCGATGTGCTTTACAATCAATCGCATAGAATCAGTTCATCGATTCTTTGATAGTACTGAAAAAGGAAGTGAAGTTAACGAAAATTTTACCGATCCCAGTAGCTCCACCAGTGATCAAAGCAGATAAGCCAGGTTTAAGCTCCATTTTCGTTCTCTATGTTTATAGTGAATCACCGTTGTTGCAGACGTCGTTTGTTAAAAAAGCAAAGATGGAACCCGTGTGTTGACTACCGCTTGGATTTTACACAGTAATACACCAACTATTTATAATAAATATATTATTTTTTTAATTTGGAAATTTTTTCCCATCCATGGACGACTTTGAAAGTTTCATTTTCCTTCTTTTCTTCTTCGTTTACTAGAATCAAAAGGTCGTTCGTCGTCGTTTCTGGTTTGGAGAGAAGTTGGGCGGCCGATTGCATCACGCCCGCCAATTCTTTTTTTGACGAATTTCTTGAAATGTTATACTACAAAATAGGCTAAAGTACACAAATATAATTCCGATTGATAAGGGGACAAGTTTCTAGATTATAAAAATTATAAAATGATACTTAATTACGGAATTTTTTTTTAATCTTTAAACTATTAAAAGTTATAAAATAATAATTTGAATATTTATTATATTTTAAACGGGTATTTTTTGTTAAAAATTAATGGTATTTTGAATTGAATGTTAACATGTTTAATTGTGATATAATAAAATATGATTTTAAAATCTCAAACGACTATCATCTCTTAATTATTATATTAACGTATAACTTAGACAGTTAATTTTTAACAACAAAAAAATGGATGAGCCTGGACATATATGTTAATATTTTATTTATGATATTTCATTTGTTATTATCTTTTATCATATATAGTTATGCCCATCGTACAAACAATACAAACTTTGATCATATGGAAAGTACATGTCATCTTAGGTTTAGTATTAAGCATATTTTACCAATTTTATATTTATTTTAAATATTTTTTAATAAATTATAAATATAATCATAATCTTAGTTATAGCATAGGAAAATAAAAAAGAGTAATATTAATTCTAATCACTTTATTACAATCGTTGATGTTCGAACTCATAATTTATAGGAACAACAATGATCTCTTTAACCTTTAACCATTAAGGTAAGTTAATTTGCACAATATTTAAATATATTCTATATCATATTTGAAGAGTTATTTAAAATTTAAATTCACTTGACTTACGAGTAGTTATACAAATACAAGTACTAGAGTTAGTAGATCAAGCATGGAAAGTACGAAACAGTAATCTTTGAAATTAATTATGTTCCATTGAATTTGAATGAGTTGGTTGGTAAGAAATTAAAGCTGTCCAAAAAATAATTATATTATTAATTTTATTAATTTATGGTAAATATAATATAATATTTGTTTAAAAATAAATTTTTAATCTTTCGATATTAAACATTTATATCCCTTACATATATAATACTCAAACCCATATTCTAAAAAAATAACAACAATAATTTTAAAAAAATACTCTTTAATTTTTTAAATAAATATATTAACTATATAAATATTTAATACTCGTAATCAAATAAAAATATAGATATAATAACTCCAAACATCTTCACGATCCACTAATTCAAATAAAAAATACATATTTGACAAGTGTACTGTTAAAAGTTATTAGCCTACTTTGAAATTTCTTGAGGTAGACTGTTGACTTCTTTTAATTTTTTTTTAATAAAAATCAATAATTTACTTTGAACCGTGCATTTTTAATTGGGTTTATTACATGATTGATCATTTATGTTTGTGTTTTATTTAATGTTTCTCATTGATTTCAAAAAATATATAATATATGATCATTTTCATTTTTATTTAATTATGATGTGGTCACCACGAGTTAACTACCATGAAATTTTTTGATATAATCACGTATTTGGTCACTATTATTTACATATTCTCTTAACTTAGTATTAATTTTAATAAATTAAAAAAATGTAATCTTCCAATCGAATGATATCACGTGTCACTCGATTGGTAGAAAACAAAGCAAAGCAAATTAAGGAATTTAAACCTAGGTTACTTGAAAAATAAAGCATGTACCCAACCAATCGAGCCAAGACCAATGCTAGGTTCAAAATAAACCTAAATCCTCCAACCAAATGGTGACATGCGATATCATTCAATTGGAGAATTAAATTTATTTTAATTCATTAAATGTATAATTAAATTGAAAAAATATGTAAATAACAAGAACCAAATGTGTTATACCAAAATTATCACGTCATCTAATATGTTAACTGTTAACGACAGTTAATCAGTGGTGATCACATCTTAATTAAATAAAAACGAAAGTGACTATATCTTAATTAAATAAAACGAAAGTGATCATATAATATGTTTTTTGAAATTAGTGAAAAAATGAACAAAACACAAACATAAATAATTAATCCTTTAAATTTAATTTCTGTATTAAATAGCTCACAACAGTTTGAATAATTTGTTCATCTCATTAATTAAATCATCAGCTTAATTAATTCAATAACTCGATTGATTTGATTTTAACATCAGGGACGTATCGAGAAATGTAACAACCCGATTTTCAAAATAATATTTAATTAAAATTGGAGGGTTTAATTGTGAAAATTTGGCAAAAATTTGGGACTGAATTGAAAGATTTTAAAACTTGGAGCTTGTTTTAAAGTTAAAGAAAATTCAGGGACCAAGCCCTGAATTTAACCATGAAATGTCGGCAGACAATTGTTATATGCGTTATTTCTGTTTTGAAAAACAGAAATCAATTTCACAAATCCTTCCTCACGCACACAACTTCCAAACTCGATTCCGACGCCGTCCGAATTCCGATCGTTGTTTTGAAACCACCGTTGTGTTCATCATCGAGCGAGGAGCAAACCCTTCAAATTAATTGAAGCGAAACGCGGCCAAAACGTCGGGAATTTCTAGTCAAAGTAGCGACGGTTTTGTTAGCTCTATCGCCGAGAAAATCTTAAATTCACCGTTGATCGTTGCTCCGTTTACGACACCTCCCGCACCATCGTGTTCATTGTGCCGTTCCGAGTTCACCGGTGTCAACCTTGTCCACCGTAGACGGCGGCGCGTGAGGAGGTGGTGCAGTCAAAGATTCGGCCGATTTGAAATCGAGCTCTCCGCCGTTCAAAAATTTGAACCGATCGTTGTAAGTATCTTGAAATCGCTCAAAATAATTTTTAAAAATTTTTCCGGGATTTTTAGGGCCCCGGAGGACGCCTCACGCGCCACACGCGCCGCCGCAGGGCGAGTGGCTGCTGGAAACCGGTTTAACCGGTTTTCAACCTGTTCTGACCGGTTTGACCGGTTTCAACCGGTTCGAACCGGTTTGACCGGTCTGAACTGGTTTAACCGGTCTGAACCGGGTTGACCGGTATGACCCGACCCGACCGTTGACCCGACCCGACCCGACCGTTGACCGGTGACCGGTGACTTTCTTTGACCAAAACTTAAAATGGCTTTGACCGAGCATTAAACGACCGTTAATCTTTTCCGAGTATACCTATCCTGATAGTTTTCGACGTTCCGAATCCGTTTCCGTGGTCTGTTTTGTCAAATTCGAATCCGAAGGTCTCCAAATCTACGGTCAAAGTGGTTGACTTTGACTTTGACCAAGAATTTGAATTTTTCAAAAAGTCATACTTTATGTTTTTCGACGCCTTGATTCCGATTCCGCAATCCGTTTGGCCAAATTCAGACTCGAAATACCTCAAATTGATAGTCAAACCCAAAAAATGCGTATATACTTAAGAAGTTTAGCTTTGAACAATTAAATAGGATTTGAGACTGATAAATATTATTGTTTGAAGGTACAAGAGACTCTCCGGATCGTTCGACAGCTCGACCCAGCTCTTGTAGATCAGTTAAACCACGTGTGCCAGTATTCACCCGTTCGAAAACTGTAGCAGAGCGTGGTGAAACCAACAATCAGTAGATTTGTTATTTGAATCTATTGTCGAGGTGTGTTCCCTACTTATTATTGAACTGTTTTATTGGTTTTAATATGTGGTACACCGAATTCATTGGTTATTGTTTTATGGATGCACCAATTTAATGTGACAATTTATGGAATATGGCTGCTATCTAATTTTTGTTTTGAAATGGTATATGATTACCATGTTTTTGGATTTATGGAATTTATGTCACGTGCAATTGAATTTTGGAATTGAATTACGATGGAAGCTCTGATCAAGCTAACTGGGCCTAATGTGACTCTTGAGGGCCCCAAGATGTTTCATTAGGTCGGCTTTCCTTTGTTGTGTGCTTAGGGTAAGCTATATGGACTTATTGACTTGGGCTTAAAGATACAAACTTCAGAGCCTATCCTTAAGTCGGCTTTCTTTTTGCTATGTGCATAAAGTAAGCTATATAGAAAATAATTTTGGCAACTACTGATGGTGTACCAGAAAAAGGTTTAAACTATGATTTTCAAAAAGTTAAACTCTTTTACGAATTTGTGAGATTACTGGACTATGATTTGTACCTATTGTGATTTTATGGAAATGTTGGGACACACTGAGCCTAGCTCACCTTTTGAAAATATTTTCCCCCCTTTCAGATACTGTTGGTTAGATACCTTGGTTCGAGCACTTGGAGGATCAACATATCTCTTGAAGTAAATCAGATTGTAATGTTTTGATCTGGCAAGTTGACTTTATTTTGGTGACATGGACCTTATTTTAAAAATATCGGATTTTATAATGATAACTCTTTTGCTAATACTGTTCGGTTTATTGTGATTTTGAATTTGAAGACATATTTTAAATTAAATTATTATTTATTTGTACTATATTTACGAGTTGGATTTTGATAGTATAATTTGTTTATAATTTCATGTTATTTATAATGTGATTTTATATTGATGGAATAACGGTTGCGAAAAATGTCTTTAATAATCATAATGTGATCCACTAGACTTAGTCGAAACGCATAGACCGGGTCTAGGGGGTTACAAGAAAAATGGAAGGAGATGATCGCCTCCCTATACCTTTAGTTAAAAATCTATTTTTATCTTAAAATTTTATAAATTCATCTTTACTTAAAAATTTATTCGTTCGTTCTCTTTCATAGAAAAATATATTTTTGACGATGATAATAGATGCTCTACTAAAATAAACGCCGGATCTGAATTATTTATATTATAGATCACGTGTTTACCGTCTTATTTTAATTATGCTTCATATTAAATTTGTATTGGCAATAGTTTGCGGAGTGAAGCACATCATTTTGAAGTTCAGTACTAATTTAAAAATCGGAAATAGTTTGGGGACATTTGGTAAAATTAACTCCCTTTTTTTAATTATGAAATTTTCCAGATTAAACGCGCCGTATTGGTTCTATAAGGTAAGCCAAAACCCTAGCTTCCACATTCAAGCTACTAATTGTTAGTTTTCACAGAGCAGAGATGAGGGTCTTTCAAGTCAATGGCAACACGCTCTCGCTTGCCCTCTTCACCGACGCCACCAATTCCAAGTAACTTATCCTTTTCCATTCCTTATCTCGAAGCTGAAACTCTTTATTTAATGGTTTATTGTAAGATTTATGCTCTAGTTCCGAATTCTTGTTATTTTCATATCGTTTTTAGATGTTGGAAAATTCTCAGGTTTCGTTGATAATCGAATGCAATCATGAATTCTTAGGCTTATTCCAGCTAATTTCAGATTTTGGCTTTTAATTCCATATCTCCATTAGCCTGTTTAGAGCATTTGGGGAAAAAAATTCACGCTCCTTGAAGTTCTTCATGGTGGGATTTCTTAGAACATACGGAATTTTATTATATGCTGACATTGGGTAATTGATAATGGTGTAGTTGAGTTGAACGGGGCTAAAACTGTAGAAATTTTGAAATTTGAGGCAGGCTCAAGCTTGATCAAGTTTCATTTTGAAATCTTTAGTTTGATTCTCGTTCTCAGTTTGAGCTCAATTACATATGCTTAAGTTTGAGTTTGAATGCAAATTTGAAACAATAAAAGCTCGATTTGCTCACAAATTACTCGAGTCAAGTATATTCAAATTCAGTTAGCTCGACAATGATAGAGTTGAAGTTTTTTTCTTGTCAAACACGAATAACTTGCGACTATATGTCTTGTTTTCACCCCTAAATTAATTTTGCCCAGTTTGATACAAAATGCCTCCAAGAGAAAGGAGAATGTTCTTTGAAAGACTGTTTATTTTCCGAGTTCCTTTACCTTGTTTGTGATCTTGCAGGGAACTCCTGGACTCTATGCAAGCTGGGACACTTGATCCTGAAGTAGCATTTCTTAATGCATCACTTGTATGATTCCTGAGTTTACATTTTTGGTAAAGTTAAAAATAATTTTTTCATACAGTTTCTCTGATCTCATGTGTATGGATGATCGATACAGATTCCAGATGTTTTTCCTGTTCTAGCTGCTGCACATAAGACGCTTATTTCCAAGTCGCGCGAGTCATTGACTACACGAACTCTCCATTCCGAGCTTGTTTACAATTACTCAGGATCTAAGCATGTAATATTCCTGAACCATTTATGACAGTAGTTCATTGCCCATGTTTTGATTATTTTGAGATTTAAGTTAACAACTGAAAAAACGATGGTTATTTCCAGATCACCGAGTCCTTGAAAAGATGTGGTATTTCTGAAAATTCAAGTTATGTCCTTGCAGCTCGATTTAACGCTTCTCCTGATGAGGTGATACTATCATCATATGGATGTTTTGCGTTGAGCTATTCTATGTTTTTCTTTTTATTGTATCCCACCGATTCCATGTTAATTTGTTTAGAATTCTCATAGATGAAAGCCGTGGAGAAGCTTATTGATGGAAAAGAGATCAATCTAGGCGAGTTGGAAGGAAGAGCAGACCAAGCTCAGATACAAAAGGTTTGTGATATCGATCTCTATATTTTATTGCTCCTGTCACCTTTATCCATCTGATGATCGATTTATCGTTTTTGGGTATACTTCAGCACTACAAAATTTCCGGCCCGGAGCTAGGCATATCCACTCTTGCAGATGCCATAACATGCCGAATCGCTGCTCGAGATGCTTTATGAGAGTGGTCAGTTGTTGTCTCTTTGCTGTTTTTCTCATTTCGTATATGCATCCTTCCATCGTTTTAGAGTTCTGTGATTACAATGTAGATTCAAGCGCCATTGCTTGGAAATTGTGGTTAGTTCAATGTATTCAAAAATTCAAACTTAAGACTTACGTGACTCCGATTTCAGTTTCTTTCAAGTATCTGCATATGATCTTCATGTTCGATACATATTTGGATATGAGTATGGTGCAACAGATACGTCTTCGTATTTGGTAATTGGATATGATTATAATCAGAGTCGAGCCAGATTGGATATGATTTTATGTTTCTTTTCTTCGTATAAAAAACAGTTGCAATCTGTTAAGAGGGGAATCCAAAGCTTCATATTATGGGGTTTCTCTAAACGCGATCCAAACGCGTACTATTAACGGTTAATTTTTTAATGATTTGCGTTTTAGAACGCGACGCGTTAACGAAGGCGTGCCTACCTAAGCACGCTAACCGATAATATCCGGTAACCTACCTTTTCGAAAGCAAGGTGTCATTAGTTAATTAAGGTAAAAGTAGATTAGAGGTCTTTGTATTAAAAAAAATTAAAAAAATAATTTTATATTTTTTAATACGACCCTTTAACTTAAGGAATAAGTTTAATATGACCTTTTGATTAATGCTTTTTTTATCGTTGATCGTTATGGTATTGGTATTGATATGACGGTCTATAATATTGACATAATAGTTCATGGTGATTGATAACATGACGGATAACATAGTGAATTGGTTAAATTGATAATTCAAACATAACATATAGATTGACATATTAATAGTGTGGATCGTCATATTAGTACTCTGTAACGATCAAACAATGAAAAATATTAATTATCAGGTCATTGAATTTTTCTTCTAAATTTGAGGATTATATTAAAAGAAAAAGTAATACAAAATCACATTAATTTTTTTGAAATTAGTTAATAAGTTAAAATTCCTTTTACCTCCAATTGAATTTAAATTAAAAGTTGTCTCATCTATTTCACCTTGTTAAAAAAATCAAAACCAAAAAAGGGTTTGTACTTGAGAATTCAAATTCCTTGCTTTTCGGCCAAGTTGCCATTATTTAACAACAAAAACACAGAAAAGAGGAATCTAATGATTCATTCACAATATAAAATCAAAAGTAAAATTAAACTAAATTATGTTTAAAATAGAAGTGAAATATAGAAAACAAGAATGTTATGACCGGTAATAGCCGGTGAATAAAGCGCCAAACTCGGGTCTATAAATACAGCAATAGCCTCTTAAGTTTCTCCGAAATCGAAAATTAGCAAATCATAACCTCTGAAATCTCCAGGAAAAAAAATCAGATTACCCCCTCAGATTATTTGCGAAATTCAGTAAGATCCAAAAATGGGCACTTCACAAAGCAGGGAAGATCGAATCACTGACTCAGAATCCGAAGAAGATTATGAGGAAGAAGAACAGGAAGAAGTGCAATACGACGACGCTTTAAGCGATCACCAAAACGCCCAATCTTCATCATCAACCTCTTCAGGTACTAGCAAAGGCCTCGATGATATCGATGCTAAGCTCAAATCCCTAAAGCTGAAATACAATTCTCCTCAACAATCGATCCCCAATCTCAAAAACCCGGTGAAGCTTTACCTTCACATAGGTGGAAACACTCCCAAAGCCAAATGGGTAATCTCTGAAAAGCTCACTTCTTATCGTTTCACAAAGGTGAACGATGACGGTGACGATGATTCCTGTTGGTTTTTGGAAGTGGGTTCGAAAGTTAAGGCTAAGGTTTCAACCGAAATGCAATTGAAAATGTTTGGGGATCAAAAACGGGTCGATTTTGTTGATAAAGCTGTTTGGGCTTTGAAGTTTTTAACCGATGAGGAGTATAGGAATTTCGTTACCCTATTTCAGAATTGTTTGTTTGAGAATGTTTATGTTATGGAAGCTACTGAAGAGAATAAGGTTAAGGTCTATGGGAAGGAGTTCATTGGATGGATGAAGCCGGAGGCAGCTGATGATTCTGTGTGGGAAGATGCAGAGGATCATAGCTCGGATTCAACTCCGGTTAAAAGGGGTCAAGAATTGATGGAGGAATTTGAGGAAGCTGCTAATGGGGGTGTCCAGAGTTTGGCTTTGGGCGCGTTGGATAGTAGTTTCTTGGTCAATGATTTGGGTGTTCAGGTTTATAGGAACTTTAACCGTGGGATTAATGCTAAAGGTATTTGTGTTAAGTTTGATGCTGGCAGTTCGAGGATTGGAGAAAATTCTTCCAATTCGACTCCGAAAAAGGCCCTGTTAATGAGGGCGGAGACGAATATGATGCTTATGAGTCCGGTGAAGGAGGGGAAGCCTAATGCTAACGGGCTCAAGCAGGTTGATATTGAGACGGGGAAGATTGTTAGTGAGTGGAAGTTTGAGAAAGATGGGGCTGATATTACCATGAGAGATATCACCAATGATACAAAAGGGTCGCAATTGGATCCATCGGAGTCGACCTTTTTGGGATTGGACGATAATAGATTGTGCCAATGGGATATGAGAGATCGAAAAGGGATGGTTCAGAACATTGCCACAAGTGATTCACCTGTATTGCATTGGACACAAGGGCATCAGTTCTCGAGAGGGACGCATTTTCAGTGCTTTGCTAGTACTGGTGATGGATCGATTGTGGTTGGATCACTTGATGGAAAGATCAGGTTGTATTCGAAGACATCAATGAGGCAGGCCAAAACTGCGTTTCCTGGACTCGGGTCGCCAATCACTCATGTAGACGTCACCTATGATGGGAAGTGGGTGTTGGGTACAACTGATACATATCTGATCCTCATTTGCACTCTGTTCACGGATAAAGATGGGAAGACGAAAACCGGGTTCGGTGGTAGAATGGGGAACAAAATTCCAGCACCCAGACTGTTGAAGTTGACTCCTCTTGATTCACATCTAGCTGGGAATAATAATAAGTTCCATGGTGGCCATTTCTCATGGGTAAGATCCTTCATTAATTGTTTTCAATGATACTGTCTGTTGGTTGAACTTAGTATATTGTTCCTCTAGATTTTGATTTTTGTTTGTTGTGCATATCATTTGATGTTTCGTGAACTTGAATTTTCCTAACGCATTTCCCTATTTACACATGCTTTATAAATGCTTAGGCTAGGCCAGTGTGCTTGTTTTAAGTTGTGTGTAAAACAAATTAACTCCTCCATTCTCCTGTGATTCATCAACATTGGATAGTTTAAATGACCATTTTGTGTTGCTACTACTTGTTACTTAGATAGTGCATGACATTCATTTACATTCGGATCTGAATCGTGTATCTGACTCTCTTTCAGGTTACCGAAAATGGCAAACAAGAGCGGCACTTAGTTGCGACAGTGGGGAAATTCAGTGTGATTTGGGATTTCCAGCAAGTGAAGAACAGTGCTCACGAATGCTATCGAAATCAACAGGGTCTCAAGAGTTGTTATTGCTACAAGATCATACTGAAGGACGAATCTATCGTCGAGAGCCGATTCATGCACGACAACTTTGCCGTCAGTAACTCACCTGAAGCTCCACTGGTTGTGGCGACTCCGATGAAAGTCAGCTCGATCAGCCTCTCCGGTAGACAATGACATCTGCCCAACACACTACTTTCCAAATATATGAAAAAGAACTCCCATGTCGTATGCACAGTTGTATCCAACACTCGAGTACCGAGTAGCATAGGCTTTTAGGGTTTGTTTTGACTGCACTCACATTTCATGCTTTTGTTTTTTGTTCTTAAATCTTTTTCATTAAAAAATGTCTCTGAAACCTTCTCCTCTCTGGTTATTGGAATTCAAGAAGCTTGGATTGTTGAAAATGTAAGAGTTGATTTTTAACTTGCAATGATTTTTGTTAATTTACTTCGTGTAACTCCCAACTCTCTTTTACAACAAACTTGTTCTTTTACAGTTTAATCCTTTAGGGGTTTTTTTGTTTTATTTAATTTGATTTTACCGTAATTCTTTATATATTTTTTCTTTTATCAATTTCTTAAATTTTCTATTCATATCAATAATTAATCTTCGAAATCATATTATAAATTTTATTTGTAATGTTAAATAAAATAATAGTATATATTATGAGTGGAGAAAGTTATTTAAATTACAATCCATTGACATAATATCAGATGTATGTGTTGAACCAAACATGTCCAACAGAGAAGCATATCAGATGTATGTATCGAACCTTACAAGTGTGAACAAGCCTAGATTCTGAGAAACATGTTTTTGTTGAAGCAATTTCATATCAATTCAACGTCAATTTGATATGATCTGATCTGATCTGATCCTCATCATTGTTTAATTGCATCACATCAGAAATAAATCTCAATGTGTATTTTATGTCTTACAAGATCTTTGAATCATGACCCCTCAAAACTCACTAAAGAGCAGGGTGACAAAACCCCAAACATTTCACGACTAGAAATACAATAATTAATTGGTTGGGGTTTCGATCGATCCGAAAGTAATTCACAGAATATATCATGTTCAATAGTATTAAGTTCGCTTGCATGCATAAACTTACATACGTATGCACACATGCATTCATACGGACGTTTACGCGTGCAAAATGATAAGAAGAAACTAGCAAAAGGAATATACAACTTCAAATGTACTAAACTAGAAAAAGTTATAGGAAATGTGTAGCAAACATTTATGTACTAACTTACGTATGTATATACATGTGTAACTTCCAAGATAATTCATTTTAAAATTATTTTGATATAAAATTTTATAGTTTTTATCAGAGTTAATATATATTTTGATATTTAAATTTAATTTCTTAAAAAATATAAAATTTTAAAATATCTAATAAATATTTTATAATAATATTATCTTTTTTGTATAATATTGAAATAGAAAATGAGATCAACTTTTAAAAACTAAACACAAAATTAATAAATTTACATATAAGTTTATTTTCATGCCATCATCATCATCATCCATTACCATAATTTTTTTTTACATAAAAGTAAATCGTTTATGTTTTACATGTATCATAAACTAGGTATACCTGGCAGAAGTTAGATTAGCATGCAACTCGCAGCACAGATGTAATAATAAAGATGACTAAAAGAAGAAACGAGTTCTTCTATACCTACCTTGAATCTATACCAAATCTTCTAACTGCAAAATCACCATGTTTTCTCCACCCACATGTACAGCATTCTCTCCCGGCCTTTCTCTGCAAACGAGCACCGGGTAAGAACTTGCCGAATTTGTCTCATTAGTCGAAACTTTTTCTTTCTGCTTCATTAGTCGAAACTTATCTCTTCCTTAGAAAGTATAGTACGCTGGACTTTAGGCAGGTGAAGTTCTTCCGTTGAAGCATCATGCATTGTTGTCATCTTCAAGCGTTTTGCCCCCGAGACACGGCTGGTTTTTTCTCTTTGGTCTTCATCGACAAAATTCTGATCCGAAGCCTCTGTTAAAGGCCAAATACTTGTTAAACAAAAATGATGCATGGAATGGGGAAACTTACAAAATGAAGGAATTAGGAAGAAGAAAATTTGCCAGCAGATTGAGGCTAGATTTACCAGTGGTGCAGCAACCTAAGGTCGTGTTACTTCTCAAGTAGGTTCCACCATTAGGAAGCACGGTTTCTCTTGAAAGAGCAAATGTTTCTGTGCTGCTTTTGCCAGCAGATGTAAAACGATGTAACGGACTTTCCCAGATATCACTAGAATCAGCAGTGCTGTCCAACAACGGGTCATTACTCTTCTGGTAGCAGCCATCTTGTAGACCCGAAAACTGAAAAGAGAATCGAGATGAGTTATTGAAGGAAGGCAATTAATTGAAGATGAAATGCAGAGTAAGTCTCCAACCTGATGACAAGAATTATGTACTTCAGCAGGCAGTTGTTGTGTTCGACATGGCTCCCACATTTCCTCTTGCGGGTGACAGCCCCGCAAACTCATAGAATAATGCAATTGCTTAACAAATGATGCCTCTAGGAACTCAAGATACGAACTATGCTTCTCATTTGTCCAAACCATAGTTCCACCCTGCTAAAAGATATAAAATCTCAGAAAAGATTAAAGCTGCATGACAATCAAAAGAGAGATCTAACCATAAAAAGGTACATAAACCAACATATGTTACAGGACGGGGGGATTCAACCATTTGCACAAGGCTAACTAATAAAGAAGGAAGAGTTCCCCCAATAAGGGGACATTCTTTAACTTACCATTGAATTTAAATGGCTGAAGGTTCATTCTGTTAGGTTCTACCTAATCTTCCCACCTTTTTTATATATCTTGGTTAGAATTTATCAAGGCAAACAGAAGGAAAAGTGCTCAACATTAATCTACTTGGAAGACCGTTAATGGAGGTGTTGTACTTAAATAGAGGGAACTAGAGCATGCTGAAAACCTAGAGAGAACTAAATCCCAAGGGCCATAAAAAGGAAAATACAAACGTAAATTCTGCTTCTCAAAAGGCCAAACAATAGATCTCCATAATAGCACAATGTTCCATACAAAGTAATATGAAATAACTCAAGTAAAAAATAATAATAAGAATCAATTAATCCAACTGAACACTCTCTTCTTCCATTAAAGATCTTAGTTAATGCACTTTTCTATCCAAATGCTTAGCCTTGGGCAAAAAGAATGACATAAGCCATTTTCTCACAAATCTTGCATTCAACCTCAGTATATCTTCAAGATTCATATAGCATGTTAAACAAGAATGTGGAATATTCCAGACCATTGCACAATGGAAAATGTCTAAAATAAACTTAATATTTTAACATAAAAGAATAACATATTATAAAAAATCAACAAGGAACTGACTTGAAAAACAATGGAGCGATTCATCCTTTAGAAAATAAAAGAAAAATGTAATCCGAATTAGCAAGTTAAGTCACCTCAAGTACAATATTATCATATTTCGAACATGCATGCAGAGGGAATGAACGGTGCTAAGTTCTCTCCGGCTCTATTTTGTCAGAGACTGATTGATAGGGAAGCCCTGTTTTGATCTTGCGGTGGTTACTTTTGCTGACAATTCGTTGAAATTATAAATCATCTTTCATTAATACTGGAGAAATGAAAACTTTTGCTCTATGATTGTCATTTTAAGAGTATATTTAGTAATGCAATATCTAAAGATATAGAGTCCATTCATTTGGAACTACAAGATTTTGCAATAACAATGCCCCATTAAAAATTGATTCGAACAACCAGCACTTACTTGGTGCTAAATAAAGAAATCAGTCATAATTTTACTCTGCATTTCCATTCCTCTACTCCAAAAAACTCAATCATATCTATTCATTAAGCATAACAAAAACTGAGTTTCTCATACAGAGATCTGTAGATGCACAACCGAAAACTAGCAAAATAAAATTATTTATTATAGTCTTTATTTTTAACAACAAACATCATTCACTGCAAAAATGAAAACGGATAATAAATAAAAATAATAATATTATTATAACGTAATCGATCTCCTTTCTCTCTCTCTATTATTCCCTAACAACTTCAAATCAAGCCAGCAACGTTTAAAAAATAAATAAATAGAAGAACATAGATAAAATTTTCAGCAGACGAATTATCATATCAAGTTATAGACAAAAACTACACACGGAAAATCATGGACGAAGAACAACACAAGCAAAGCTATAATTCAAAGGATAAAAGTTGCACTTAAAAAGAAAAATCGGTAGATTACCGGTGTTCCATTAGCAGTGGGCTCTCGCAAGCTCTCAATGGTTACACCAGAGGCAGAGGAGTCCGAGATCGTCTGAATCGACTCACTGAGACAGGCCAGAGAATCCGGATCCGGAAAATTCCACCGGAGAATATGTGCCATTGAACTTTCTTTCTTCTTTTCCTTTTTGTTGTGCTTTCAAATCGGAGAATAAGAAAAACGTGAAGATTGTTCAGAATTTTAAGAGAAAATTATTCCTTCAAATTAGCAGAGAAAATAGAAGGAAGAAAGAGAGAGAGAGGCGGTGTTGTTGATTTGTTGTTACGGGCGCCAATAAAGGTCTACAAGGCGACGCTTTTACACGTGTCAATATATCAGATGAGAGCCATGTCATAAGGAGCGATAATATCTTGGGCCAATGTCAACCAGATATTTATTTTTTTCCTCTCCGGCACCAAGATTACCTGATTGCGCGCTTTTAACGGTACACGTGGCAAGATTGAGAGGGGTCCAATTGGTGTTTAGTCCTTATACTATGTAAACATTTTATATTTAATTCTTAGATTTTGTTTTGTTGAATTTTAATTTAGTTATTTTTTAAAAAAATAACGAGGATATTTCATTTATCCAAAACCGTATTAACAAACGTATTGTCATTTACAGAATAAACAAATACAGTCGTGAAATATAACAATAATCGTTTAGTGATAGCCTGATAAATAAAAACATTAATAAGTAAAGCAACGACGTACATAAACTGATCACATCAACGGCTCCGAGAATCAAACATGAAAGAGAAAAACTTGAAGAAAAACCAAAATGACTAACATAAAAAGTGATCTCCCTTTAATGGTAATCTCATTAAACATATATATATATGCGATAATCAACGAATCATCTTGTACAAACGAACAGATGAACCAAACATCGAGAACACAACCAACCATGGATTCATGTAAAATAGTAGACCGAGAAGAAAACCAAATTAAAAAACCTACATCGAAAATCTACAAACACCGGTAGCCATGATACCCTTCATCAAAAAGGGCCCAGAGAAACATTATATTAAACTAAGTTAAAACTAACAATGAAAAACTAATAAAATAAAGAACGAACGGGAAAAGGAAGCAGAAGGACAGGTAGGTGGTCGTGACGGCCACCACCGCTGTTTTAAAATAAGATTTTGGAAAACCGTCGCTGGAAAAAATTAATCGGTGCAGAGAAAACTTTTAGAGTGGGAAGTGGGTAATTTAGTTATTTTTAAATAATTATAATTTAAGTATATTATTTTATATCAATTACGTCAAGATTGAGACTTCAAAGTTTAGAAAATACAAGAATAAAAATTAATGAAACTAAAGTATAAAAACTAAATCTGAAATTTATGTATAGCATAAGACCTAATGGTGGGATTTGATCTAAATAGATACATTCACGTTTACCGTTGACTTAATTTAATTTGAGAAATAAAACTTTAAATTTGATCTATCATTATTGGTTTGAACTTGAACAAAACTAATAATAGAGTTTGAAGTAAAATAATAAAACTAAATTATTTTTAATATAATTATTGCATTTATTAATTTACTTATTCAGATCGATTAATATAAAAGTTTAGTATAGATAATTCTCGTAAATCATTTTTTCCATTCAAACTCATCCTTTATTGGGTAAACACCTTATCTTTAATAGATCACTGGTACTTAGTTCAAACTTATCCTTTATTGGGTAAACATACCTAATCAAACAAGCTAAAAGATTATTATTTATTTAAAACCAAACTCAAACTTTAAATATGCAGACTTGAACTTTGAGACACGTTACATTGGGATATATAAAGGGTAAATTATGAATTTCATCACTTAACTTTCTATTTACTTCTATTTTGGCCACTAAAATTAAAAAAAATTACTCACTAAACTTTTGATTTGTTTCCTATTTTAGTCATTTTATAGTTAAATATTGAAAGTCGTTATGGTTGGATATTTTTCCTTTAAAATTATGAAATGGCAGCAAAAATTTATTCATTTATGTGCAAAACCCTAGTTTTGAATTCCCTTTGATATCTCAAAGATAAAACATCTTTTTCCAAAAGGTAAACTACATAGTTAGTATTTTTGTTTCATTTTTAAATGTGGGTCACTCTATCCAAAAAAATTAATACACAGTCATTTTTTTTATTTTAATTAAGATGTGGTCACTGGGACGTTAGTTTCCATTAGTTGGATGACGTGACACGTTAATAAAAATGAATAATTTTTATTTGATCCCTTAAACTTTAGATAATTATTAAACATGAATCTTTTTGTAAACCCAAAATCGTTTAGTGTTAAAATATCAATTTATCCTTTTTTTTCTTTCTGTTTTCTTCCCCAAACCTATCTTCTCCTCTGCTTCCCCTGCTTTATCTATAAGGAGGCAGCAAAATTCGTGGACCCAACATTCCCTTCATCTCTAAAGCATTGCTTCATCTCTAAGAGGGATAAATTTGACACAATAAAGGAAAGAAACGATTAATGTTACCTTGTTGCCTGCTGTGTTGGTGGTGGACAGCGTAAAACCGAAGATCCTCTGCTGTGTTCCCGCCTTTTTTCCAACCCCCAAGTAAGCTAACCTAACGAACATGGCTTCGTCCACGTTATCTTCAAAACAAAAACTTAAAACGAACAAATTTGCTTTTCCAAAATATCTTCATTTCACCACTTGCGTCAAGAAATTTTGGAACTTTCGTTTGAAGAAAAATATATAAGATTTTGATATTGAGTTTCCACTACCTACACTATACTACTCTTTACATTCACTCAATTTTAGTTTCTTTCTTCTTTTCTACATTTAAGTGGACTATTAGAGTTGTTGTTAAGCAGATTTGAAGATGGCAGAAAACGAAAAATCTGTTACGGAGAAAGTATCGGCGGCTGCGCATCCGTTAAGCAAAAATCAGACAGATATCGCGTCGGATACCACGTGAAGTTCAATCCTCATTTCTCGCCGTTCATGTTTGAGCCAGAACAAGCTTTCTTTGCTATAGCCGAGAGCGTTCGCAATCGTCTCATCAAAGTATTTATCGTGTCCTTTTTTGTTTTGCTTTGATCTACCTTGGTATGACGGTCTTTGGTTGAAGTACGCCTGGGGGGGGGTGAGATTTTTGAAGGCTCCGCCGTAATTTGGTGGCTCAAAGCAGAACGAGTGACGATGGTGGGTTATTATGCTGAGGGAATTGGGAGGGAAGGGAAAGGAAGGATGGCGGAAGATCAAGAAAGGGGTGTACGACGGCGCAAGTGGGGAAGCTAAGGAAGAAGAAATAAAAAAAGGATAAATTAAAACTTTATTCCTAAATTACTTTGAATTTATAAAATAATCTATAATTAATATTTTTTATCTAAAGTTAAGGGATTAAAGTAAAAATTAAACCCTTTTATTAATGTGTCACGTCAGAAAATCGTTAAATGTTGAATGGTCATTTATATTAAGTGATCATGTATTAATTAAAATGAAACAAAAGTGACCACATATTAATTTTTCGGATTAAGTGACTATTTTTATAAAAATGA